CCAATCTTGCAGCCTCTTCCTGAACTTTGATGCTGCAGTCTGCATCTTCTATAATTTTGGAATGATTACTTCTTTTTTCCCCTTTTGAGAATTTTATGCAGGGAATCTTAAGTCTGGATTTTGCCTTTTTCTTAGGAAGAGCAGCATCCTCAGTATTGATTTCAGGTTGTACTTTGGCCTCGCAGGGCTTTTGCTGCTTTGAAGAATCAGACCTTTTCCTGCGTGTTACAAGGCGTTTGATTGAGGCCCAGGTCCCCCCTGGGGGCTGTGTTTGATCAGGAGCTCCTGCTTCTGAGGGACATCTTGTTGCCACATCACCAGCTGCAGAGCTAGCTTTGGGCTTCTTCGCTCTGGCTGATTTCTTTCTTCTCTTGAAGCAAAGTGTTGATGATTTTTCCTCCTGCTTCTCACCCTGAGGACTAACTTCTGATCTCTTCTCTTCCTTGCTTTCTACTTGAATCTCAGAAGCTCGGGTCTCCATTTTTACATTACACTCCTTCACCAGCAAACGATATTCTCTCTTCTTTAGCAGCCGTTTAGGACAAAAAGCTGGGCAAAAATATTTTGCTCAGCAAAATTTCTTCTAGATGTATTCACTCCTTTCGTTTTATTGCATACAGGTGTTTGAGGTGGTTTCTTCAGTATGCAGTCGCCTAGTTTCTCCATTAATTGTAATTTCTCTCTTTAATTTCTTCATGAAAGCCCTTTACTTGAGAGGCTTGTTTTATTTAAAGATCAACCTGATGAGAGAAAAGAGAGTGGTGTTTTATTTCACTGTCAGCCTACTGTTTTCTATAGAGATGATTCCAGTTGAATGTAAATGACTCTACCAGGCATGTTTCCCACAAGAAAACTTGCTGAAAATAACTGGAGAATAAAAATTGGACTTAACTTTTGCCTCATCAAAAAGATTTCACTGTGGATATATTTTGCTCTACTCCTTTGTTAAAACTTCATTTTGGATTATTTTTGCAAATCTGACAATTTTATCAATTCTTTGGTTGTGCTGTCTTTATGAGTTGTTTATGACTGAAGTACAAGGTAACAAACAACAACAAAAAACAGTGAAAAATAGTCTTGGCCAGTATTTCATCCTGCTACACTAAGGTTGCAGGTTCGATCCTCAGTCAGAGCACATACAAGAATCAACAAATTAACGTGTAAGTGAGTGGAACAACAAATCAATGTTTCTTTCTCCCTTCCTTCATCTCCCTCTAAAATCAGTCAATCAATAAACAATGAAGGGTAGGGATAAGCTAGCGTGATTTTTTATTACACACAATAAAGAATTCTGAAGCTGCAGAGTATCTTAGAGAATATTTGAGATGAGTCAAGTCCAGTCTTACGAAGAAATGGAGTGCCAGAATGGGCAGGTAGCCTGTTGAAAACCATACAGTTAGATAAGGCCATCGTCAGAGTTAGAACTGCAGACTTCGACTCTATAGCGTTCTTTCCATTATGCCATAAGGTTTCTATTCTAAAAATGGCAGTTCCCTCAGGGAGGTGCTACTTTTCATACATACACTGGGGAAATTTAACATTACTTGTAATTTTCCACTCTTAAATTTGGTTGTATGTTTACATTTTTTCTAAGTATTTGCTCTTCAAACAGTTTCCATAATGAAGATCAGTAAGAGTGAAAGGTAGTAATAGCTGACATTTATTGAGCAACTTTTGTGTATTAGGAAGTGCTGAGCACTTTCACATTCGCCTGTAATCCTCCCCACATCACAGAATGAGCAGGCGGTGGTATCACCACCTACAGATGAAGAAACAGGCCTAGATCGGTTAAGCAGCTGGCCGGAGATTACACAGCTGGCAGGTAGCAGAGTTGATTCACCCCAAGATTGTTTCCAAAGCCCATGCTCTGAAAGAGTTTCATCAGAAAAATGAATTGTTTAAAGATGTTAATCTGTACTAGATCCACTAGTCAAAATTAAAATAAAAGTTTAATGGTTATTTAACCATTATATAGCCCATCAACTCATAATTGAATTAAGATTAGACTGAGTTCTTGCTATTTTAAAATTAAGCTTTTGAAATTCCATATATTGTATTTTCTTGGTTCTGGAGCTAGTTTAAAAACCAAATGTAAATGGTAAGCTGTACAACCAGCAAACTGACTAGTTATATAGAAAAGCATATTTAAAAATTAATCCACAAAATGGCATGATGGTACCAGTGAACAGAGATGTGAGGTGATCCTCTAACAAAAATCCTATGAACTTTAGTGGATGAATGTCTTAAATAAGCAAAGGGACTCATTCCTTGGACTGTTTTTATGTAAATCCTTCACTGTTGAAGGTTTATTTGGGTAGTTCTTGATTCTATGAACCACGTACAACACTGGAATTCTGAAAATCAGTTATGATTTTCTATGATCTAAGTATTCCCTTAGATTGGGTGTTACATACTCCACGCCTCTGACAGAAAGACAAAGTCATCCTGTAACAATAATGGAGCTATAATATGAACATTTTACAGTGTCCCTCCTCACATAATGCTTCCATAAGTACTTGAATTACAGCTGGTTAGACCTTTCTTTAAGTCGTCTCACCTCTTGTCAGTGCTCAGCTCCTGGAAACTTTTATTACCCAGAGGATGTGTAACTGACAGAAATATTGAAATTAGATCATGTGTAGGAATGTATCGTTTGAAACTAATATGGACAGCTGCTCGAAAAGCCTATTTGAATGACTTGTCACACATTAGAAATAAAAACCCAATCAAAAACCTAACTTCAATGGGGAGCATGCAAGTCTATCAGCATTAAAACTTTGCAGAATGTTAGATTGCGAATGATTCGTCCTTAAACTGCAGGTGTAGTTTTATCGCCTCGGGAATCATAAAGTCCCTGTTGTCGTTTACTAATAGAACTGCAAGTCTAACGCTGTAGGAAATACCCCTTCCCATTTCCCTCTGAGCGGAGAAGCACCGAGGCCAAGAGCCGCCGCTTCCTGGGGAAAGCAGTGGTTCTCTCCAGCATCGGATGTGGACCACGAAGCTTCCTCCTCCTGGAGGAAGGCGTCTTGCATTCTGGCTGGATGCGCCTTATGGCAGGAGCTAGAGCGCAGGATAAACTACTCAAAAAGGAAAGTGCCGGGGGCGTGCAGCAGATAACCCAGCATCAAGCTATCTGCACAATTATAATGCCAGGGACCCAAAATCACATTTCCCACAAGTAAAGGGCAAAGAAGGGGGTGGGGGGTGGATCTACTGCAATCCATGCGTCCAGGATGAGCTGTAAGGCCAAGGGGGCAGGTAGGCAGAGCTGATGAGGGTTGCGCTGGCTGGAGATTCCTACGGACAAATGACCTTCCGATTCTTGTATAGGCCACCTCTGGGGTGCAGAGGGGCGCAGATTCCGGGGGTCCAGGGTGCACCTCTTGCCTACTCAGCCATGCAGTCAGTGGACCAGATACTGGTTCGCACCCTCTTCTCCCGCAACCAACTCGCCCTCCTTCACTTACCGAGGGTGCTGGGGTCCTTGACCGGGGGTCCTTGCAGCCCAGTAGGGAAGGGGGGCGCTGGTGGGGCTGGGTGCCCAAGCAGCCGGGGAGCCACGATCGCGCCCTAGGCGAGCAGCCCTCTGCAGAAGGACCGCAGCCTGGCGGCGCCCCCTCCCCAGAGCGCAGGGACTGACAGCCAGCGGCGCCAATGCGCGCCGAGCGGCAAGCCGGGGCGGAGCCAGGGCTGCGGGCTGGGGGCGTTGGGTTAGGAGTGGGCACCCGCAGGTCCACCTGGTTACTGCCAGCAGTCTACCCAGCCACGTGCGAGCGGACCCCGCAGCACCTAGCCTGGGTGCCACCACATCCGGGCAAGGACGTGGGGGCCACCGAGAGAGCCAGCAGATGGGAAGGGAACCTGGGTGATGAGCCCATTTTCTGAGATGCGAGGAAGCAAAATCCTGTTTTAAATTATAGGCACTCCCATTATAACCCCGCCCCCACCCCAACCTGACTATTTAAAGGCACAGCGATACCATATTTTAAAAGTAGGATTCAAAACTGCAGCGTGGGACCTCATTTGTTTGGAGATAAAATGACATATACGAATTGGAACAACAAAAAACTTTCCCAGGAGTGAGGCTGGGTGTGAGGAGGTTGTCATGGCTCCTTGTCAAACAGGCCACCAGAGGCCCAGGCGCCAGACCCTGGTCTCCCCTTTATAGGGGGCAGGTAGAGGTGATGCGACCTGTGTGCACATCAGATCAGAAGAGCACAGGACCCAGTCCCACCCGTGCTTTATACCTTACATTCTTCCAAGAGTAAGTTGAGGTAGCTTACAAGTTACCCATATTTTCCTTCAGGATATTCCGATGCCTGCTTTAACCTTGTCCCTCTCAAGTGGAGTGGGGTGCGGCGGTGGGAAGAGAGGCGGAGGGTGTGTGGAGAGGGTTTCCTTACAATCCCAGTCCGCTCAGAGCACACAGGGCGCAGGCAGCACCTACTTCCTGCCTGACTGGCTAGGCTGTGCATTTTCATACATTTTCTGAATCTTTAAACAAGTTTGCAAACCGTAGTGAAAAGCACACACACTTATTTGTACACATTATTTTCATTAACACCTATGGGAGGTGTTGCTGCAAGAGCTTAGGGCAACTTGCTTTGGGTTTGATGATTCCCTAGGAGGGCATTCCTGGGAACCCCAGCTGCGAGGTCCTGCCTCCTCCGCCTGCCCCCCCCCCCCCCGCCCCCAGGCACACCATTCGGACCAGGAGCCCACTACCGTGTGGGGAGGAACGACTGAACAGCAGCTGTACTTAACTCCTTCCCATAGGATCATGATCTTTGGGAGTGTAAATCTCAGCTACCAGTTTTGGATGTTTTTTCCGGTGATATATTTTCCCTTCGTAAGATTCTATACTATAGTTTTAACTGAGATTTTTAAGGGAAGAACTATTAGGACACAACAGCAAAGTTGAATCCACGTTGTCAAGATCTTGAATTCACAGATAAGAGTCAAGAACTATAAAACAAGAAAACCTGCACGCATCTAGCTTAGTTGTAATCAAGAATTTAATTTCTTCGTTCATTCAGGTAACACCAGTCTGTGGAAATGTCTTTTATATCCCAGATGGGTTGCTAACCCTGCTTATTTCCAGTTTTGAACTTTAAACAAACCTAAAGGAATCCACACCACCCATAAGCAATTGAGATGCTCTTACCCATTGAGAAGCAAGTTCTCTCAAATCTACCAGATCTGGGAGTCTGCAACAATTGCAGGGAAAAATAAGGTGAGACAGGGTAGCCCAGCTCTCTTACTAGAAAACAGCTGGAAATGAAATGAGGGACAGGTTAAAACAATAAAGGTCACCTTGATGACTTGTAGATCTCACTCCACTTGCTTTTTTAAAAAAGAAAGATTAATGAAAGGGAACTGAAGGATGACTTGAGGGAAGAGGTGAATTTTATATTTGAAGGGCAGATTTCCTTCAGGTTTATTACAAATAACTCATCCCTCACCTCTACCCCCCCGCCCCCGCCGACACACACACACACACACTGACGGATATGGTACTATAAATAAAATACCACACCCTGGTTTTTCTTTAGATGACTAGAATCTGATGCCATATTTTAGTTTTAAAAAATGTATCCTGTACCTCACGCAGGAAAGAAATCTGTCATCTCTGAACTCACATCAGTGACAGTTAGGGAGCTATTACCCTTATCGTTGTCTGTTATTCCCCTGGTAGCTTTTCATTATATAAGGAGAAACAGGCTATAAATATCTCTGCAATCTGATGAGAAGTTATCCTACCTACAGCTTATCTTGTTAACATCACTAGGTACAGTGTGCCAATAAAGGAGCTTACACATTTATCTGATCTCTACTGATCATACCATTTCTCCCATCCTGTTCCTGTCCACCTACAGCCTGGATGTATAGCTACCCAAAATAGTTTACAACTCTCTGGTGACAATTCGCACATTTTAGAGATCTTCTGCGAAAAAGTCTCCACCCCTTCTCCCTTGGTACACCATTCAATGAACCTGTGGCTCCAGTTCTCTGGCAGTTGGATCTGCTCCTAGGCACCACCAGGGCCACACCAGCCAGGACAAACAGTAATTCTGCTCTTGTTTTACTTCACTTAAGAGAACAGCACGAGTGCTGTCTCTTAAAAGTGAGTGTATACACATCTTCAGTGCACAGCAACAGCTCCTGAGGTGCGGATCAGAGGAAGTGCCATCTGTTTGTCAGCAATATTCCAAACGTGGGGAGGGAAGGCATTAGCAATCCAGAGAAGGGTAAGAATGGGCACAGGGAGGCCAGTGATCTGCAAGGACCCTTAGCCCCCAGGTCAAGGCACTAGACCTTCTCCGGCAACACACACTAATGTGTACCCCAAGCACTAATTCTCCTGTAGGTTTTAAATGCAGGTCTTCAATTAGCCAGCAGTTATTTTTCATTCTTTATGCTTTTTATCACACCTCTTCTTTATCATGGATTAAAGAACCAGTTCCACAAACCTGTGCCACCAATAATTGCTTGGCAGCCTTCCTAGCCTCTTTATTCCGTCCCTCTGCTTCTTCCACTTTTATTATCCTGTCCTTCAGAAGGGACGTGAAATGGGCACAGCTTTCCATGGGTCACGTCCATTTCCGCACAGGCTGGCGGGGGCTGTCTTCCAGGAAGAGCTCTGAGAGGCAGAATGACGGCAAAGAGCAAAGCCTTTGGGGGCAGATGACCGTCAGTTCACCTGGCAGGTAGCAGCAGTGAAATTCTGAAGTTTACCTTTTTGTAAAATGGAGATATAACCTAATTTAGAGATTTGTTCCAGTATAATTTATCTCCATACATTTGAAACCAAAGGTCAGCTCTCACTTTAAAGCTAGAAGTTATTCTTTGAGCAATTCAATCTCTAGGAATTTATCCTAGAGAGGCTTTGACACAAGTAGCAAAGATACATATGGTATGGGACTATTCACTGCTACATCCTTTAGAATAGCAAAACCCCCCAAAGGGAAGTGTCCGTTGATAGGACTGTTTAAATACTACACAGCCATAAGAAACAAGATGAATCTCAAACTGCTGGTACTGTAAGATCTCTAAGATATATTGCCCAGTGAAAAAAACAAGTTGTGCCCTGACTAGAGTGGTTTATTTAAGCATTGTTCCCAAAGCAAAAGGTCACTGGTTCAATTCCTGGTCAGGGCACATGCCTGGGTTGCAGGTTCAGTTCCCAGTTGGGGCATGTGTGATAGGAAACCAATCAATGTTTCTCTCTCACATTGACATTTCTCTCCCTTTCTCTTTCCCCTACCCTCTCTCCAAAAATAAATTAAAACCTTTAAGAAAAAAGCAAGTTGTAACATTTGAATTTTTACTGAAGACATACTGTACTGCTACTTAGGAGTTTCTTGCATTGGTAATGGTCCATTCATTCCACGCAATACCTAGTAAAAACATTTGCATTATTTATTGCATTAGAGCTTTTATAATCTTTGGCTTATAAATCTCCTCTCTCACAAATTATGTTTATCATTCCTATCAACATTACGGATTTAAAATCACATGGCTTTTGGTGATACGAGGAAGCTTAAAAACTTTAAGATGAACTTTCTTTAAAAAAAGTTTGTTTGTTTGTTTTAGAGAGAGGGGAAGGGAGGGAGGAAACATCAGTGTGCAGTTGCCTCTTCCATACCTCCTGCTGGGGACCTGGCCTGCAACCCAGGCATGTGCTCCAACTGGGGATCGAACCAGCAACCCTTTGGTTTGCAGGCTGGCACTCAACCCACCCTGCCACGCCAACCAGGGCTAAGATGATCTTTAAGTCATCATGTCTGACAACAGACAGTTTACAAACTGAATTCCCAGCAAGTCCCATCCCAAATGAGGTTTTATAGGACATTGGAAAAAAAAAGGAAATCAGAAACAGAGAGCCCTGTGCAGACAGGGCCTGAATGATGCTTCGGAGCAGGAACTGACACCACCTGAGTGCGCTGGGCCAGGCAGTATAGACAACGCGCGGGAGAGCTGGGGCTCTGCACTCAGGGCCCTGCTGCCGCATGCCCCCACCAGTGTTTATTTGTATTGTAATACATCATGTTACAACACTGATGTGAACCGAGGGGACTGAAAGTAGGACAACCAAGGACCCCAGGAGAAATACGGCTCTGCCAGCACCAGTGAAGATGCAACATCTACTGGAAGGATCCAATGCAGGAAGACAAGGGGGTGGGGGAATGGGAGAAGAGACAGACGACAAAAAAGCAAGAAGGAAGATTATTGGAGCAAAAAAATATTCTGTGGGGAACAGCAGGGCCCAGGCACATGGAAAAGTTCAATAAATATTTGCTGAACCAATAGAGCAAAAAGGGCTAACTAACCTAACGTTAGTGCTCTACACCCAGCCTTCCTTGAAGACTGTAAAATAAAGCTGTGATGGAAACGGAAATTCCAAGAAGTTCAGGAAAATGTCACTGTCTGAGCAATATTTTACCAGGGTTAAAAAAAAAAAAAGACTAGAAAGGCTATGGTAAAAATGTACACCCTGCATCCCCTGCTTCTCCTGGTGTGCCTTCCAAAGCGTGCACCGTTTCCCCGCTTGAACAAAACAGCACCACAGAGCATACAGTGCGACTTGCTTCCTTGGTCCCAGGGATGTGCTGGGCAAATGGGCTCACACAGGATGGCAGAGATACTGCAGCAGCCTGTTAACGCTATAGTTTATATTTAAACACCAAGATGGCAAAATTACTTTCTTTTACTCTGTCAGATTTCAGTAAATAGGTATGTGCATGATTTATGTTAATTTAGACATGATAGGTATGAAGACCAAAGGAGAGGCTTCCGGAGAAATTCCCACTACTTTCAGAAGATCTTCGGGGCAGAGGCTGATTTCTCCTGACTTCCTGACACCGCTGACAGCAGGCTGAATACATACTAGCCTAACTTTCACATCAGGTTCTTGAAGATGGACAACCTGAAAGGAAAAAGAAACAGGAATGTTTTCTCTACTGGCTGAAATGTTTCCTCTTCCCTTCCACGTCACGCTGTCAACCTCTCGCGTTGCCAAAGCTGTTAACATTTACATCCTTCCCCACAACCCTCCCAGGGCTGCCCCACAGACTTGGAAACAATGCACGGCATTGACATTATGGCAGTGTGACTACTGTTCCAGGCCAGGCCAGGCATGGGCCAGGACGATCTTTCCAGCATCACACCTGCCCTCTTTAAGGAACCGTGTCCCGCCCCCCCGCACCAAGCACACGGTCTCTCTCCTATGTAAGCAGAGTTGCTTCTGGGAGTAGCCATCCTTGCAGCTGCTTAGACGATGACTACAGTTTGCGGCCACCTGGACCTTTATACTTTCTTCAACAACGTGAGAGCTTTTGTGTGGCACTGTTACCCTTTGATACCCTTGTCTTTTCTAGCTCTTTCTAGTTTTTCTCAGTCCTCCCTCCTCCTGTTCCACCTGGACTTGTGACCCTAGGTCACCCGCAGCTGTCAGGGCGCCCCTCCATCACTGTCTAGATCAGGGTCCGGGTTCCTGGGAACCATGGCTTCTTTTTTCAATTTTTTAAAGTAACATGTTATTTAGCTTCCATTTCTTGGTGTGTTTTCCAGTGTTCTTGTGATTGACTTCTAGTTTCATAGCATTGTGGTCAGAAAATATGTTTGATATGATTTCAGTCTTCTTAAATTTATTGAGACTTGTTTTGTGTCCCAGTTTTCATTATTTTTTAAATTGAATTTATGGGGGTTTACATTGGTCAATAAAATTGTGTGTTACAGATTCTGGGTGTACCATTCTACAACGCATCACCCGTGTACCACGCTGTGTGTCCATCACCCATGTCCAGTCTCCTTCCCCCACCGTGTGTCCTCCCCATCCCTTCGTCTGCTCCCTGACCCTCCTTCCCTCTGGAAACCACCACACTGTCGTCTGTGTCTGAGTTGTTTTTCTTTGTTTTTGCTTAATCCTTCAACATTTTCACCCAGCCCCAAAACACCCTCCCCTCTGACAGCCAGCTGTCAGTCTGTTCTCTACCTATGAGTCTGTTTCTATTTTGTTAGTTTATTTTCTTCATTAGATTCCACATGCAAGTGAAATCATGCAGCCACGTCTTCCTTCTTCTTGGTTTATTCCCCGTTTGGCTGGAGTATACCACTCCCCCCGCTTCCTAGGAAGAGATGTAGGGTGGGGAACCCATATGTGTCTGAAAGCACCTGGATAGGTTCAGCCTGTAAATATAGGCGGTGAGTCGTCCTTCCCTGTGAACTTGGAGGGTATTCCTTCATTGTCTAAAAAGCCTCTTGTTGCTGATAAGACAGGTTGATTCAGTCTAATTCTTGTTGCTTCTTAGACAAGCAATTCTCTGGAGAAGGATTTTTAGGATTTTCATCATTGATGTTTTTGAAATTTCAACTGGGTATGTCTAGAAATGGCTCATCCATTGTGACAAGCATTTGGGGCCTTTCATGTAAGACCCAAGAACTTCTGTTCTGGCTGTTTCCTCCTCTTCCCTACTTTCTAGGATGTTCACTGAGCTCCCACCTGCGGATGGTCTATTCGGAGTACACCGGCCTCAGCTGCTCCCGTCCTCCCGTGTGCCATCAGGCGGAACCCAGAGCCTCCTGGGCTCCAGCGGGGAGGCCTAACTCCCGCTGTGGTCCTTCCTCAGTTCACGAGGCGGCGGCACTCTCCCCTCACTGCCAACCTGTGATGAGCCGTGTGCCCTTCCTCCAAGAATGTGTTGAAATATAAACGCTTCATTCATTGGTTGCTGCCAACTTTCATCACTGCCTGAAACGGTGTCACTTTAGCTGGAGTCCAATAATTCATAAATATGCTTCATAAAGAAAAAGGCAAAACTCTCACCAGAAACAACTCACCTGTTTAGAAGAGGCCATTCACCTGTTCGGTTTTAGGGTCCAAGTCAATGTCGTAGAAACAGGGCCGGGTAGGGAGTCCAGGCATTGTGCTCATCTGGGAGATGGGAAACAGCATTAAGAATAAAGTGACCTTTTCCCCCACGTCTCCCTCCGGTAGAAACACAGACAGAGTATTATTTTATAATTGTTCAAATGGCACTCCTCTTGCTGATACATTAAAAACAAAGTCACTGCTCCTGTAATGACCTCAAAGAGAAACCCTCATGTCCGTCAGCAAATCAAATGCCAAGCTTCACTGCCACCTTCCGCACTGACATTTGCAACAAAAAGGAGCAGGTGCCGAGGAGGCTAAGGAGACAGTTGCTCACTTCCGCAGCCCTCATTTCACAAGAGCGAATGGGGGCACGGGGCTTGTCTGCTGCTTAATATCATTTTAATTAGCTTGGCAGAGATACTCACATCATTTTTGCTTCAGCAACACAACACCAGAAATTAGTCCTTCAACTTGGGCCAAGACACGTCCTACGCAATGTAGATGGTTTCACAATCACTATTCTTACTGGTCCAAACTGGGCTCCTAAAACTGAACCTGTAGTGCTTATGGCTTGTATCTGCCCTTGCTTCTTTCTAAAGAGTTGGCTTTGACAAATATCTACTTAGATGCGAATTCCTAAGGTTTATGAGTGAAAATTCAGTACATTTTATCTGTAACAATGTCCTATATAATGAATACATACAAGTTCCAAATCAGATCCAGACAGGAAAAAGTGTAAGCTGAACTTCTACAACTTAACTATGAAAGTGTCATAGAAAAGGATGAGTTGCTTTTTGTAACATGAAACATCTTCTGACCGGCGAGTGCCAGTCTATACTCCCCAGAACACACTATCTCGGACCTGACGCCGGCCTCTGTTCTCAAATTCTGTAGGAAATAAGCCACTGCTGGGTGTGGGGAAAGGAATGGAAGGAGAGGATGAGTCCTCAGAGCAAGCAAAAAGCCTGAAGGTGACATTACAAAGACAAGGACACGTGTCCAGTGATGCGGACATGCATGCACGAGCAGGCTGGCAAAAGATGCTAACGACGGTCCTCAAAGCAGTCATTAGGATTCTCAATATTTATGTTCTTAGCCAAAGAGGATTCCCCCCAAAACATTAGTCACGTTGATAATTAGAAAATTTTTAAATAATATAAAGATTATGTGTACATACACATAAGAAATAACACTCTGGAAAAAAGCCCTCACACCTTGAATTAATACATAAAACACTCATATCCTGAGTCTTGTTCAGTCTGCAGTTGCAATTAGGAGGTGTTAAGAATAGTGGCTGCTGCCTTGACTGGTGTGGCTCCGTGGGCTGGGCGTCATCCTGCGAACCAAAAGGTCACTGGTTTGACAGCCGGTTGGGGTGCATGCCTGGGTTGCAGGCCAGGCACACGGTTGGGGGCGAGCAAGAGGCAACTGATCGCTGTTTCTATCACACATTGATGTCTGCCCCGCTCCTTCCCCTCTCTCTTACGTGAAAAAAAGAATAGTCACCGTTTTTCCTGGCCAGGTGGCTAAGCTGGCTGGAGCATCGTCCCATACACCAAAAGGTTGTGCATTCAATCCCAGGTCAGGGCACATACCTAGGTTGCGGGCTCAATCCCCAGTTGAGGTGCGTACAGGAGGCAGCTGATTGATGTTTTCTGACACTGATGTCCACCCTTGCCCCTACACCCTCTCTCCCGTCCTCTCTCTAAAAATCAATAAACATATCCTGCCTTGGCTGGTGTGGCTCAGTGGATTGATCACTGGCCTGCAAACCAAAAGGTAGCTGGTTTGATTACCGGTCAGTGCACATGCCTGGGTTGCAGGCCAGGCTCCTAGTAGGGGGCGTGTGAGAGGCAACCACACATTGATGTTTCTCTCCCTCTCTTTCTCCTTCCCTTCCCCTCTCTAAAAATAAATAAATAAAATATTTAAAAAATAAACATATCCTCATCAGGTGAGGGTTAAAAAAACAACAGTGACTGTTAAACCATTTAGGTTATGTGCAAAAATGTCTTGGTTCGAGCTGGCTTCTAGTGAAGGAGTTTGTTCTAGAGGACAGAGTCTTGAGCTGGGCAGGGTGTGTTTCTCTCCCAACTACGGGCCTGACCACTTTCAGTGTGGCTTTCACAGGTCGAGGCACCCCTCTGCACACGCTGTCACAAGTGACAATTCAGACTGAAGCTACTGCTCTTTCAGCTGGCAGCTGCTAACAATTTCTCCAGAAGATGTTTCTGCAACATTCAAGGGGCTGGTAAATGCTTTATTGTTCCCATTAAACGGGAATTTCTACAAACCCCAAGGAATGATGGGCATCGTAACAAAGCTAAACCTCCTGCTCTCTGAAGAGGCTGAGGGAGCACTGGTCTGCAGGCACTTGTCTGACCACCCTGGGTAAGTGATGATGCGGCCCCACACTGAGAGCTGAGAGGAAATGGGTCACATTTTTAAGAACGAGCCCAAGGCCAACACCAGCAGAGGTGAAAACAGGATTTGGCTTTAATGTTACAGACTTCCAACTCCACAATGCCACCTCCTACCAAGTTCTTACTACGTTAAAAGAATAATATAGCTCCAAAAGGAGATCTGCTGGTTTCTTTTTCATTGCAAATTAAGTTAGCTCAGTATTCCAATCTTGTCTGCAGGTAAGTACAATCTGCAGATAAAGGATACGAGTGGACGAAGGGGGAAACCTGGGCACAGGATCAGCGCTAACCCTGGGACACAGCAGGCTCAACCTGCAGTTATGTCCTTAAGCATTCCCTCTACCTCCCTCTTTGCAATTTCCCTCCTTTAATCTGCATAAAATCCACAAGATTAGAAGGCATTTGATAATTCATCTTGAAGTGTAAATGGGTAACCTCACCTTTCACACCTATAGGGTTCATTCACATTTTAAGGGGGAAATTCTTTACTCAAAAACTGAATTGCCTGAATTTCAGGCATAAGCTCTAGGCTCAGCAAGAAGATCCAGGAGGCTCAGAGCCTCTGTCCCTATCTCACAGGCCTGTTGGGAGGACCAGCTTAACCTGTGAAACATTCCCAGTAAATGTCAGTTGTGATTCTACACAAGCACTGTCATGGCCTATAGATTAGGCCCATCCTCGGTTCAATCAAGGCTGCACTGCAAGAACTGTTTTTCAGTACAAGCAATCATGGCACCATCCTTGAACTGACACCAAGATGGTCCACGCAAGAAGGTTGGTCCTAACAGGCCCAACTCCAGCTTTCTCCTCAGCAATGAACTCTGCTCATTTGACATCTGCTTGATGCCATCACATTCAGTTAAGCACGAGAAGCACCCCTCTCTGCTTGCAGCACTCACTCACCGTTCCCACCAGGGGATACAGAAAACCTGCCCCAACACTGGCTCGGATATCACGGATGGGCAGGATGAAGCCGGTGGGCACGCCTTTTTGCTCTGGATTGTGAGACAAGGACAGGTGTGTTTTGGCCATGCAGATGGGCAGATTCCCAAAGCCCTGGGTAGAGAAGGAATAGAAGCGGACAAATGAGAAGCTGACACTGCAACACAGAACATCTGGGCATTACGATGGTGTACAATCTTCAACTTGTTTGGAACATCCACACTCCCCTTACAGCCCCTCCCACCCCCATGCCCTCTGACTTAGTTACTGTAGATTAAAAAAAGAAAAAGAATCTGTTTAATAAGTGAATACTTATACCGATTCCAAAAGTAAATGTTTTATTTTCATCTATATAACCAATTAAAAGTGATGGTTTGGAGCAGACATGACAATACAACCCAAGACAGACTGTCAATATTTCAGTGAGACATTCCGTATTTCCCCATGGCTTTTTCGCACACTGATACACCACCCACGGAGATAAAGAACTTGGGAGTGGACCATCTACTCCAAACTCACTAATTCAGAGGAGAAAAGGCTGCTGCCCAGGGGAAGTAAAGCAGAGGGTGCTTGGCTGGGCTGGGAGAACACTGGGACTCCTGACCCCAAGGCCTGCTTTACCAACAGCTGAAAGAACAAAGCCAGTGGACATCTACCTGCTTTGTGTAGACCTCCGCCTTGTGCTGAGCTCCCGGGAGCAACTCAATGTCGTCTGCCCCGTAGATCTTCTGTGCGATGATCCTGATTTTATCCTCAACTGGAAGCTAAAAGGCAGGCAAGAGAGTGTGAGACTTTGACTAGGACTTGGTCGCATTCCAGGTCAGAGTCTCCAAAAGGCCCAGACCATGCTTTTATATACATATACAGATATGCAAATGGCTTGAAGATTATTGGTTTAGAAACATTTCCTTTTAATACCAAGCCCCAGATTTTATAACTGGAAAATGTCCCACAGAGGTAAAGTCACTATGTGTGTATTTAAGATCTCACTAGATACATCACAAACATTACTGCTGATTACCAAAAAATAGTTATTCCTACCTAAGTAAAAAGTAATGTTCTATGACTGGAGAGCAGTCTCCTATCGAAGCAGACCTGGGATACTGTTATGAAATAGGACAAGCAATAATCATCCACACAACTCCCGGTTTGTACATAAAAGGCAGATGCTATCCTTAACACAACATATTGATTGCTAATTGCTGTTAATTAGGAATAAAACCAATCTGGTGACTTCTATGATCAATGTGTAGTGGGAGTGGTGTGAAGGGACATGGCCCCCGTGGCACCTGAAGCAAACAGTGCAGTGGACAGAGGCCAGAGGTCCACCAGGGAGGGCTCCGCCGCACGGGGTACGTCCTCCGGGGGCCTGGCTTCCCGGTGCTGCGGAGCCCAGGGTTCACAGCAAATGGCACAGGGAAAAGCTGCCTGAAGGAAAGGGGAAGGAGCTGCTCACAGCTAATTTGGATGAGCAAATTCCTAAAAATAAACAATATATCTGACTCTATACTCCCTAGCAACTAAGACTGAGGGAATACATTGGGTGAGTTTTGTTTTTTGAAAGGAATAATTACTATAAGAATAAAATTCCCTTTTGAACTAAACAGTGATAATTTAGGAAAGGGCTTTGCATCAAGGATATGAATAAAGTGACTATTCAGTTATGGCTTATAAAGATGCACCAGAGATTACTTTCGCATGCACCTTATAATTGGGCTCTGTAAATGCTAAGGCACATTCTGAACTTCTGAAGCAAAAGTACTTTGTTGAAGGGTGATTTAAGACCAAAAGATGCTGAATAAGACAAAAAGCGGCAGCCCTGTGTCTGTCAGAGCAGAGCACAGCTCCAAGCAGAAATGGTTTGTAGAGAAGTCACCATCACCCCACTCCGACCAGGTCTCTTGCTCACCTGCAAGGCCTGGGGTTCCTAACAGTAAGCACCATGGGTAGGGACTTAGAGAGGGCGCCTATAATCGCTTTGCATCTGTGTGCAAATTTGTGTTCATGGCCTTTCCTAGAAGATCACTGGCAAACAAATTTTCGAACCAGTCTGTAAAACCAAAGCTCCAAGGGAAAACGTCCACGTCAATGGGGAAGCATTAACTAACGATCAGAGTGTAGTATCTGCGAAGGGCAAAGGGAAACCAAAGCATGTTAAAAGTCAAGAGTAATAGAGTTTCTTCCTTCTACCTCTCTATGGTTATTTTTGAAAGTCTATGATTACCTTTTAAAAACCAAGCCAAGAACCAGCCTAGAGAATACAAGCAGCATTAGCTACCACATCCACCCATGTTCCTAAAGAAGTCCCCAGCTGTGGGCACACTACTTCATGCCCAATCACATCCTGAAATACACAGAGAAATGAAAACAAAACACGACCCTGAAATCGAAACCACCTTTCTCTGAACTTTACACTTTATTGTATGCAGAATAAGCAGAGCTTCTGCTAGGGCCAGGCATCATGTAGTTACTCAGAGATGGAAAAGGTGCTAAAACCCACCGGGGTGCGTGGTTTTGCACCTGAGGGCTTCTCTGAACTAGAGGCAGCCCTGTACCAAGAAGTGAGCTCAGGAGCACACTACTCCCCCCCTTACTGGGAAGCAGCTGGAAAGCTTATCTGAACATGATGTAGACCCTTGCCGATTTGCCCTGAGATGAGTGGTGCCTTGGGTTAAAGCTGTAGTGAATTACACCCTTGGTTCAATAAATGACCCTTTCGCCTGCCAGCAAAGGAACTATACTGTGAGCTTCTCCAAGAGTTAGGATGTGAGTCAACCTCCCGGGGTGTTCTTGCCTGGGCCCCGACTCTGCAAGTAGGCAGCAACACATGTTGGTAAGAAAGTCGTCTGGAGTTGAGGGCCCAGGCTGTGGTCACATAACTCACCCTCATGGGAATCCGATCCACGGGGCTGCAGCTGTTAAATACGGGCTCTCAATAGAGGTGCCGTGCAGAAACCTCACTGTGCTTTCATCGTTCTTTTGCATACAGCGAACAACCCACCTTGAGGTCATAGAGGAGCCGGAAGCTGCTGGGTGCCTGAGCTGCTCTCTGGACAGCCTGCGCCAGGGCTAGGGCGCCCTTGCCCCCTTCTGCCCAGTGAGTACATTTCACAGCATCAAAAGCCCCATGTTCTTTGGAAAGGTGGCTGATGAGGTCCAGCTCGGTCTCTGTATCTGTCCTGTAAAGGCAGAACTTCATGTTAAAGCACAGACAATGCCTGGAGAGGACAGAGTCTCTCTTTTTTGCCATTAAAACCCATGTGAATTACCTGCTGACACATGGACACTAATCAAGTAACGTTGTTTGGGTTTGAGTCCCAGCTCCACAATTTACTAGCAAGGTGACTTTTGGCCTGGACTTCCATGTGGGTAAAATGGGAAGAATCACAACACTTATTTCACTTGGAATGTCACGAGGCTTAGATGGTGGATACATGCAAAGCACTCAGCACATCATGGGAATCAATAAATACTTGTTTTTTAAACAATTTTGCTTCCCATTCTTCTGTGGTTAGGCCATTATAACAAGACCAAAATCAGCATTACAGTATGTAAACAACCCACGCAAGTTCTCTCCTGCAGGAACAGTTCCAGCTCAATACATTGGACTCTTTGTCAAGACAACACCCCACCAGGCCCAGGGAAATAAGGAAACTTTGTAGGGCTCTGACCCTGTCAGCTCAAAAGGCCTCTGCAGACCAAAAGGAACACTTAACTTCAGGTCTGTGTGTGACCCACTTCACCTGGAGAGGAAGGGGACCCACAGGAGCCAAACCTCACGGTGGACCCTCAGCGGGTGAAGTGACGAGTCCCCTGTGCCGTCTGTAGTGAACGCCATGTTGCAGGCTCCCCGAATGGCCCCCAAGCACAGACTTACAACCAACAGGAGTAACTGAATCCAAATAAAGCTAAAAGCTGCAGGATATGTTTTCTGACCATTTCCACAGTCCCCCCGGACTCTGACACTTGGCACTTACTTGAATGCATTCACGGCCACCACTACTGGAACTCCAAACATTCTGGCATTTTCAATTTGTTTCTTCAAGTTACTGAAGCCTTTTTCAACCAGCTCCAGGTTCTGTAAAAACAATAGTGCCAGTGTTGGTCCCTCTGTGAGGTTGGAAAAAGCACAGCTGAAAACAGTTCCAGGTTATTCTTAAAAAGGGACCTGTCTCCTCAAGTCAGAGCCCTCACTGCCAGGACGAGCTGAGATGAGAGGGAGCAGATCGCCTGTGCCCCCGCACCAGTGAGTGTGCTGTGGACCCTACGATCCCGTGCCAGCCCCCCACCATGTAAGACATTGGAGTGGACTCTGCCTGTGTCCTGAGCACATGAGAGCTGGCGTCTTTGCTGTCATCACACCAGATCTTCACAGCATACTTGCTGTTTAAAGGGAATCAGATGGCCTTAAATACATTATAGGTATAATTCCTGTGTTTATAGATTTATGTACTCATACGATACCATGGTACAAGCTAACTCAGCGGTGCACAGACCCTTCCATCAGAAGACAGAGGCTAGCTCAGTGCCTGGCATTCATTACACAGCTGCTATATAGGTACTGTTGGAAACCATGAAGTAATCAGTGATGCTTCAAAGGTTTTAATGAATTTGACCATGAACCTTTACTGGGGACAAGAGAAAACAGGGTGGATGCCATCTGTACGAACCAAGTAGTATGTACTTTAAAGGAAGAAATTAAGGAAACAGACTTTTAAATATGTTTAATGCAACATTGCTTGCAGCACTGAAAAACTGAAAACAACACAGACATGCTTCCATAGAGGATCTGTGATATACACGTTCAGTAAATATGTATCCTGCAGATGTTATGAAAAGGCAAAGAATCTGTATTACATGGAACCTGTCAAAGATGTATTCAGTAGCAAAGCTAAGGAGAACTTAATTCCATTTTTGGACAAATACAAAAATACATGTATATATTCATAAGGTTTTCTTAAATGTTGAGAAATAGGCACCAAACTGTTAAAAAGACTCAAATCATGTGCTATTAAGGATAAAATTTTAAACAAAGGGTGTGTAACTAATATAAGCTTAAAATACATTAAATATTTAAAATATAAAAATATAGTTGTATATAAAACTATATACACTGGATCATGAGTGAAATCGAGTAGTCGTAGCTCTTGGTTTGTGGATTCCATGAAACAGCAGAAAAAATTAGGTAAGTTAAAGGTAGAAAACATCTGAGATCCTTATAAACACAATATATGTTTTTCCTTTGATAATTGAAAACTGAGATTAGGATTTAGCTGATATTCTAAAAAGTACTGCTAATTCTTTGCCTCTAGTCACATGAAAACCAATTAATAGGTAAGACTAATTGAGAACAGTTTTAAATAAGTTAGAATTTCTTAAATGAGGCTGCCAGCTGGGCCGGTTAGAGGCCGTCATTCTAATCAGACGCAGGGAAGGCGGCGGGGTGGCAACAGGGCCAGAACTGAACTCCTCTCCTACGCATGAATCAGACAAACGACCATAAAAGGCAGATCGTAACTCAGAGGATGGGCAGCCTCAAGGCACGGACGATTCTCTTCTAGCTGCTTTGAAATACTTCATTTGGGGTCTAAACAGTGACTCTGTGTTGCTTGGCAATTTAGGAGATTCCGAAAAAAGGCAGGAAAATTGAATTAGTGACAGCAGCTGACCTTATGATCTCATTTGAAAGCCACTCTCATAACCACCCCAAACTGACTCTAGAGATGTTTCTTTGATGGTAGATAATATAAATATGAAAAGGTTCAAGCTCAGAATTCTTTGAGGTCCTGCCTGATACCAAAAACCAAGTCAGCTTATAAAAACTTTGCTTAGAAAAATAATAAGGATGCTGACTATATCTTGGCCCTTCAATCTGAATTTAAACCTACAGAGGAAAAGACATTTCAAAAAAAGGTCCCAATACACCAAAGATGCGGGTTCAATCCCCATTCAGGGCACGCACAGGAATCAACCAACAAATGCGTAAATGGAACAAATTGATGTCTCTTTGCCTCCCTTCTTCTCTCTCTAAATAACTTTAAAAAAATTTTTTAAAAGGTCCCTATATTTGCTTTTGATTTGAATGGCATTTGGGAATCAACCAGCTAACATAGGGAAGACAAGGAAACTTCCATTAGTCTAGAGAAGGGTTTCTTAATCTCAGCACTACTAACATTTGGGCCAAATAACTGCTTGTAGTGGCAGTGGGGGGTTATCCTGTGCACTGCAGGGTGTTCAGCAGCATCCCGGTCTTACCCACTAAATTTCAGTAGCATTCTCCATGAGTTATAATGGTCAAAAATGTCATTGTTAAATGTCCCCTGGGAGGCAAAACAGCTCCCAGTTGAGAAACCACCACCGCTCTAGGGCAATGGTTTTACTGATACCCTATGTGGGGCAATTCTGTCTTATGAGGCACTTCTTCCCTATTTCGTTTAATTTCCATGTTCAGCACACTGCAGGCCTTTCAGCATCCCGTTCCCAAAGCAACCCTGGGTCACAGGGATACCCGCACTCGTCCCCAAATGAGCTGGGCTGAGATATGCTGATTCAGAGTGTGGTACTTTCTAGGTCGAGTAATTAGAAATGACTGAAGTTACCTCCTCTATGTAAGCCTTGGGAAGAGGCAGTCCAGCAGTTACCTGGAAGGAAAGGAAGCAAAGTCAGACATTTTCTATTTACAAATAGATACCAGCTTAAAATGGCATCTGCCATGGTTTAAAGGCTGCAAGTGGCATGCTTGGGGGATATACAGCAGTAAAGGTCGTTTCCTGCCGTAAGGATTTAGGGCGTATGAATAACCCTATAGCACAGAATGAAAATGACTGCTTTGGGGAGAGTGGGGACCTTTGTGGTGAGAAAGGACAGACCTATGAAGGCATGGGCCAGGGGCAATGACCTCGGTGAGTGATGTGCACAGCAGTGGGGGGTGGAGGTAAAGGTGAGCATAGGGAAAAAGGCATCTGTGTCAGCTCTGCAAAGGCCACCTTGACGTGTCCACCAATGGAGTCTGTGGCAAGCTCTGCAACAGGATCATGGTGGTCTGCAGAGCCAACCCACACCTCGGCCCAGCCGAACTGTGATGCATGAGCACCACAAAGAGCAGGGAACCACCACCAGGATTCCCTTCCTCGATCACAGTGTATTTAAGATAAAAATACTTCAGCAGTGAGGTTCACTCTTACAGAGGGTCCTGGTGGCTTGGCCCTGCAGCACTCACAGGCATGAGCATGGGGGTAAAGGTGCTGATGCCAGAAACCCTACTGTGGGCAATGGACAGTGATTAAGAAGCCTTCAGTTTTTCAGCTTGGTCTGCTCCCATTCCTCAGAGAGACTATGGTGTTCCACTCCAAAAGGGGCCATGAGGTGACGTGAGCCACCTCGTTCTGGGCCTTACATGTAGCTCCACAAGGTAATGTGAGCGGCAGGTCTGACTCCTTGGCAGAGAGATGTGTGTGCATAACCTCCTCTCGGTGCTGCCCAGGTTCAGTGCCTGGCATTACTTTTTAGATGACGAGGTCAGGGGAAAAGGAGGTGCACAGTTGTGAGAGTGAGTGAGGGGGCGCAAGAGAGAAATGGTGATCGTGATTGGGAAGGAAAAGGGAGTCCTCCTGTGCTGTTGTGGGGAGTACGTGCCCAGGTTAGGAGTGCTTTTGGTACCTCAGGACAATAGTAAGACTGGAGAGGTGTGCTGGGGGTGTGTTATGGCACTGGTTCTCACAGAGAGGCCTGGGGACCAAATCCTTTCCTGGGACCCACAAGGTCAAGACCGTTTCCATAGTAATTCTCACATATCACAACCTTTTTCCTTCTTACTCTCTCATTGAGTATACAATGGACTTCTCCAAAGATTATGTGACATCACCTACTACAAGGGATCAAATGCAGATGAGAACCCAGCAGTCTGCAGTTAGGCCAGATCCTGAAGAGATCTGAAAAATGTACAATGCCTAAATTTTGTTTTGAAAAATATGGTAACTTTTCGCTCTGGCTGGTGTAGCTCAGTGGATTGAGCGCGGGGTGCAAACCAAAGTGTCGCAGGTTCGATTTCCAGCCAGGGTACATGCCTGGGTTGCAGGCCATAACCCCCAGCAACCGCACATTGATGTTTCTCTCTCTCTCTCTCTCTGTCTGTCTCTCTATCTCCCTTCCTTCTCTCTCTAAAAATAGATAAATAAAACCTTTAAAAAATATAGTAACTTTTCATTTAAAAAAGTGATTTATGTTAATATGCAATTCAGTTTTAATTCCTAACATAATAAATGTCAAAAGATATAACCCACCTAAATAAAAGTTCTTTCTGGCCCTCAGTAATTTTTAAGAGCATAAAGGAGGTCTGAGACCAAAATACTTGGGAACTGCTATACTGATCACTACACTAAGAAAGAGTGATTTTGTTCTGTAGTTGAGTGAGGTCTGATTTCTCAAGTTACAGGGTAGGAACTGAACACTTCTTCAAGTAATTTCAGAATGCTGGTTGGCACCACGTCTTCACACGCAGGCACTGAAGAAAAGGTGCAAAGATAACAGTATAACAAGTGAAATTTCTAACCAATAGGGATTCAGGAAAACACAAAGTTCAGGTTGGAGCTGAAAATAACCAGTCTGAACTGTACCCACAGGCAGTGTTGAGCTTCTCCACCACTGTCCCTCCCCCCTACTCCAGGGTGTCAGTGGTCCCGCCCAGCACACACCTGTCCAGAAGGGACTGACCTGTCTCAACTCAACGGTTTGGTTGGCTGGCTGCCAGTGTCACTGTTCAGAGGGAAAATGGGACTGAGATTTTAAAAGAACAGTCTGAACATAGGAGTTTGTTGTGGGTATAGTAAGCACATGTCCTTGGAGGGATTTAGATATTATCAGATGTTTTCCTCAGCAAGGCAAGCCATGAAGCTAATTTCAGCCCTCTTAAAATGCCGAGAGCTGGGAGTGCCTATGCGTGAAAAGGCAGCTAGCACAAGGGCTTCCTGAACATCCCTGCCCGAAGGCACCCCATTAATCCTGAGAGTAACAGCAACTTAATGAAGAAACGGGCACACGTCATCCAGCTTCCCTTTAGCCTCCAGAACATTCCTGATGATAAGACTCTTCCTATTCCTGCTGCTCACCGCGGGGCCGCCTCCGTGCATTTTGAGAGCCCTGACAGTGGCAACGAGCACCACCACGTGAGGGCGGAGACCAGAGTACCGGCATTTGATGTTAAAAAACTTTTCCATTCCGATGTCGGCTCCGAATCCTGCTTCAGTCACTGTAAGTGAGAAGAAAAGCAACTGTAAAAATGCCACCCCCACTCCTTTGATGTTAAAAAACATACCATCTATTCAGTGACTGTGCAAAAGCACTCACCTACAAATCCTTCGGGGCCAACAAGCTTGAGCGCAATCCGGTCTGCAATGATGGAGGAATTCCCATGCGCGATATTAGCGAACGGCCCAGCGTGAACAAACACTGGAGTGCCCTGTGGGAATCAAGGCAGCGTGAGCGAGCCTGCCAACCCTGCTTCAAAATGGGATCATTGTCAGTTGGAATTCAAACACAAAGAACAGAAAGATATCCGAAAGGGTTAAATATGAAGCTGCCTCTTTTACGACAGTAATGTCCTAATTGCAACTGTGAGAAAGAATGAGAAGAGAGAGATGAGCAACTAGAAAAGGTCTTGACTCCCCCCAAAAGAGTGTGAACACAGAAAACTGACCCAGAAAGATAGTAACCACTCGGCTCACCTCTAATGTCTGCATGAGGTTGGGCTTGATTGCATCTTTCATGAGCACGGTCAGCGCACCACTCACCCCCTGTAAGACAAAGGCATGAAGTGTGGGTTCCTACCAGCAAAAAACCAGCCTTTTGAAACAAAACTTCAACACCCTCAGATCTTCCTTTTTTAGCCATCTCGAACCAATTAGTACTTTCATCTGAACTAGACCATGCATTTATTCATTTATTTATTTTTTCTGGATATACTCTGAAGTTACCAGTTATTTTAAGTAGAAAGAACAGCTAGAATAAAAACAACATTCACACATAATTTTTGAAAAAAAAAAAAAAAAAGTAACTCTTGAGAACATGCATGGAAGAGGGCAATCCATTTTAGACTGGTTTATAGTGCAAAAATGCTAGTTCTTTGAGTGCTAAATTATTTGTAAATTTGGTGTCTGTGCAGAAATGGCCACAAAACCAAATTCAGTACCTGTTTCCCAAAGCAGAAACTAAAAATTTACCCAGGAATTCAATACAAACTCTTATATACAGGTCCCCTTTCAAAGCCCTGCAACCAGAGCTGAACAAACTGGTAACAAAGTACAATAAAACTATGGATCCCAGTTATATTAGATTTTCTGTGAAGATTTTTATTTATTTTTAGTGAAAGGGGAAGGGAGGGAGAAAGGGAGAGAAACATTGACGTGAGAAAGAAACATGGATTGGTTGCCTCTTGCATGCGCCCTGACTGGGGACCCAACCCGCAACCCAGGCACATGCCCTTGACAGGAATCAAACTGGCAACCCTCTGCTTTGAGGGCTGACACCCAGCCAACCGAGCCACACTGGTCTAGAGCCAGTTATATTCAATTTCAATAAGTTTCTGCTTTGGGTGTGAAAATGTAAAATAATTCATTTTTACACGTATTAACTGTCCAAACAGGATATTAATGTTTCCCCCTTTTTTGAATTCACCTGATATACTGCTCACTTAATCACAGGTCAACCATTATGGTGTGTACCAACACAATCAGACCATTAAAAATTAATCTAGCCCTGCTGGTGTGGCTCAGTGGATTGAGTGCCGGCCTGTGAATTGAAAGGTCGCTGGTTTGATTCCCAGTCAGGGCACATGCCTGGGTTGCCAAACAGGTCCCCAGTTGGGGGTGTTGGGGGTGTGAGAGAGGCAAGCAAATGATGTTTCTCCCCCTCTCCTCTTCTCTCTGAAAATAAAAGTAAAATCTTTAAATAAATAAATAAAATAATAAGAAAACTAATCTATAAGGTTATCTCATTTCAAACCTCATGTTATCGTGGACAGTTCAGAAATAAATCAGAAGTAGAGAACTAGCCTAGTGGGACCATGAAATAACTAGATGATGAGTTATTCCCAATGCGGTTATCAGCGTGGATAAGGTGGTGGCCAACACACCTCGTGACTAGAGGCCTCTGGCAGGGAGGCCAGTCCTGGGGACAGGCCAGGGTGTGACTTCAAGCTCAGCTACTGAGGGCCTCACCGAGACTCCTGGTGTCCTCTGCAAACTGACGTCAGGTCCCCACTTTCAGGGATATCCACAGGTTGAAGACGTTGTTTAAACCACCAGAAACCAGTGGTCTATTAGTGGAGCACACTACCTATCACTCACTATGAAGTACATTTTATAAATTTCAGAACTACCCTGCCAGCAACGAAATCATATTACATTTATTAAACTGCAGCATAAGTTTTGTGATCAGGAACCGCTGAGAGACCCTAGGACAACAGACACGGGTGTGTCACAGGCCCACAGTGCCGGGCACGCACCAGATCTTCAGTGCTGATGGGCTCCCCTTTCTTGCTGGAGGCCACCACCATTTTGCTCAGTCTCTCTCTCATGTCTTCCAGGGAACTGGTCAGAGCCAGGACAGCCATGATTTCACTGGCCACAGAGATATCAAACTGGGTCTGTTGGAAGGAGAAAGACACAGCAGGGCAGGCTTCGTTACACAAGAACAGTGTAGTGCAAAAGTGAAATGGATAAAATAACAGTAGTACACAATGAACTTAGTGAAAATAATTTGTGATTAACTATTCCAAGACCTTGAGTAGTCCAATTTTAAAAATAAAGATTCTAGCAGGCCAACAACCTCAGTGAAAGCAGCTTGTAATCCTGCAGTGAAGGTTCCCATACATACGGGGCAACACCACGGAAGCTCTTACACTGAAGAGTCATACTACAGAAAGGCCACAGAAAAGAAGCATTTCAATTGTGTGCAAAGGTATTCACTTGGGGCTCTCCACCTCCAGGAAAAATTGCCGAGGGAAAAGCACACAGGTGACACATGGGATTTATTGCAAAAGCTGTCAGGAGTGCGCGATACCACACGCCCACGCACTTCCATTTTAAAAGGGAGAAGGCAGAACAACACCTGGCAGATCGGCCGGGTGGGAGCCGAGGGAGGAGGACAGAAGGAGCAAGGATTTGGTTCATCTGAGCTAATGGATTTAAAACGGAACAAGTAGTTACCGTCCGTGTGTGCCCTTTCTCTGTTGGAGCCTGTCCAATTGTGATCTTCCTCAGGAATCGATCGTTGGTGTCCAGCACTACAGCAGAAGGGAAGGGGCAGAACAATGTTTAGTAAAAGGGCCATGAAGGTAAAGGAACCAGCCCACTCTCAAGGCAACAAGTCTGACTTAATGTCCGTCTATGAATACCTGGTTTCAAAACTGATGGCAAACCTAGACTGTGAGTTCAAATTAAGAAATGATGTTCACATATCGTAGATGTACAGGAATTATTTTGAAAGAAATTTGAACTGGCTTGGTTTTATTCTGTCTGGAGAATTCACACAGCTAGAAATCTACAACTTCTTCGACCTCACAGGAAAACAGCATGCCCTTTGTCAAAGGCAGGAGTCTGTGCTGTCGTGCTGCGGGATGACTCGCTGACCTTACCCTGTCCTGAGAAACGCAGGGCAGGGCAAGCACCTTCCAAAGCATGCTGGGAGACACAGACCTGCTGTTTCCTTCAGCACACTGAGAAGAAATCATTTCCATCCCAGAGACAGAATATCTATCCAACTGTATGCCCTTGGAAACACAGCAAAGATCAACTAATCTTCCTCCTGCCCCCCAGGACTAATTACTGTTGACATGTTAGTGTATTTCCAATTTTGTTTTTTGTATGAAGTGCCAAGAATAACAAAATACAAAATGAACAACACATTGGTAAGACTCTAAACGGATCAAAGAGGAGAGGTATTCTTAACACACTTGATAACATGCCAAATTATTTTCCATGAAGATGAAAAAACACCCAAAACGGTGTGTTGTTTAGCAGACACTCACACACTCCACTTGCTTAAGCGAAGGATGTAATATTCTACTGAAGTCTACCCTTATTTTTCAAAAAATATATATCAAGTTCCTTGTACCTCATGTGTCTGTATAAAACAGCCAGTCAATGGGTATGACCCATTTTTCCTCTAGTCTGCTTTTGCTTTCTTAAAAAACATACATTAGACATTAAAGTGAAGGAAAAGTGAATGAGATACTAAATTTTCAAAATAGATCTTTAGTTTATTCCTCACAAAGTATCATACCATCTGCCTAACACCACTGAAGCAAAGGGAGAGAATTATCATTATGGTTTTATATATTAAGAGAGTCATCTTAAAAATGCCATTAGCCAGCAACAGTTACTGAGCCAACAAAAATCACAAATACAGTCAATAACTAGATGTTAGTTGCATTCTGCCTGACCTGGTGAAAATTCCTTCTCAGCAGTGACACAGGGTAGATGGATGTACCTGGTACGAAATAAAACTCTAAGCTGGGCTGGTTGTGTGTTGCAACATATGGCAGTGAAGCCAGGCAGCTCACACACTAAACTGTCAAGAAACCCTGAAGACTACCTGCTTTGTTACAGGAGAGTTTAATAAAATGAGGTAAAAATGAGTAGGCAAGTTGGAGAGCTACAAGAAAAATCAAGTCACTTATGCTAGACAAGAGTTCTGAGAATAAAGGGCAACATGAATCAGAAACTGATTAAACAGAAAACTTGCAAAATGTTATTTTTGGCATATGCATGAGCTTCTACGAAACCACCCTCACTCCAATCAACAGAGAATAGCCAGCAAATGCCCAACTAACCCAACAAAAAGGTAGCTTGATTACAGCTAATAAGGAGAGGGCTGATGGAGGTGGCCAGAAATATGAGTAACTCACCATCCTGGTCATGTCTTAACCATGAAAATACCAACATACAGCTTCCAGACCCCACATTTTAACCACTTTCACAGAGGGCATGGAGCGCAGTACAGCCAAAATAAAGGGGACAGGTATACGGCTTTGGTACCTCTCTGCCAGGTTATGGATTCCGGATCAATATCCAGTCTAGCAAATCTGTTTATCTCTTCGTCTGTCAGTGTGGTAGGGTCGGTCTTTTCAATGCCTAGTCTCTGAAGAGGTAGTAAAATGAGAATATAAAACAAGACAATACAAACAAAAGCATAATAAATTTAAAAAATTTTTTGATTCCCTATCTCCGGCAAGGGCCCCCCTCCCCCCCATAGAAAACAAACCATGTTTAATTCAGAGGGGAAAAACTATGATCCCTTTCACGAAACCTTTATTTCCTACTCACATAACGTACAAAGGTATTATCAACACGTCTGTCCCTACAGCTGTTTAGACACATTTTCCTAAGCCTAGAAGTGTTGTACCTAATTCACCAAACCCAAACATACTGAAAAGAAAAGCAAGGTGCAAAACCTTTTCCATCAGACAATTGAGAAGCCCAATTCAAATGAAATATTAGAAAGGACAAAAATAAGCATAAATCAATATAAATCTCACTCAAACATGTTTTTTTATGTAGCACTATACTTTTACAGCCTTCTTATTGTTTCAAAAGGCACACAAAGGGTTTGTCTCTTCCTCTTCATAGAACTTGGCAGTTTTCTTTATTTACAGTGTGTACATGGGTCACACTCGGAAATGGAAAATGCTTATAAAATGTAATCTCCTTCCAACACTTGGTAGGTCTGAGTGGGTTCCAGCAAGCCGTCCTCCTTCCATAGTTCTGTCCTTGTGCTATGAACACTTTGTTTTAAAGCCTCAGACATGTTTTCAGGGCTGGAGCTCACTGGCTTGTCAAATAGCCTCACATTCCTAGCATAGGACATTGTGTACGGGAATTACTAGGCTGCGAATCTGCTGTTGACAACCCACTCTTGCCTGAGCACCGGGAGGCAGACTGCAGTAACACCGTGCAACAGAAGATGCTTGGGGACCCAGGACACAGGAGACTGCGGATCTAGGTGCAACCTGGTGAGGGGTACTGTGGTCTTAAATAAATTCCCGGATTCCCAATCCTAAAGCTTTTTAAAGGACTATTTAATATTTAGTTCGGTGCCTCCTCACATGTGACAGGAAGTTCCATCAACAAAGGCAAAATCAGAAGTTGCTGGCTCTTCCCATGGTACTTTGCTGCCTCAGAGAACACAGCTCTTTTATAAATAGGGTAATAGTTGCCTTGCCTGATACATAGGATTGGGGGGAGGGGTGTAAAAACAAAAGAAGCTAAGGAATATCACATTGTGTAACAGTTACTTTTTCTCAAGTCTAGAAATAACGCACATCCATAAATAGTGACAGAATTGTAAAGGAGACCAGATTGTAAACAATGCATTTGGGTAAAGGGGAGATTCCTGTATTATTCTTACAGCATCAGAATATCAAGTTGTAAAAACTAAAACTAAAGTGACACCAACAGTTGTTGATACACACACAAGGAATGTAACAGTTCATTCCTTTTTATTTTACGGACATGCCAGTTTGTTTATCTATTCGTCCACTGACAAAGGACCTTTGGGTTGTTTCTCGACTTGGGGAATTAATAGAGCCTCTAAAACCTTCCATGTTTTTGTATGAACACAAGTTCATATTTCTCTAGGACAAATGAACCTAGGAGTGAGATTTCTGGCTATCTGATTGGAATAGTGCACGTTTAATGACTATATTTTTTAGTAGAAACTCAGGTTAAATAGAGAAGTAACCATTCTTGCTTAAGGTGCCAGCGCTGGGAAGAGCAGAGATGCAAACGTCACGGCAGTCTCCAGTCTTCTCTCCAGTCTTCGCAGCTGAGGGCAGGTGGCCAGTGCTTTGTTTATTTCAAGACTAACCAGTGATAATTTACATATAAATGAGAAATAACCCCTACCACCAATCTCTGTTATGTATATCATGACCTTAAGGCTATGGTTTGGATGTAACTATCCAAAATAGGATACTCCATGGAGAGTTTTTTTTTTTTTTACCTCTTATCAATTAGTTGCACACTGTATCAAAAATGAAGAGGGGAAAGCTTACCCGTAACCTTCGGATCTGGATATCAGAGAATTTTCTCACTCCATTTACTGATGGTACCAAACGATTAAAGAGGGCCTTGAACAAAAGGAACAGGAGGGCTTTTAAATGATGGGAACCCCTCTGCCTTGCTCCCTGCACCAGCTGCACCGGAGGGACCAACATTAATTCAGGTGCTTGAACCCTTTCAAAAGTGCCCATGGGGCGTTGGCGCCATACCTGGTCAGTCTGGGTCAGTTCATGGAATATCCGGGCATCAATGGCGGCAGCCACGAGGTTATTAGCTGCAGTGATGGCGTGGATGTCACCAGTGAGGTGCAGATTAAACTACAAAAGAGCAGGAGACACCTCAGTCCTCTAACTTTCCCACATTCAATCTACAGCCAAATCAATCCCTATGTGAAAGCCAATGGACAGCCGATGGCAGCACAGCTAGAGGACACACGGCCAACACAGGCAGGTCATGAAAACATAAACTACTGTGTTCAGAGGAAATTGTGGTTTCCCCTAAGTGACAGTCCAGTAACCACAGACACTATACCACTGGCATCAACAGCAGCACCGAGTCACTGAGGGCACACTGATGTCCCTTAAACAGCGAGCAAGGGGTGCAGTGGAGCAACCCAACCCTATGTCTGTACTTTGCTCACATTTCTACAGTTATTACTCTGAATTTACTCCATGTTGGTTTTCCCCAATCTCATGCTTCACTTGATCGCTTGCTTAAAATTATTAATTCCCCTCTGAAAACCAGACTTTGAAGTCCTTTTCATCAAAAAACTAAGCTGTCTTAAAACTTTGCAAATTAAGATGCTTTCCCCTTAAGTGTCATTTCTGTTGGAAAGTGAGTCATTTTTCCATTAAGACCTCTACAAAAAGATTAATTTCTCGGAGGACAGATTATAATAAAGGGTCTGACTCAACCAAACCCCGGGACACTTTACCTCTTCCATAGGAATGACCTGTGAGTAGCCACCACCAGCAGCGCCACCTAGAGGACAGGTCAAGGGTGAGGCTCGAGTTAGGCATGCTTCACAAAGAGGAAATCAAATCGATTTTTGTAACTGCTGTGCATATTATTTATTTACTTTTTACAACTATTTGGACAGATCTGATAAGTATTTTCATTTTTTATTTTTCTACCAGGTTAAAACACCGGATCTTTCTCGTGCTGAATAGACTCTCGGCTGAGATCTGAGCTAACTGACAAACCACGAGCACGCACACACCGACTCTTTATCTTTGGAAGCAGGTTCCCCCTGGTGCCTGACATCTGTGAAAAGACCCAGACGACGGTTACATAAAGGCAAACCCGTTCGATTTCCCACTCTCATAAGCACTACTCTGGCATTTAAACAAAGCAATAGTTAAAACACACACTGAACACTAATGCAGGGACTGTGATTCTTCTTAAATAGGAGATACAGGTTAGAAAAAAGATTAACCACTAGATTTTTGCTGGCGTATTTGGATTATTAACCGAAAGCTAGTAAGAAAAAAAAAATCCAGGTTTTGGAGATATGGATTCTTTTATTTTTGATGAGTCAGGGACCATGCGATGAAAAAATGGGGCAATTTGTGACGTGAAGAAAAGGAGAATACTGGGTCAGTAAGCAGAACAAGGAAAAAAGGTTTGTTCTGACATTGAAAAAGATTTAAGCTCAAAAGCAGAACTAAGCACACTTACTAAACAGATCAAAACGACAGGCCGAAGGGCAAAGGTGTACCTGAGTTAACTTTTAGTCAACTCTCATGTTATAGTCAACATCAGAACAAGCAGAATATGGGATACCCTACCACTAAGCAAATGAGAAAGTGAACCCTAAGAAGCTATTACAATTAATAAAAGATAATTTTAATTAAAAGAACATCTGCAGTACTGCAGCTGTCCAACACTGAAGGCGAAGTTCGATGACTGACCTCGCACTTTTACGCACCAGGTGAAACCCTGCGTTGACGGTGCTGCTCCAGAGCTTGAACCAGACATGGGGCCCACTCTGGGACTTAAGAACAGTGCCTCTGACCTAGCTGTCTCTGAAGTCCCAGTTGCTGCTATTGTAAAATGGGGATACTTTCTTATCTTAGAAAATGAAATAATATGCATCAGCTGCTTAGCACAAAACCTGGCATAAGGCACATACTCAATAAGGGGAGGCCTTTCTTATTCCCATAGGGCACAGTATCTGCAGGGTTTGCCTGCGTCTCTAGAAAGTCAGCACTGTGACTGGTAGCTATGATTGCCTTTGTTGTTGCGGAGACAGCTGGCTGTTAGTCATACATAAGTACCTCTGCCTACAGAGTACCCATCCCAGGAATTCCTGTGCAGAGTCAAATAGTGATAGCAGGAGCTGACGTGACTCGAGGAAAGCCTTCACCAAAAACACCATAACAGCGGGTATGAGGAAGACATTCCTAGCACCTAAATCAGCTGAAGACCCCATAAGCATTCATGCATCAAGAAAGCCTGGGGAAGCCTGAAGGAGAGGCAGGTGTATTCTGGCCACCCAAGTCCGGTCCCACCGATACCTTTTATCCCAAAGGTGGGGCCTTGGGAAGGCTGCCGCACACACGCAAAGACGTTCTGATGGAGGTGGGCTCCGAGGGCTTGCACAAGCCCGATTGTGGTCGTGCTCTTCCCTTCTCCCAGGGGAGTGGGAGTTATTCTTTCAGATGAAAGCAAAAGAGGCAAAATTACATTCAGGGGAATTACATTCAGGGGAATCACTAAGGCAGACCTCACAGATCCTAGAGAATGATTCTTAATTTGAATAAGACAGACAAAAGACCTGAAAAGGATCTTTGGAGTCTTAATTGTAATTTCCTCCCAACTTTAAATTAAAAAACATTGCTGTGCTATTGTACTTCTCACTGTAAGGAGCATATATACTTTATCTTGTACACTACTAAAAGACACTGCTATGCTTTAAATGTCTCTATTTAGTCTGAAAAAACTAGCTTTTATATGTATGTCAGATCAAGCAATAAAAATGAATGCTTGCCCTGGCTGGTGACTCAGTTGGGTGGACGTCATCCAGCAAAGAGAAAGGTCACTGGCTCAATTCCCCTTCAGGGCACATGCCTAGGTTGTGAGTTTGAGTTCGGTCGTGGTTGGGGCATGCGCGAGAGGCAGCTGATTGATGTTTCTCTCTCACATTATTTCTCTCCTTCTCTTTCTCCCTTCCTTCCCCTCTAAAAATAGATAAATAAAATCTTTAAAAAAAAAGAATGCTCACTAGAGCTAAAGAATTAATGAACTTGGGGTTTAAAAAAATAGCAATTCCATATGAAGACAAGGTTTTAGGACCCAACTCTTCTACTAACTTGAAAAATTTTCTCATCTCTGAACGTTACATTCTACTCTGACCTCACAGGGTGGCTGTATAGACCAAAGCAGATAAAAATACCTGTGAAAATGCTAAAACCAAAGTAAAGGAAACTTCACATATATATGCTAAGTGCAAATGCAAGCCCTGATAATAATAATCAAGATTAATATTAAGATTTGATTGGCAAATGAATAAAAAACACACCCAGTCACCACCACGTATTTCCCATCGGGCTGTAGCTTTAGGCGTTTCAGCACCGACAGCAGAACTTTGGCCTTTGTTTCCCCATACAGTTCCACCTCTTCAGAGAGCAGACCAATTTCTTGAGCCAAGTTACCAATGGACTTTGGCTTCTGGGATCGCGATATGTCAATGTCACTTAAAAGAAATATAGAAAAGGTGAATTGATCTTTATTCATGGAATTAATTAATCCAACCCTAGTAATGCCCCACCCCAACCACTGACAGTACTTTCAGAAGGGGTGTATGTGTCGCCATGGCTACAAACCAACAACCCACAACGTTTGAAACCTGTAAAATTTTATTTTTACCTAGGAACAGGTGTCTTGAGGTTAAGCTTGGTATACTGAATCGGCCACTTTCCTGGCTTAAATTTCTCCAGGAAACGCTTTGCACTCTCTACTGTGCTCTAAACAAAATGACAGAAATGGAATGTAGATGATTATTTTAACCTCCACCTCAATTACGAATCCCCGGTCAATCAAGTTCAATCACAAAATGAACAGCTTTGTGGTCCACCTATGAATGTGCTTTAATTCCAGGCAAGCATCAGTAGGCACCTAAAACGCCCTGGGCTGCTTGCCTTTCCCCGTGTCAGCTAGTGTGGGTTAAAAAGTGCTTGCACTTTTCTCTTCCTGAAGTTACATTCCAAACCAAATGAGAATAGTGCCTTCCCCACTTTTCTCTGCTAATACGACAGACTCTATTTCTCTCTTCTTCCACTACCTTTTTTTTCTTCAACAGATTCATATCCTTACTTAGCTTCTGAGCAGGTTTTATGACATTTCTATTTGGGGAGAAAAGCAGTAACTTGGATTCTATCCGTTTCCTAGAATGAATAAGAAACTTTTAGTCAAACGCACCTGCATTAGCATGGCCACGGTCATGGGCCCAACGCCTCCAGGAACAGGAGTGATGAAGGCCGCCCTCTCCTTTGCCTCGCTGTATGCCACATCGCCCACAATCTTCTTCCCATTCGGTTTAGTGTCATCTGGTCAAGGCGGGGGGAAAAATCCGAAGAAAGTCTCAGAATTGTAATCCTGGTGTTTATTTCTAAATTAAGTGATTAACTACAACCCCTTGTTCCAAAAACTAAATAAGTTTAGGGTGTGTAGTCCCATCTGGCTCAAGTGCCTACTTTACTTAAAAGCTATGGGATGACAGGTGTTCGCTATTTCCTAGGGATAACCTTATCTTACCTGCAAAAATTCACAAGGTATTTCAATGGTTTTTCAGAACCAGAGGAATCCTTTTGTAGTCTGTCAGGTGGCAAACAAAATACCAACTCTCTTTTACTCTTAAAGCCAACTACCCAATTTATAATGAGCTCCTTTTAAAATGTTAATTTGCTGAGGCCTACAAAGGAATTTTTTGGGTGCACAAAGCTTCAACTATGTCACAGCTGCCAGATACCGTTTCTACAGCAACTGCCAGCATTTTGTAAGCTCCATGCATGAGATGGAGGAACAATTCAACATCTAGTTCCAAAGAGGAGCAGCTACTTAAATGTATGTGAAAGGAAAAGAATATAATTACACTTCCCTAAAAAAGATACAAGAATAACTACAATTCTTACAAGCAAAGAATAGCTGTTCAAGGGAACAAAACCCAGTGATGCATCATTGCTCACTCACACAAAAATCATCTCCACTGGGTTTCAGAGCACTTCCGGGAGGGGCCGGGGGACTGGGCCGGACCTGGCAGCTCGAAGGCTTCCCAGGCAGGATCTCATCGGACCTTAGCCATTTCACCATCCTCTCAGATCACATCTCCACAACCACGAGAGGATGCATCAGAGTACAGCAGGTCCCCAAATAACACCATCTCATTGAATGTCATTTTTTTATAACGGATGAAAAAAAAAACCCACCTGATTCCTTGCTGGGGCCACTGTTTGTGGGGGGGTCTCCACATTCTCCCTGTGTCTGTGTGGATTTGCTCCGGTTTCCTCCCACATCCCAAAGACGTGCACGTGAGGTGGACTGGCCTGTCTAAATCGTCTCCCTCTGAGTGTGGGTGTGGGTGACGTGCCCTGCGATGGAAGGGGTCCTGGCCGGGGCTGGTTCCCCACTTGCACCCCAAGCTGCAGGACTAGGCTCCCGCCACCCGTGCCCCTGAACTGGAAGAAGCGGGTTGGAAAATAATGATCGCACTCATTTTTATTCATCCTTCTTAAATGTACATATAGCTCATATTTATTTTGATGTTTAATATTTAAAGTGTTTCAGTCTTTATTTAGAAGTTTGGTGATTTTTTTTGTGGCCAGAAATATACCACAAAAACTTAATTCTTGCTTATATCAATTAGCCTGCAGTAAAATTGGTTTTATTAAACATTGTCTCACTTAAAAACCAGTTTCCAAGAACCTACAGCCAATGTTAACTGAGGGTTGACTGTAGCCAAAAGGCCAGAATTAAGAGACCTAGGCTGGAGGATCAGCTCTTCCACTAACTGCTGGTCCTCAGCCCCTGTGAGCTTCTTCTGATCAGGGCTCTAAAGGTGCAACAATGAATTAATACTACCTATTTTACACACTTGCTGAGAACCAAGTGAGAACATGTGCATATTCTTGAAACTGAAAAGTCATTCTCCAAACTTAAGTTTCTCTTCCTACCGTAAACAGAATAGTTTCTACACGTACTACAAGGAGCTGACAAACAAAAACTCTTCAGGTAGTTTTCAGGTTTCTAGAATATTATAAAGCAGCAGCTCTGGCAGAACATTTCCTCTCATAACCACTAAAGTCATTCCAAAACACCAAGGAAATACTGTTAAGGGTTTGCCTTTTGTACAGGTTTTAATAGCCTAACGCTGAAGTTAGCTTCAAATGTCCCAGGACCTCATTCTATGTTTTCACGTTAGTCACTTTCTCCACGTTTCTCAGCAGGTGGGAGACACAGCAACTGACTGCACAGAAGTGCTGCCCTGGGTGGGCTCAGAGCGCCGCCCCGCCGAACGCCGTCGGGGCTGACTGGAGTGCTCTCTGATGGGTGTGCAGTGTCTCGTGGAAAGTATGATGTGGTCAGTGGGAAAAGTGGCCACTTCCCAATCTAAGTAAGTGTACGGCTTTAGTAACCAACAGACATCTTGGTTAAATACCTCAGGCCTAGAATTCCTCTTTCATTGGGAATTACAGGTGCAAAATTCAACTGAGGATCCAGCTGAGACTTGACTCCTTCGTATTTAATTTGGGGACCCCTGATAACAAACAGAGCCCACTGTAAAGGCCACTGTGCTGGATAAGTTGAGACTGCACTGGGATAGGGTGGGGAATCTGTCCCTTTTTTATAACCCCTCCAAATAAAATGTACTGTTAATCTAGCCCTTCTCAAATTATCTCAGTAAACCAAGCAGGAAGAACACTTTGACATGCTTCTCTGGCCAATTCGTTCTGCTCTGCACTTGAAACTTAAAAATACTCCTTTTTTGGGAAAAAATAAATAAAAAAGTACACACTTTAATTCATTCTTTTTTGGTAAGTGACTTACAATGTTTTCCCTGAGTGCACCGTGCAAATGATTTAAACAACCAAAATACGAGCCAAGCAGTGGCCCAGCTGTGGGAACACAGTCCTTCAGGAGGCAGAGAACAGGCCCTAGATCCTCCGGCCACCTGTGGTCTACAGCTCAGTGACTCTGCCGTCCGGGGGGACAACGAAATCCAACCTTACTGATAGTTACTCAGTCACTCACATGCCCAGGATCAGCAAAAACACAGCTGACCAGAAAGGGAGATAGTACATTGATCTTACCACATTTTACCATCTCCATGAGGAATAAATGTGAACAGGATGGTAAGTTTCATATTTAAGTCAACATTTCATACCTATCCGTGAGACTTAAGTTCCCCACCCAAGTGTCTCTTCATCTCCCTCAAATCTGCCCCCCCACCCCAAAAATGCCCAAAGTGAAATATACAGACGATACAAGGTTTTAAACAGAATGAGCTTGAATGTCATACTGCAAGTACTCAAAAGTAAGGAGTTGTAGGTGAGCACTTCTTTATAATCACCATTAGATAATTACACTACAGAAAAAAACGAGGGCTCAATTATGCGCTACTGCCTTAAAAGCACGGTAGGGAGAGTGGGAGGCAGGTTAAAAACAGTGAAGGCTTGACAGTGACTAGTATTCCTGGCAGCTCGGTGTCTGTATTTCAAACTTGAGATGGGAAGGGAGAAAAAAAGATTTTTCTTGCTGTAACTCCCTTCAACAACTGAACAGACATGAGCGCAAGCAGTTGGAAGGCATGCACCGGACATGGCACAGCGGAGATGGCCACCCCGAGGCTGATGAACAATGGAGGGGAGCACAGGCCACCAAGTATGAGACACACATGATACAAGAAACACCAAGTCTACTCGGGGTGGCGGGGGGTGGGGATAGAGGGAGGGAGAGGATTTTCAAAAGGAGAGCTCATCCCTTGTTGAGGGGGAATTAGACAAGGTTTGAAAGGAAGAAGGAGCATTTCAGACAGAGAGGAGGTGGGGAGGAAGTGGTTGAAAGTGAAGATCACAGCTGAACGGATGAAATTTTGTGTAGCCCAAGGCCTGCGGTGGTGCCGGATGCAGACACAGTCCTTCAATTAAAGATGGTTCCTTCTTGAGTCTATGAGATGTGTATACTAGTATTTCCCGTAGTGTCCTTCCAAATTTATGTCTGCAGACTTCATGAAGAAAGAACAGCCTGCTCCCCTAAAGATGTAGTCATACATGATGCAAAGGACAAACCAGGCATGTGTGGGAAGGCACGTGGTCCGTTTACAACAATTTAAGACAGGCATTTGCAAACTGCATGTGAGAAAGAGGGCTGCAGAGGTGGCTGAAACTAGTGCAGGGTGAAGGAATGAGACAAATAACGTGAGAGGAGCTCATGGGCCCATGTCAAGGTGAATATGGCAAAGGCAGACAGCTGGATCCAAGTGGGGGTCAGACCAGGGAGGAATTCACAGCAGTCCATCTGGCTGAGGGGGTGACACTCCATAGTGACATTGACTGAGGACACAGGAGAGAGGGAAAATCCTAATATTTAAAAATAAACCCAATAGAGGTAATAGTTGGGAAGGAAACTTAAAGATTCCAGACTGTGGGAAGGCAGACAGACTGGTGATATCAAAAACGAAAACAGGAGTGAGGCATGAATTAGGGGAGAGGAGACCAAGGACAGCTGTGGACACGGCTCTAAGGCTGGCGTGATCCTCTCTGCCGAGAAAAAGAGTGAGTCAAACGCCCTCTCTGTAAAGCCCTCCAGCGGACTCTCGGCCGAAGTCTCGCAGCACTCTGCTAAGATGACACTGTATTTTAAACCCGTCCATCCTTTGTTAAAATAAGGGGTAATCTGTACATTAAAGACACAGGGAGGCCTCCCTCTTGCCCCCTTTCCGGCCCTCTCCCTGGACAATGTCATTTCAGGAGCAGCACAGCGCCGTGGTGGCTACAGAGCCTACTAATTGCGAGCACCCATGGACAGGCCAGTCACAGGGAACCTGAGCACCTCACGTCATCAACAGGACAAGGGTTCTCACTTAGGCTTCAGCAATGACCTAGACATCCTCCTCTGCCCAGCCCTCTGCCAGAAACCAGCTTCCCCGCCCAGCAACACCCACCTGGGACGTAATTAATTCCACAGTCAATGACGATTGCCCCGGGTTTGATCCACTCCCCTTTCACCATCTCAGGCTGACCAGTTGCGACCACCAGGATGTCACCTTTACTCACCTATGGAAACAGGGTTCTGACTTCAGAAACTAAACAGTGACACGTGAAAAATCTAAACATGGAAAGGACACCCCTCCCATCCCTGCATGAACTCTGCACTGTCATCAACTATTTTCTGCAGGCCACTCACTGACAGCTCTTCATATGCTATGCTCACTCCTGTTCGAAAGCTCCCCTTTCACAAGGTGTTTTACCAAACAGAAACTTGATGAGAACTTGCAGGACAGGGAGGAGCGCAACCTTGCAGCCACGGCCTGGGGGAGATGTCCCTGAATAACAAAACATCCCGAGACTGCTCCTTCTCCTATGGAGTATGGGAGCTACTGCCTTCCGCAGGGCATTGCCTGGGGACGATTACAAGAGAAGGTGCTGGGCCTCTCTCCAGGCCTCTCCCCACATTTAACAGACTGCACCGTCAACAGGGATGTGTACATATGAGAACAAGCAGCGACAGATGTCATAGGACCTCTGTCCACATCCGCCTGTGGAGCACCTTTATCTGAGGTCACCCTTGTTATCAATTTGGGATCTGGCGGCCAGGGGTCAATCCCAGTGTTTACTCTGCTAATCCCTCTCTACCATATGGGGGACTGGTGTAGGAAGAATATAGTCAGAACAAAATCTGTATAACCTTGGGCAAGTTTTTTATGTGAATTTGTTTCTTCATCTTGTGAAATGAACCAAGAATTACAGAGTTATTATAGCGGTTAAATGAGATAATGAGGTAAAGGGCGTTAGCAGTTTCTGGCACTTAAATGTTAGCTATTCCCATTGAGCGAGAACCCACCACACAGGTGTGCGTGCACGCACACACAGAGATCGTCTTCCGCTCCACCATTGATGCCCTACCTCCTTGTCCAGGTTGGCAGTCTTGGAGTGGCAGGTGGTCACTGTGGCATGGTTCCACAGGAGCAGGTCATGCATGGGGGCGCCAACTATTTTGCTGCGCCCGACCACCACAGCGTGCCTCCCGGCAATCTGCACCCCTGAGAGAAAAGCCAGTGTGCATCAGAAAGCTGGGGGGGCGGGGGGGGCCTGACCTCCTTCGCATGCCACCCAAGTGGGGCAATTCAGAACAAGTGCACAAAAACATATTCTGAGCATCAAAAACAAGTCTTCCTAAAAACACTCTTTCTTGGGAAATAATATTCTCAGCTCTAGGGTTTTAGCTACAAATTGGTGCTTGAACATGTGTCCTTCTTGCTGTGGGTTTTTGAGAGCAGCTTAAGCCAAGAACCATTGAGTCAGCAACAGAGGAGTGGGAAGAAAACCTACACTCAGAGAAAAAAAGAAATCCTGACATAGCAGCTAATAAATAGCCATATGGAAGAAGACATCAGATTAAATTACATGGGAAAAGCAGCTATAACAAATAGGGGGCCTGGAACCGGGTGGGGGTAGTCAGGGGGAATTACTATCAGTGATTCTTTCGAACTTTGCTAAGCTTATTTATGCAGTTCCTCACCTAAATTTCTCTTTTGGCTTGGGGCCTAACCATAGGGTCATTTGCTGGGAAGTGATACAGGGGAATTTTAACTGCAATAGAAGGCTTTCTTTTTGCCTACTCAGCATCCATTCTCGTGGCACTACGCCAACGTCCTCTTTGTGACGGACATACTCTATTTAATAGAGATGGTTTGGGTACGCACCCAACAGTGGACAAGTAGTGATCATATTTCATCCTGGCCAGTGAGACCCAACCCCATGACCGTGAGGCACAAGGATGGAACAAGGCTGGAGCTGCTTGGGACCACCAAGTGGAGTATGAGAATGAACTAGGAAAAAAGCCGAAATAAAGTCTCGAGGGCTCTGCCTGAGCCCCTCTTTCTAGCCGTGGCTGAAGTGGACTCTTGTGTAAGGCAGTTGGTATTTAAAGTGTGCTTCTTACAAACCATTAATTTTATCCCCAAAAGATAAGCTTCTGTATAATGTTAACATTATAAACATCTAGAAGCAAAGCCCTCAAAGTCTGAAGTGTTTAAAAGGTACCTTACTACACTTTTTAGAATTCAGCAAAGGACTCGAAGCTACATTAGAGCAAATGGCAGCATCACTATCAGTAAACGGAAATGGGAACCTGCAGCTGCTGAGGCTCATGGGATTTGTCTTTATCCAGTAGCAACAAACTGTTAAGTATGCTGTAGAACATAAATTTAGTTAAGGGACTACTAGCTGTCCCAAGGCTTGTAGCTTGACCTTTTCTTGCTAACCACAGAAAATTTTCTTTTGCAATGGCCAACATTTTCCACTTGAAACTTCTCATCCACTTCCTCTAAACAGGACAAACTTCCTTGTTAAAAAAATAAAGCTCTGCTAAAAGCATTTGTGATGAAATTAAAATACCAAGATGCTGACTAGGTAATAAGATAATATAGCCAATTAATTGCTAAGAGACTGTTTCCAGCCATCTGTCTAGTTCTAGATCTACTGTTTCCACAGTAGTTAGTTCTAGGAGCCCACTGGGGAGGGGGGGACTTTTTACTTTGCATCCTTATATACCGTCTCAGTTCTTACTACCATATAGGCTATTCTTTCACACACAAAAAATTTTGCTTCGAACTCAAATAACCTTGAGCTTTGCTGCTTCTTGGACAAATTACTCAATCATTTGGAGCCTTTTGGACAATTAGAGTACTATTTCACAGGCTTGTTGAGAAAATTTGGTGAGCATTTACGTAAAACCCCTGGCAGAAAGGTCGCTTGTGCCAATCAAGTTCAGCTATGCAGAGCCCACAGTGTAGCTCCTCTGTATCTCCACACGTCAAGGTCGGGCTCTAGGAAATGGTGCTTTGTTTTTGGTTTTGGTTTTTACCTGTCCCTTTGATGAGTTCCAAGCATCCTTTAGGTGTACAAGGGATGAAACAGCCGTTTAGGTCACCTCTAGCAAGTTTTCCAGCACTGATGTTAGTCAACCTAAAACAGTGAAAGCAAAGAAGGGGGAGGTAGAGGTAAATTAGGTGTCTCTATCCTTCAGCAGCAAACGTGGTGTGTTCCGAACACAGCAGTGGATTATCATTGGAACCGTGCCATGTGACGTAGAGTCTAGCCACACTCACCCGTCCACATCCTTCTCTGGTGAAATAGCATTGACCACTGCTTCGGTGTTAATGGGATTTTCTGAATCTAAAGGTAGCTGCACTAGGAACCCATGCACGGTGAAGTCTTCATTCAAAGATGTGATGTGCTTTAACACCTGAAAACAATACCACATGCAGTCTGTATGCCACAGAGAAACACTTTCTGAGTCAAAAAGAGACTGTCCTGTTTCCCTCCAAGAGTTCAACTGCCATCCTCTCAGAACTCACCTCCCCTGGACCCCGAGAGCAACTCTCCTTTAATGCAGAATGTCATCTTCAGGGGTCTGGTCAGAAACCCATCAAAGAACTAAGGACTTCAGCAGTAATACCCATGTTATCATCATCCAAATCGAGATTTCTGTGATGACAGAAATGCTCTACACCTTACAACTTAGAATACAATAGTGGCTACAGAATACTTGAAACATGGCCAATATAACCAAGCAACTGGATTTTAAATTTTACTTCACTTTAATTCAATGGCTACTCGGGGCCAGCGGCTACCCTGAGTACCTCTGCACAGCGGCCAGTGCAGACGGGGAACATTTCTATGACCTCAAAAAGCTCTTTCTCCCTCCTGCCCCTTCAGATACCCACCCTACCTATAAGGACCACAGTTCTGACTTTAATCACACATGCTGACTCTGCCTGTGCTTTCATATCATCTAAACAAAACACACATTTGGTTTATAACATGCATGTAACTACAGGCCAAGGATCACTTTTTAGTAAACACTGCAGGTGACGTGCAAACAAATGATGCTGCCGTTGCACTCTGGGTAGCAAACGCTCACACCCCAGCGCGGCACCATTTACTCTGTAGGTGTTTTCAAAGATTTTCTGCAGGCAGAGTCTGTGAAGAAACAATTACTGGGAGGGCTTTTGTATGCTGAATGTATCAATCCCTCAAGTCCCATTAAACCAAAAACCAGAGAGGAAAGCCTTCAGCTGCCCTCTTAACACTCAGTTCCTAAAAGCTCACCTCAGATTCTGTGGCAGTTCTTGGTAACTTAATGTGAGTGGCTTTGATCCCAATCTGCAAAAATGAACATTTAAAACAGGTGTTTGGCAAGAGAACTTGAGACATGGGCCCCTTTCTTTCATAGCTATGACTAAAACCAACCACGTGGTGTTAGTAACCATTTCACCCTACATTCTGAAGAATTAGTCCCATTCTGACCCACTCATCATCTACTTGTTAACTGTCATCACTGCACAAGCCATTTCCTGTCCACTATTCCTGCTCTTTGGGAAGTAGGCAGATCACTGATTAGAAGACAGTCAGGGGTAAACCAGAGGCCGAAGCTCTAAGTCACTCAGTTCCGACTTGCGAACCTGAAGTCCGCTGCGGGTGATAAAAGTCTTTATGGGAAGGGCACAAAGGGCGAGAGGTAACAGGCAGGAGCCGGGGGGTGGCGGGGGGCAGGGACGACGACACAACACTGCTGCTCTAGCCTTTACCTCCTCTGCAGCCTTCAGCTTCACATTTATATAAAGATTGGAATCATCTCTGTCGCCAACCTAGAATAATAAATACATGCAAATCAGACGATTAGAGAAAGGCAAGGTGTACAGAAAAGTTTCTAAAATTTTATTTTGATAAAAGAAAGGTTTAATTATGAGATTTTCATGGCAGAGAACTTTAACAGGAGAACGAGGAGAACATCGGGGCAGAGTGGAGGGAGATAGGGACACAGGTGGTATTAGGGATCCCTCCCCAAACAAGTCCCACCTGGTTCCCACTGAAGCCAAAAGAAAAAGCAGGGGGCTGCCCGTATCTGCCTTGGAAATCAGGCAAGGGTGCCCCAGGCCCGTCTGGAACACGTGGAGATTCTGCTCGCCACTGAGCTGGCGTGCCAGATCATGGGCCTGAGGAAACGTCATCAGGCAAGAGAAACAACACAGGAGAAACAGCACAGCTGGGACAAGCACACCCAGAGGGCACATTCTGACCTCTCTCCTCCACTCCCGGGGCAGCAGAAAGCGCGCACCACCACACAGAGAAGAGAAACCAGCGAGGGTGGCCCTCATTCCAGCTCACCCAGAGCAGACACCTACGCAAGGCGAAGGGCAGTCTGCTGCCCTCAGGACAGAGTGGAAGCCCGATCCTTTGAATCACCGCGTGCCTCGTCTCACCATGTCCCCTCTATTTACTTAATCATGAACACATTCATAGTTTTTCACTGTAACCATTTATCTGTAAAAGTTTATTTTGCAAATGGTTTTCCACATTCCAGTGGTTGACACCTGTCCTTTCCAAGGTTGAAATAGACTCGGGGTGATATGCTCACAAATTTGGCTTCTCCCAAAACTGCAGAATGAAAAATGGTTGGTCCCTCAATACTGATGCCTGGTGCCTTTTAGTAGGACAATGGCAGAGACAGAAGCTGGCCTTAGTAAAGAGTATTTCCAGTCCGCGTCATGTTGATGCTACTACTGGGAGCTCCTGCTTGGCCCGTGGAACGTGGCCTTACTCTTAGCTTCAGCTGTCCTTTATATAGATCTCAGTTTTGTCAATGTTAATTTGAATTTCATCTCTGGGGAGGTAAGTCCAAGTCCATTGAGGGATTTTTTTTTAATTGGATTATTTGAACCTAAGTGATCACATTAGTCGCTTCCTGCGGGGGTTTCCCTAGAATTTTAGTGCCCCCCATGTTTCTTCTTGGGTCATTTTCTGTATGTTCTTTGGCCCCAGCATCCAACATTCACTGATTCAGTTACTGGATTTAAGGCACTCTGACACTTTGAGATCAAAGTAGGAAAGACAGTCCTATTTATAACTATAATTAGTTATTCAGACTTAACTCTGAGTTTAAATGGTTTTATCACTCACTGCCAGTCTTTTTAAAATTACAATTTCTCTCTTCTACAGTTTATTTTCATTCATCTCTCGGGTAGCTGAAATGCAACAATAGGTCACCTTTCCATGAAAGGTATGTAGGCATTTTTTTCTTCTGAGTCTTTGTATATCTGAAAATATTTTTCTGCTTCTTTGTACTTAAAGGACCCACTTGGCTGAATTTGGAGTCACAACGTTTTCTTTCAGAGATGTAGTCGCTGGCACCGAGTGTTACAGAAGTCTGAAGTCTTTTGCTGTTGTTCCTTTATAGAAACTGTTTTCTGTCTGCGTGTTTTGGGAAGAATTTTTCAAAACTTCAAAACTTCCACCAGTTTTAAAAAGAAAGCTTAACAGTTATAGTTATGAGCATATGTCAAAGTTTCATTGTAATCCCAATGCAAAGGAAAAGACCTCTTAGGAGCCAATTCAAAGCCTCACTCTCAGGATATGCACTTTACAGAGGAAAATGGTTATACAATCATTGCTAGACTAGATGCAAAAAGAATGTTTAGTAGAAGAACAGTAGATTCTTGACTGACAGTCAAGTAGGTGGGTGGAAGGCTGGTTTCCCAGAACACATCTTAAATCCATTAGACTTTATCAAGAAAATCACTTAGGCATTTTATCAGAATGTGAATTTTTCTAGAAAGAGGTGAATAACATCATCCAAAAGAGGTCCTTTCCCAGAACAAGTTAGGAACAATTTTTAAAAAATTTTATTTATTTTAGACAGAGGGGAAGGGAGAAAGAAAGAGACGGAAACATTAATGTGTGATTGCCTCTTGTGCACCCCCACTGGGGACCTAGCCCACAACCCAGTTACGTGCCCTGACTGGGAATCAAACTGGAGACCCTCTGGTTAGCAGGCCAGTGCTCATTCCACAGCCACACCAGCCAGGGCCAGGAACAATTTTTTTTTTTAGCACAGGGAGTCTGCAAACTGTTTCTGTAAGGAGCCAGATGGTATATATTTTAGATTTTTCAGGCCATACACTGTCACACGTTTGGCTTCTTTTTTAACCCTTTAAAACCTGGGCAGCATTTGGACATGGGACAGTTTATCCATCCCTATTTTATAGCATACAATAATGTGGGTATTGGTCTATTCGTTAATTCTTTCTGCATCAGGAGCCTTTTGTAGATATTCAGGCCAGTTGACTTAGTTCCTTTTATTGTTTTGTCCATGCTTCTTTGTGAAAATTGAATGAGTTACCACACACAAAGCACTCTGAATAGTTCCTGGCAGGGAGCAAATGTTAGTTATTATATTATTAATAATTAGAGTATTTTATATGCTAAGGGAATGGAAACAGCCTCATTTCTATCTCTTATAATGGAAAGTCTTAATTTCTTTTAAATATTCAGTTATTTGGAAAGTTAACAGTCCACTGTGTTTTTTAAAAATTCCAACTTTTAGCTAAGTATTTCCCCAGCCAGATCACGAATACCCTTGACTGCAATGCCAAGAAATTAGAAAAACAAAGGCAAAAAGCGAACGGTTTTTAGAGAAAGACCTGAGTTTATATGCCAGACTCAGTCCCTTCTTGACCATGGCTTTGGATAAGCTACCCAAGAGCTTTGTGCATCTGTTACTGTGATGATAAGCAGAGGTCCCAACCTGTACAGGTAGTACAGAGATTAGAACTAGAAATGTATACAAATCATTTGAACTATAGTAGACACTATATATGCAGTACTGTCATTCCTTCTGTAAGGGTGAGGCTGGATGGACTGTGATCAGATTTGCATTTTGATGAGGGAGGGCAACAGTAACAGTTAAAAGGACAGACTAGAAGCATTCAGATCAGAAGCCTGAAACCGTAAGCATGAGACTGCAGTGGCCCCAGGGGGTGGGAGCAGCACAAATCAGAAGGCGGGGACAGATTCCAAGAGCTCACAAAGGCAGAGTCCCTGTGGAGAGGGAGAGATCCTAGAGCTGACCTCAGGTGGAAAGATGGTGGTGCCAGGTCAACAGGATGGAAAACATGAGAGGTCCAAGGCAGCAGGGATGTGGTATGTGAAAATAAACAGAAACCTCATTTGAAATGGAGCTGGGAAGCTAGAAGAGATGGCACTCCTGCCTGTCACTCAAAGCACACCACTGACCCCAACAGGAAGAGTGTGCTGTGTCTCTGTGACTGGACGTGGCACTGCTTCACTGCCTCAGCAGGAAGGAGAAAAGACTCCTCCTGGTCCAGTAACAGCTCAGCCAACGAAAAGTCACTACCCCCCGAACTTCCAGTTTCCTCCAACGGACTCTTCCTTTACAACAGCCCCTCCCGAGTCCATAAAAGAGCTTCCTCTCTCCTCTGTATCGCTGGACTTGCACATGGTTCACCATTAGACTGCATGTCCTGCATTACAACTGTTTGTTGTTCCTGGATAACCCCATTCTGCTGGAGAAATACCTAGCTGTCTATTTGTTTAAGGTCAACAACTACAACATAGCATGTGTAAGCCTTGTGTCATAGAAAGATGTTGACTCTGGTGCTAAAGTGCAAGATAAAATATAGTCTACTATTGTTCTATTGGCAAGGACATAGGGGTCAAAGCTATATAATACCGTTTATGTTAACAAAACACTTGCAATCGATACATTTAAAATACAAGTTTAGAAATCAATCTTTGAAACGGGGAAAAATTCCCAATGTTGCTAAGGAAAGGTTTCAGATTTCTTGTCTATGACACTCACTTTCTACAACAAACAATTCACAAGAAGGAGCCGAGAAATTACTAGTCCCCCACATGTACCAAGTGTATACCCACAACACATACCCTTGATTCTTAGTGATTTGCAAAAAAAAAGAAAAAAAGAAAAAAAGGAAAAAAAAGGAAAACCCACCATAGGAAGGGACACACCAGGTAGAATAACAGGACTTCTGTGTTTTTCTTCTCAGCCAAGGCCTCAAGATAATTTACAGAAATGGGGGAAAATGTTTAAGTACCATTCGTTCTGAAATTCTTAATGAACATAAGACAGAAACTTAGCAAGGGGTTAAATGGTATATAAGTGGAGACGCACATACAGAGGGAAACGGGAAGTGAGAAAACAGGTATTTCTGAAGGGAATTTCAAATGAAAGCAATCAGTTTCCTGTCATCCAGGTCAACCCTTCAAAACATTCTTTGTACATTTGTCCATGCTACAGATACTTACTGAAGGCCTCTTACTGGGTGAGTCTGGAGCTCAGGGGAGAAAATGTGGACAGAAGCCTAAATCAGGATGTAGTCTTCCATGCAGCTGTGAGACTGAGTGAGCTCACTCAGAAAGAGTAAGCTGAAAAAGTGGACCAAGGGCTGTGGCCAGAGGCCTTCAGATGTTTTGGGTGTGGTGAAGAAGGAACAAGGAGATCCCTACTCCTCTCAAGGATGAGAAACAGGCAAAAAAGATTAGAGAAGGAAGGGAAATAAGTGATGTCCCAGAAACCCAGAGTCCAGAACTCAGAGGAGATCCAGGGTGTATAAGTTATCGGCCTATGGCTAACATTTGGGGCCAGATAAAACTGCCTAGGGCAGCGATTTTCAACCGGTGTGCCACAAGAATTTTCAAAACACGTAACATGTGACTATTAGTCAGGGGCACTGACCTCTTTTCCCTCAGATTGTCAAATAAAAAAATGACAACAGCCAACAAAATAGGCATCCAGTGTGAATGAATCAAAATTATACCTATTTTTTTGTCAGATCAGTAAAAAATATATTTTTGGGGGTGCTACAGAATTTGTGGTTGACATGTACCGCAGTGAAAAAGGCTGAAAATCGCTGGTCCAGGACAGTGGCCTTGTGAGAACATCACGACCCTTTAAGAAGATCTGTAAGTGCCAAACCTTTTATGATAATACTATGTCATGTGTCTTTTTTCACTGTATGCACATTTATATTAGGCCGTAAAAGTAATAGTGAATGAGTGAGACTGCTGGTGACTTGGTAGGAATCAAGACAATGGTATCAAATCATACTCTTCCCGAGGGTACCCTTCACTGCCATACACGCTCAGTAAAAAACAGATGACGGTTTCACTTAGAAGAGCCCTGGGTGAGGCAGTGAACACTGTTCATGTTATTAAACCCCGACCCCTGAGTATGTGTCTTTTTAACACTGTGTGTAAGAAACTGGGAAGCACTTCCGCTGCATGCGAAAGTATGCTGGCTGTCACCAGAAAAAAGCAGTTGCGCTTTTTTGCCTTGCAAGCTAAGCTAGCTGTATTTTTAAATGTGCAGCACCATCTTTATTTGAAAGAACAACTGACAAACAATATTATTCAGCTTTGACTATCTGGCAATATTTTCTCAACAGTGGAAAGTTAGCTGGCTCTTCAAGTAAAATAACTAACTGTATTTATTGCCCACTAATAAAATTTGAGTTTTCAAGCAAAAATCAGAATTTTTAATCCACTCCTGTGTGCTTGAAAATGTCTCAAAAATTAAAGTCTTTTTTGAAGAGTATGTTGGTAATATTAATGATTATGATTTTTTATACCACATCATAAAATACATTAACATTTGGAATATCTGCATAATTCAGTGAACCATTATTTTCCAAATGAGGAATGAAGGACATAAAAAACCATGCGTGGGGACATATCCTTTCAAACTGCAACACAGACTCTGAGGCAACAAAGTATGAAAGTTCAAAGATACAGTTTTAGATTCCACACTGCGAGTAACCTTTAAAAACTTACACTGAGTGCTGGTGTAGCATTCAAGAAAAATATTCACAATGATCTGGAAAGACTTTTTTTTAAAATCCTCACCCGAGGACATTTTTTCTTTTTCTTTTCTTTTTTAAAGAGAGGAGGAGAGAGAAGAAAGGAGAGAGAGGAACATCAATGCAAGAGAGAAGCACCGCACCAACTGGCTATCTCCCATACACACCTGGACTGGGAACCACACATGCCCTGAATGAGAATCGAACCCACGGCCCTATGACTGCAGGACCACACTCCAACCAACTGAGTCACACAGACCAGAGCTGGAAAGGCTTTTTAAAAGCCCTGGCTGGGTAGCTCTGTTGACAAGAGTATCATCCCAATAAGCCAAGTTTGTGGGTTTGATAACTGTTCAGGGCACATACAAGAATCGACCAACGAATGCATCAATAAATGGAACAATGAATGGAAGTTTTTCTATCTCTCAAATCAATTAAGTAAATTTTAAAAAGTTTAAAAAGCCTTCCCTTTTACAACTATACATCTGTGTGAGGCAGATTTTCTCCATGTATTGCACCACACTAGCACACAGCAAGAAGCTGAGTGCAGATGCAGATGCAGACGGGAATCCAGCTGCCTTCTCCCCTCTTCTCACTCAATTTTCTTATCTAAGTTACTTCCTCATAAAAGCGTTACTTATGTTAACATAACAATTTTACTACTGGCACTTTTACATGTATAAATATTTTTAAGCTTCTTAGTTTTAATTTCTAATGCAGTAAATATCAATGGATAAATCCATATGAACAAAATCTCCTTAAGGCCTTACATTTTTTAAAGCATGAATGGATCCTAAGACAAAAACTTCAAGAGGCACTGACTAGGGGAAGAACACCCACAGGGAATAGAAGAGGACCAGGATAAGCCAACATTCAGAAGCTGAGCTGAAGAGGAACCAGCAAGGAAAAACTGCAAAGGTGTGAGGTTTCACAGAAACCAACATAAATAAATAAATAAATGATGGGAAGAGACAGAACTGCTTGTTGTCTTAAGTGCTACTGAGAGGATGGGTAAGGTGGGTATTAGTGGAAATACACTATCATAATACCTGTAATATTGCCAGGCCTGGTGTGAAACCAGGTACTCGCTCCTTTATCTCAGTGACCTGGTTCTTCAGTCGCTGCTTTATTTGCCTAGGGAAAATGGAAAGGTTGTAGTCAACACAATGTTTCAAGTACAAAAAGTGATGTGGATTATTAGATATATTTCTCTTAAATTAAAAACACCTCCACTGACAGTCATTGTCTGGTATAACATGTACTACTGCCCGTCCATGTTCCAGGCTTCAGGCAGACAAGGACCTTTTCTAACCCCCACCGACACTGTCTGGGCCAGCGTGTATGGGGGCAGTTACTTTAAAACCTGTTAGCTGATGGCATTTGAAGTCATACAGTGAACAAATGAAAACTTGGCCCCACACTTCTGGGAGGCTGCTAATCCTCATCTTTTTGATCGTTTCCACTCTCCAAGTGCAATATGAAAAAACATTTTGCAGGAAGGAACTTGAGCTCACACCCACTCATCCTACCCTAGTATGATAATCACAGGGTATCCACATAAGGCTGAATGATAATAAATCCCACTCCAAATTCATTATAAATTTACAAATTATATTCTAACTTACAAAAGAATTTAACACAAGGTTAAAAGTATGAGGTGTTGTAAAACAATGATAAATCAACTTATCACTACAATTTCTCAACAATACAACAGGATATCAAGTTTACTAATTATATCCATAAATAAATATTCAGAATAGTCCTTGCCCAGTTATGACTCAGTCACGAACACAAACGGGATCTGTCTCTTTTGAAGGATTAGTTTTTCATTTGCCTTTCTTCACCTTTACCACACTTGACATACAAATACTGCACACATGGACACTTGCAAGCATGACCTCACTCATTCATTTGGTTACTCCCTTTTCCACTTCAGCACACTTTACAAACTGGCATAAAAAGGAATAGGAGTCACAAGAAATAGATGATTTGGATTAGCCTAGTAAATGTTAAGAATGTTGGATGATATAAGAAATCATACCTAAGACTAAGACCTCAGCCCTGGCTGGCGTAGCTCAGTGGATTGAGCGTGGGCTGCAAACCAAAGGGTTGCAGGTTCGATTCCCAGTCAGGGCATATGCCTGGGTTGCAGGCCAGGTCCCTAGGGCGGGCCATGTGAGAAGCAACCACACAATGATGTTTCTCTCTCTCTCTTTCTCCCTTCCTTTCCCTCCCTAAAAATAAATAAAATCTTTAAAAAAAGACTAAGACTTCAAAATTTTATTTCTAGCCAGTGACTATTTTATAAGTCAATATCCTATACAATAATAGAGGTCAAAAGAAGATTGAATAGACCATTGGATGTCCTTTTACTGGGGTTTCACCTGAACAGAGGCCACAAAATTCTGCTTTGACACAAAAGAACAAGAAATAGTGGGAACTGTCAGGTTTTCACTCAACTGATATTGAAATTCATCAGCAATTCCAGCTTTAACTGTTCTCCTGCATGACAATCAGGTGTGGTGGCGGGGTAGTGGCAGAAAGCCCTTCCCAGGGACCAAGTTTCCAACTCCACTCTCTTCTTCCTCCAGCCATTATATTCACACAAAGTGCTGGGCAAAGATTTCTACCTGTTCTCCTTAACCCTCCCTGACCCAAACAAAATCCATGAGGGAAAAACAAAACAAACCCCAACCATTCTTAGCACAATAACAAGAACCAACAGTGAAAACAGATGAGCGCATGAGAGCCTCTCAATAACCCTGAGAGGTGGGCAAGAGAAAAGAAACTTTCTTCTTCTCGTTCGCAGTTGTAGACAGAAGCTCTAAGCAGGTATAAGGCTTTCCTAGGGCCAACCCAATTACTAGTGGAAAGAACAGCCCTGAGCGGGAGAATGAGGTCAGGCAGACTGAACCTGAAAGCGATGAGAAGCCTTTAGAAGCTTTTGAACAGGGCTGACATGATCAGACTTACATTTTTAAAGGGCATGGTGAGTAACTATTCTGCAGACTGTAGAGGGAAAGGTGAGAATCAGGGACACCAGTCAGGTGTCACAGCAATCACAAAAGCCCAGGCCTGGGTGATGGTAGCATGGATTATGGTACCAATGTGGGCTGGCAAGAAGCGGTTGGATTCTAGACATAGGAACTTGAATCACAGAGAAAACGCCAGAACTACAGATGACTCTGAGGGGTTGGGGTTGTGAAATGCAGCTGGAAAGACTGACGACTACAAATATTTTAAGGCAAAGAGCAGGATCCATGCTGAGACGTACATTTATTTATCAAATCTTACACAAATTCTAGAATAAGTATTTGAGAACTGAAGAAGAAAGTCTAGGGAAAATTAAAAATAATACTTACACCCAGCAGGTAGCAAGCTGCAGGAACCCAGTGCTACAAGGTGGTATAGGTGGAAAATGTGTCAGCCCAGGAGGAGATCAAAGAACAAAATGTTCTGTATTTTGTATGGAAAAATGTAAATGGGTCTCAGTTTGCAATTTCTTTTTCTTAAAAAGGTTAAAGCTTGAGATCAGTTATACTGACTTCTTTAAACTTCTCCTTCTAAGAAGCAGGATTGTTTTCGAAGCTGCATTAGCAGGGATATTCTTCCAACTAGAAAGATTTATTTAAAAGCTAACATTTAGGTCTTGTTATGAGACATGACCAGAATAGCAATGAGGCATTTAAAAATGCACACAAACCACAATCAGCAAGAACTAACTAGACAGCCCAGAACTCTCAAGCAACAAGTGGAAAGTTTTCAGCTCTGGTAAGAACACACGCACACGCGCACGCACACACACACACATGCAACACAACCATATACACACAAGACAGTTGTTAATTAGGTTTCCATAAGTCCCTTAAAAAAGTCTTCCCTGCCTTAATTTTCGGGTGGGCCAGTAACTGAAGAATCCTAAAACAAAAATTGGAATAAAGAAAGCCAAATCTCAGGTATGGCTGAAGAAACTATAAAATAGGACCATGAAGAGAAAAGTTAACATTCCCTCATCTGTCTTCATGTTGGGGTCACAGAGCTGTGATAAATTAAATGGTGGAAAGTGCCTTAATTTTTATAGTTCATTACTGTAAGAAAACTCAAATGCTATAATAAAAGAACTTCCTAATCACTAAAACCTCCTAAATTAACAGAAACATCCTTGAGTTGCAGATGCCTCCCATTTCTATCCACGGCCCATGAGCTACACACCATCCTCGTGAAGATTCTGGGGACAAGGCGAGGCAGAAATAGGCACTTGGAGAAACAGCCCTGAGCCCTGAATAGAACTACATGTGCTGAAATCACATGTCTCCATCAACATTCTCTAAAACCTAAGGGAAGACAACATATTTTGGGCTCAATGCAGGAGACATCAGTATCAGAGTGCCTGCCAATGAATGCAGTAAGACAAATAAATCATTAAAATTTCTCTGGTCATGACAGACAGTAGAATAGTCACAGTGGATTCAATATGAACAGACACCAATGCAGTTTTAACAAAGTTACTACCGGCATCTAGTGGCCAGATGGCAGGGCTGCAACTCAATATCTTACCATGCAAAGGACACCCCCCTCACAACAAAGAATTTTCCAGCCCAAATGTTAATAAGTGCCCAAGGCTGAGAAACCCTGTTATTGGCCCATAAAACACAAGTTGGGGGTTATCTTTTGTACGGGGCAAAAGTCAAAGTGGGAACCATTTATCTCAACCTGTCAATATGTGTTGGAATCTATATGGACAGGAGTCCATTACTATCTGTTTTCTCCAAGTTCGCATTTCCTAAACACAGCTGTTTAGGAAAGAGCCTGCTTAATCAAAGTCAAAGGTGCCCATCTGTGTGGAATCACAGCTCCTCCAAAGAGTCCTAGTCAGAGGACCCCGAACCCTCCTCAACAGCTGCCCAAATCTCTTTTGCCCAAAGTCTTGCACAATTATTCCTGAAAGTCCAGTACAAATCCCAACTCATTCTGTTTAACATGACGGCTCATTTTCAAAATCTGAACATTTTGTGACAGAGAAAAAAAGCATTCCTAAAATATAACTTAACAAGGACATCTGGACAGAAGCTATAGGTAGAAAAAGAAGGCAGTAAAGGATGTCTAGCTACATGGCTGAGAAAGCTACACGGAAATAAGGCTCTGCCTGAGTGAACAAACACTGAATCCTGTGTTTGGAGGAGTAATCCTCCAGTGATTCTCACAAGGTCCACAGAGCTCGCCTTTGGTAAGCGATCAGGGAAAAACCAGGAACGTTCACCTTCAACAAGAACACAAATTTCTTGTTTTCCACCCCCAAGGTAGAGATTATTGTCATGAGATTTTAACAATGCAGTGCAATAGAAATGTCTTACTTTATGTGCTTTATTTTCATTTTGTTCATTTATTTTATTTGATTTGTTCATTATAGCTTTTATACTATTAAAATATTTCACATTTTCTGCAAAACTTAACATGCAGTTTCTTGTAAAAACAATTGAGATCACCAGGTGTTCCAAGAAATACCTGTATTTCACATTCCTATTCAGCAAAGTCAAATTAAAAGTCTAAATTACTTTCCTGTTAAATGGGTTACTTTCACTGATATGTAATAAAATAGCAAAAGATACTATATCAGTATGCAGAATAATCAAAACTAGTATCAGTACTTTCCTTAAGTTTAAGTATAAAATATATAAAATACTAATTATTATAATTGTCCTGGCCAGGTGTCTCAGTTGGTTACGGCGTCATCCCGTCATCCCATACACAAAAAGGTTGTGAGTGTGATCACTGGCCCCTGGTCAGGGTGTGTACGGGAGGCAACCGATGGATGTTTCTCACTCACATCAATATTTCCTTCTTTCTCTCTCTGCCCCTTCCTCTCTTTCTAAGATCAATGGATATGTCCTCAGGTAAGGATTTAAAAAAAACAAATCTGTAAACCCAACAAAACATATAACTAGATTTGGCCTCTAGGCCATTAATCGGTGCCCTTCAGCTGACAGGAAGAAAATGAAACACAGATGTTCTCAAGGATGAGTACCTGTCAGTGAGGGCCCAACACCAGAATGAGCCTCGCCATTTCAGGACCACCTAACCACAGATTTGGCCACTGGGGTGGCATATGGCCCCAAGCCCCAAGCAGGCCCCTGGATCACCACCCAAGGGGAAAGGGGAAGAATGTGGAAGACTGGGGATCTCCACTTGGAAGGAAAGAGCAAGCCAAGAGCTCTTATCTGAGAAAAGCCTCACAAAGGCCTGGTCTTTCTTGCTTTTAGAAGCAAGTAAAGGAAAATCTTGGGTAGAAGAGGCTTAGGTCTAAAAGGCTGCTTACTAAATAAGTAGGAACTATTACTTCGGCACCAAAATCCAAATGAAAGATCACGTATCATGTGAAGTCATACAAGGCAGTGAAGATAAATTCATGACAGGCTCTGAAAAAAACCCTCACAAAAACGTTCTCTATTTCCTGATACTCATGCAGCACCGGCAAACCCAAGGCTGTACCTCACCTGCTCAGGTTGAGGGGAAGAACTTTTCATCAAGGAAAAAAACAAAACAAAACGCTGAGCTAACAAAGCAGGAAGGTTTGACCTGACCCCAACCAGTCAAAACTGGACTATAACCTTGAAAATGACTTTCCAGTTGGTTCATTCATCTCCTAACAGGGAGAGCCAAACTCACTGGATCACACTTTGAAATTACCTTCAGCAAGCAAGTGACAAGTCCTTGTGAGGAAGGAAACTACAATGTCAAGTCTCTACCACTAACTAGCCTTGTAATTCTTGTTCAAGGCACTTTACTTCTGGCTACAGTTTCATTAACTGCACAGCGGAGGGAGGTGTGGCCTGGGTGGCTGAGGAATCCAGACTGTTAACCAACCACTCCTGTAAGGTCGAAGATTTACAGAGCGCCGGGAGCTACCTTTCGGGAAATTACCAAAGGGAGCCAACTGCACAGTGCAGGGGCGCTGAGGGCTTTTTGTGCTACGGATCCAACGTCAGAGGATACAGTCCTAAACACAGGAGCACACAGGCTTGTTCACAGACCTTAATACACAATTAATCCTCTTGGCAACATCAGGAGGTCAACACTGTTACTATCATCCCCACATTGTGAAAGAGGAAAGTAAGGCTGACTATACTGCTCAGGACCACACAAGGCCCAGAGTCAATCCGGGGAAAGGGGAGCCTTTTCCCTAAGCTCCAGAGAGGCGCCTCCAGGACAGGCCAGGCGGACCTCCTTTCTTCCAGAGGATTCTTCATGCTAATGGGGATAACATAGAGGACCACACATCCCTGCTCAAAGGCCCACCGTCCAAATCCCAAACTGCCTGATCCCTACCCTCCTGATAGACGAAGACATTTATTCTCAGACCATATTTTTAGTTAGGATTTCAGCTGGTGCTACAGCCACAGTAGATGGCTCCCAGCTCTGGGCTCTGCCACACCCCAGCTAAAGCACTCCCAACAGCCTGGCTGGGCGGCCTCTTTAAGACCTAGCAGAAGGTCCCACCTCTCAGGGACTCCCAGCCACTCTCCTGCGCAGGTTCCCCAAGTGAAGCCAACTTTGACATCCAAGGTTCCATGTCACTTCTGAAAGGCCTGCACTTTGGAGCTCTTCACAGGCGAATCTTTTTAAGCACAAAAAGGCCTACAGGTATTTCATCTATAGAACAAAATAAAAAGCTTAGCAACACTCAGTAGCCCTTCACTGTGATAAGCAAATTCTTTATATGAAAATAGTTCTGGCCCTGCAGCAAAACATATAGCCATGGGTTCATTTTTATCTTTGATCAGTAGGATGAATTCTAATTCTAAGGTTCAAGATTATAAATCCGCTACCAAAGACACAGCCTGTGATAAACACAAATATCACATGTTTATCCAACAAGTATTTTCCAAGCACCTGTTTATTAAAATCTTCTACGTGCATTGGGCTGTGCTAAATGCTTTACAAGTAATAACTCATTCAATTTTAACAACCTTATGAATTAGGTGCCATGCTACTCCAACATACACGTGAGGAAACTAAGGCACAAAGAGCCAAACTAAGTCACCCAGTGGTCCACGGAGGAGGGAGCAGCACTGTGTCTGGCTCTGGGGATCCCACCCACAGGAAGCTCACAAACGGGTCCAGCCTGCTCCACTCAACTCACAAAAACTCTGAGCACCTTCTCCCAGTGGCCTTCCCGCAGCAAACCATCTGTTTCTTTACAGCTGGTCCTTCCAGATAAAAGACTGAAGAAAAATGCCATCAATGGAGAGGAGAGAGCAGACTCAACTGTAGCAAAGAGAAGGGAAGGTAAAACAAATCACACAAAATTTAGTAGGCCTCACTATGAAAAGTACACTCATAAGCACTGCAGTCTCTAGTTTAAAAACCAAATCAGAGTCGTTTTTCTAACACTGTCTGATGTACACCCCTTTGTATAATCTCACTAGAGACGCCGCCCTTAAACCAGGGTGGGCTCTCACCATCCGTGTCAATTCACCTTACTCAATTGCTCCACTCAGAATCGGCTTCCCGGAGCCATCACTGTTGGGTCATCACTTGGGGTCATCACTGTTGACCCCAAGACAGTGGCTTAATAATTAATGAGGTCACAGTTCATGGCACAGGCTGTGCTTTGGGTCAAGAATCCTCTTCCCCATTATGTTCACAGGCTCATGACCTGACCTTCAAATCTTCGCCTGCAAATTGCTTATTTACAATGAGTATGAGCTTTGCTCCCATATTTAAAACTGCAACTCCAGTGTCCCAGAAATCTCTGTCCCTCTTCTCTACTCTGGTTTTCTCTTTCATACTTCCTACCCCCTCACAGTCTTTTTTACCTTTTTTATTGTCTACTCTACCCATTGGTATACAAGCTACATGAGGGTATGGATGTGGGATGTTTTGTTCACTGGTACAGTCTCATGGCTTTGAAGAGTGCCTGGCATGCAGGAGGCACACAGATACTTGTTCAGTAAGTGAGTATCCAAAAAAGACACACACTTGTACTTGACTCTGATTCTCAGACCTCCCTTAATTATCCAATTCAGGCTGCAACCTTGGAACTCTGCTTTAGGGAGGAACAGGGATTGTTCTCCCAAAGGGGGACAATCTGACAACTAGATCCAGCATTCTGATATTCTCAGAGAAGGAATCAAGAGTGATGGCTTTGTCTAGTCTTAGCTACAAGGGAGCACAATGCAAGTAAACAAAGCTTAAGGATGGCCTTTTAGCAGAGTGGGAAGCAAGGCAGTGAGAAGAATGCTGTAAAGGAAGAAGATCACTTTATGAAAGTCCTTTAATTGGGGCAAAGTGGTAAGTGCCCAAAACAAAGTAAACACCAGGCACCCTGTGAAGACCTCGGACCTCACTGAGCCTCTGCCATTAACCAGCCTAGTAACCTATGGCCAAATACCATCACATTTCTTTCCTCAACTACTCCTTAACTGCAGGATGGGATATGGGGAGTAGATATGATTTTGAAGAAACTCTGACTGTGGAACTCTTGACCCACCTACCTTTTCTCCCTCCAAGGAAGAGATTTTACAATTCAAACACTGTACCAGGGAAGAAACTGCCCAGGGCACTTGAATACATGCAAATCTGTCCCCAAGACTCAACGATTGGTGGCAAGCAGGGAAGCTGACCTGCAAACTTAGAAATGAGGGACCCCTTCCCCAGATTCCAGGATCCCTGGCTACAATTTAAGAAGTTCACTTACCTGTCCTCAAGAATATCCTTGGAGAAGGTATAGAGGGCAATGGAAAAAAATACAATTAAAAAATAAAAAAATACTCCTAAACTAAAAAAAGAAAGAAAAGAATATCCTTGGCCTGGCAAAAAAGGAAAGGTGGGGACACCCTGCCCACAGCCTCCACCTGTAGTCCAACCTACTCAAGGTGTAAAAAGCACATTCCTGTTTAGGCTTCCCCTAGAGTCAGCTGCCTGCTGCAGCCTCAGCACAAGGAGCTGGGGACTGCACTACCCCATGAGCCAGGCAAGCTGTCTCCCCCCTGCAGAGCTCCCTCTCTCTGAGGAACTGTAAGTACAACCGGCTCCCTAAGTCAAGCTCTCCATGAAAGTTGAGGTGCCAAGTTGTGGCAGTTTCTGAAGGAGCCATTTCATAAGTATATTAAAGAAAAATCTTCTGTAAGCACAAAGAGGCCTTAGTCTAAATGCTCCTTTATAAACTGTTAGTAGGAACTGATCGCTCAACCACAGGGCTAGGTAAAAGGTTAGCTATGTTCATTAACTCCGAGCATGCTGGGAGACACCTTTCCAGTACCTGAAACAGTCTTCTACAGAAAATGCTTTCAATACCTTTGGCCAAATCACTGCCATACTGTTCTTCAATGATGAGCACTGGACTTAGAGTTAAGGCTTTACATAAGTCATTCTCAACCTTCAAAGTGCATTAGAGTTACAGAATGAGCTCTCATAAGGTTTTTAAAATACTGAGTCCAATGGCTTATTGCTAGCAATTCCAATTAAATCAGTCTGGTGTGAGCACCAAGCATTGATACTTTTCAAAAGCTCCTAATGAGTGCCACTTAGTAAAACTACAATGGAAAAGACGCCATATCTATTAAAGCTAATAATACGTATGTCCTATTACTCCACAATTCTACTCTTAGATATGGAACTAACAGAAACACATGTGCATTATATGTTCAACCAAGAGATATGTAAAAGAATGCCCATAGCAAAACTATTCATAATCACAAAAACTAGGAATCCAAACCATGGATGAGTAGCAGCACATTCATATAGAACACAATACAGCCATGAGAGTAAACTGACTACAACTACGTGCAACATGGAATCATCACAGAAACACCATGTTGCCACAGAAGACTGTATACTGTGTGATGTCATTTCTATAAAATTCAAAAACAGGTGACACTAGAAGTCGGTATAGTGATTACCTTTATGGGGTGGGGACTGGATGAGAGAGAGATGGGTGTCAATGTTATTTCTTATCTGGTGCTAGTTACACAGGTTTGTGAAAACAAAATAAAAAGAATTAACAAAAAACAGCTCCCTAAGAGATTTTTAATGTACAGCTAACGTTGAGAGCCATTGAAATAGATCTCAAGGCAGTTATCACTGTCAAAGATAATAAATCAATTATCCACATATAAATTAATTATGGTTGCCCTTGAACGACAGGAGGGTTTGGGGTACTGCCTCCCACACTGTCATATATACAAGTATAACTTCTGACTCCCCCAAAATCTAACTACAGTAGTCTCTCAGTATCCAAGGGGAATTGGTTCTAGGATCCCTCGCTCCCCATGTGGCTTTCAAAATCCAAGGATGCTCAAGTGCCTTACATGTAATGGCCTAGAACAGCGCAGTCGGCCCTCTGCACCTGCAGTCTCCAACTGTATATTGGAAATACTGTTTTCGATCTGTAATTGGTTGAGTCCAGGGATGCAAAACTCGGGGAACACAGAGAGCTGACCATATCTTTATTGAAAAAACTCTACATATATAAGTAGACCTGCGCATTTCAAACACTTATTGCTCAAGGGTCAGCTGTGATTACTAAATCATTAATATAGCTCATACATATCAAACACTTATTATGTGCCAGGAACAACTATAAGTGCTCTTCAGTTAATAACTCATTTAATTCTCCAAACAACTCAATGGCCTAGATAATAACTTTATTTTACATTTGAGGAAATTTGGGCACAGGAATGGATATAAGTTAATTTGCTTTAAGCCCCACAACTAATACGTACTGAAAGAAGGGTTATAGCTGTTTACAGAAATAGACGCAAACAAAGCAATGCAGGTATTTGCCTTATGGAGCTTACAAACATATTTAACTTGCTTTCCACTCAATCGAAACATATGCACCTATTTTCAGTAGGCTGCCAAGAAGTAAAACTAAATTATCTCTTCACAACCCAGTCTTTCCAAAAGGAAGCTTTCATCAAGAAAAAGCCACTAGTTTTGCTCATTAGATTACACATATAAGTGAGATCATATGGTATTGGTCTTTCTCTGACTGGCTTATTTTACTTAGCATAATAGTTTCCAGGTCTATCCATGCATGCTGTTGTGAAGGGTGTGAGGTTTTCTCACAGTCATGTAGTATAAAGGTACCAAAGCTTTGTTATCCACTCAGAAGAGACTGGCCAAAAAACGTATATACGAAGCCCATGGAAACAGACAACAACGTGGTGAAGGCTGGGGAAGGGGGGCAGGAGTTGGGTGGAGGAGGGCAAAGAGAGGGGAAAATGAGGGCCATGTTGTAATAGTGTCAACAATTAAAAAAAGAAAACACTAGTAAGGTGAGTAGGTTTGAATATAAACAAACACAAAGTGAAGGTCAAACAAAAACAAGGCAATTCAACAAACTACATGTTGGAAAGCAATCAGATATAAGTATTGTGAGTTCTAGTGTAAAAGCTTGAGGTTTCTCCTCACTAATGTGAACGAGTTACCACAATCTAATTTATATGTCACTTTCTTTTCCTTCCAGGAAACAATTATTTTGTCCTAGGTGGGTTGCACCACCAATGACTCAAAAACCTCTTACAAAATTAGGAGTTCATAGGATAATTACTGTTGCCAACTATAGTAGTTACAAAATAACTGGTGAGGTTCAAGGTCCCAAGAGCAACCTGCAGAAGGGTATAGCAAAAATAGGTTTACAGTTGCAAGTACACAACCACTTATTCCTGTATTATTATTTGTTGTATTACTTTTTATAGGAACAGCTGTAAACATATTTTTGCTCCAGCCTGTACATTCTTCTCTTCTACTCTCACCTTTCCCCACCAGTCACCTCCTAGACAAAAAGCAGAGGGGAGTTACTTCCTGGGAATAAGTTTGGCAATCATATCCACTAGTTAGGCATTTAAATTTCCTGTAGGAGTAAAACAGGCAGATGTCAAATGGAATATGAAATATTGTCAAATTAGAAAGTAAATCTAGGACCAAGTCAAGGAGATGGCTGTTAGAGCATTAAGTTGAAGAGAGAATTGGGCCCTTCTTGGCAAATGATGACTCTGGTGTAGTGGGAAAAGGAGACTCGCGGTCACCCAGCTCATCTGTCTTTTCGCCTCCAAATTACAGGGGAAGGACGTAAACTGAGTTCTGACTCTCTCTTCTGGCAAAATCTTCAGCAGCTGCACTTTTGGGTCCACAGGCCTGGTAAGAGATCATGTCCCTGAAGCACCGCAGACAGCGGGCACAGCCACCAGCAAATGCAGCTTGTGCCCAGAGCCCGTTTCTTTGGCTACAGGTCTTCAGATGTGAGGAGCTTTGGACAAGGTCGTCCCTACCCACCGGGCTGTTCTGATTTTGCTCTACAAGTCTCCCTCCCTCAAAACAAACAAACAAAAAAATGTCCATTGACGACCTGCGCAGAGCCCTTGCCTTCAGCCCAACACGCACTAGCAACTACAGGTGCTTACGTGGAGACGTCCTTCCCGTTCAAGATTTCCGCCGGTGCCATGACCTTTACTAGTCCGCTGCCCACGATGGATACCGCCGAGATCGAGGTTCGCCTCTCTTTACTGTAGCGCGGGACAGCTCGACCCACGTGGTCAGCAAGACAGCCTGCGGAGAGCTTGCCTCTGCGCCTGCGCCCCCACCGCACTCACCGCCCCCCCTCCGCCCCGCCCAACCCCGGACTGGGATGAGCGTGCGCAGTCCGGAAGAACGTATTTTCTTTAAAGTGAGAAGACGTGAAAGGTGAGGGCACTGGAATGTGGCGTGAAGCTAAACTCGGTGGTAGACTAAAATGACTGGCTGGCGGAAGAAGTCGTTTCAGAGCGCGCCTTGTTGTGGGGCGGGGAACCCGCTTAAAGAGGGGTTGGGTCTCTGTTCCAGCCTATCGGGCGCGGAGGCGGAGGGGCGGTTTCGCGGGCGAAGTTTCGCGGGCGCGGGAGCCCCAAGGTCGGCCACACCTAACGTAAATTCGATGACCGGGGACCTGCCTGGGCGGACCTGGTCTCCCCGTAGGGTGTGGGGGGCGGGGGTGGCGGAGTACTGGAGACTGGGGAGCAGCGTTGGGGAACCCCAGGCAGCGCGGGTGTTTGTGAGCATTGGCTCTTCGAGTGGCCGGGCTTTACCAATTAGGTTGCTGTCATTCAATATAATTCAGAGATAAATTGTTCGGGTCTCTTAATGACCCCCGACCCCCAGCTTTCTGACTTATTGACGTGTATGTAAGTTGCAGGTGTACACCGTGATGATTTTAATACACATATTTATTACAAAATTCCTATCACAATTACAAAATTCTTAAGAAAAGTTGCCTCCTCGTTATTGTCACATTATCTTCACAACACTTAACACTATCTAAAATGCCTTTATTTATTTAATACTTGTTTGCTGGTTTGTGTGTGTTGTTTTGTTTTGTTTTACCAGAATGGAACCTGTATAAGAAACTTCCTGTCTTGTTCTGGTTTAGGTTCTTTCATTTCTATGACTGTCACTTAATATCTGCCTGTCTCATTTTTATCATCTATAAATGATAAAAATGGGACAGTTCTCAACCCTAAAGTCACGCCTGTGTAGTTTTTAAAAAATATTTATGCCTAGGCTCCATCGTACACCAATTAAGTCAGAACTTGGGATAGGGTCAGGATATCAGTATTTTTTGGATTCTGATATATTCAACCTGCGGGCAGAGTTGACAACTACTAGATTAGATGATTTTTGAAGTATAATCCTAATGATTCTGGTATTAGGAATGCATAATAGGGACATACTTTCTCTGCCATAAAAGTATTTTCCTGAAATAGGATATTAGCCTTTCAGACCCAAAATATGAGTTTCACATTTGCCAGAATGTATACTTTCAGTGGGATCACTTTCTTAAGAGTTCTTAAGTTCACTAATGCTTAATTGTGTTTTCATTTAATTAATTAGGGAAATAAAGACCCACAGGTCTCACTGTATCACTTGAAGAGGCCCCTTTTTTCCTTCTGCGGACCTCTGTGATGCAGTCCCCTAGCAACAGCGTCTCTGATGTGCGAACATTCTACCGCAAACTCCAGGCAAGCCGTTCATAGTGGACAATTCAGGTTTCTTCTGGGAATTGACCTTGGATTTGGAATTGTGCTTCCAAATCTCTTGGGCTTAATATGGTAAAAATTCATTTCTACTATGAGAAGCATAGCAGACTTTATCTTTCTAACTTAAAGTCTTGATAAGTCTTATGAGTGTATAAAAAAGATTGGTAATGCACAAACCGAAAAATCACAATAATTATGTCATATGTCTATATTTTTGCTTTAGTCTCCTTATACATTTTAATTGTATTTTTATAAGGTTTGGGAGAACAGTACTATCACCCATATAAGTTAACTTTTTATTAAGAAGTTTTTTATTTTTTTTCCTGTTGGGTTCTTTATTTAATCTGTAGTTTTTGCACCTAGTATAGGATGATAGAGATACATCAGAAATAGATCCTGCTCTTAGGTACCTTTAATGACGTAGGAAAGATAAGATTTCTTACATAATGAATGAGATAACAATCAAAAGAAAAGTATAGATCATATACTTTAAGAGTTAGGTGGAGAGAGATTTCTTGCAGGAATCAAGGAAAGAGGTGTTTTTTTATTTATTAAATTTATTGGAGTGATATTGGTTAATAAAATTAGGTTTCACACATACAGTTCTATAATAAGCATCATCAAGTTTATATGAATAGAAAAATCATAATACAAAAAAGTTTATATGAATTTGAACTATTCTGTTTTTATTCTTTTATGACTTGATGCTTTTTGCTTAGTGATATTTGTGTTGGTATTACTCAATAATTTCTATTATTTTGTAGTATTTTCCATTATTTCCATTTCTATTATATGAATGTACCATATTGTGTTCAGTTTTTTCTTTTTCAAATAATAATGATAATCCTTGCTTTTAACTGGAAAGGTTAATTCATTTGCATGTATTGACATTACTGGTTATTGTATGTATTTCTCCCATCATATTATATTTGTCCCATTCTTTTTCTATTTCCTTCCCCACCCCATCATGCTAAAAACTGATTATGTTTTTGGTTTGTTGTCTTGTATTTGTTTTATTTTTCTCATTCCACTTTTTCCTTTTCTAATAGCTTAGAAGTTATATGGTATAGAGCTATTTAGTTGTTATATCAATCATTTTAACATAAAAACTAACTTAACTGAAATCTTTGTTACTCCTGAGAAATCTGCAAATTTTATAGTGCTTTACACTGTTTTTCTCCCCTCTATGTTTATGTTTGTTTGTTTGTTTGTTTATATCCTGCATTGGTTCTGTCCCTTATTTTCAACCCTATAAATCAGATTCTTAAAATTAAGTAATGCTTAATTAAATATACCCACATATTTACTATTAATTTTGTTGTCTATTCTTTCTAATATTTCAGACTTTGTCAGTCCATTTTCTTTCTATAAGAAATATATTCTTTAGAATTTTTTTTCTTTTTAATTTTTTTTAACAATCTAACCAACTGAGCTACCCAGCCAGGACTAGAATTTTCTTAAATGAGGGTGTATTGGTGGTAAATTCAGTTTTTGTTTGTCTATAATATCTTCATTCTACTCTTAATCTAAAACCATAATTTCATTCAGTATACAGTTATAGTTGACAGTTACCATATTTCCTTAATTTGAAGAAACACTATTTTTAATGCACCATTATGAAATTTAAAAGTTTTTAGCTAAACTATCCACAATATGAAGTTGCATCTACTTTTAGATGTACCCCAATTGCAGAGATATGAAAATTTGTGGTCTTAGAGTCAATGAAATATGATCTGTTTTTCTTAGTATGTTATAGATATCACTCTGTTGTTTTCTAGCTTCTGTGTTACTGTTGAGAAGTCATTCACCAGTCAAATTGCCATTCTTTTAATTGTCTGTCCTTTGTATCATTTGCTTTTTAGACATCTAAACTGCAGTTTCATTGTGAGTGTGTAGGTAAATAATGCTTTTTTTATTACTCTTCTTGGGATTTGCTAGCCCACTTATATTGGTATCTTTTAACAATTCTGCACAGTTTTCAGGCATTCTTTATTCACATATTGCCTCCACCCCATTGTCTAAATTATAGCCTTCTTGGACTCCAATTAAATATATGATAGACTTCTTATTTTGCGTCTTCAACACTCTCACATTCATCATTTATTTTTTTCCAAGTGTCTTCTTGATAATTTCTTCATATTTATCTTTATCTCTTAATTTTTATTTACTGATTTTAAAGGAAGGAGGAGAGAGAGAGAAACATTGATTTGTTGTTCCACTTGATACATTCATTGGTTACTTGTATGTACCCTGCCTGGGGATCAAACCTGCAACCTTGGCACATGGGGACAAGGCTTCTCTAACCAACTGAGTATCCTGCCAGGACTTCATACTTATCTTTAAGATTCACTTATTCTTTAGATTTTAAGGTGTCAATTCAACTTTTAAATTAAAATGTTTACACTTACTGTTTCTAGAAGTCTTATTTGGTATTCTAATATGTTCATTAGAAGTGAACTTACTCCTTTGACTTACTCATATTTTCAAAGTTCTGTTTTATTTCTTTAACCATTTATATGGTCATTTTGTATTCTCTTGTGCAAGTCTTTGTTCCTATTATTTTGGTAGGCATAACATTCTAAAACCTGATAACTGTAGAAAAATATTTTTTTCTCTAGTCCATTAAGTACCATGTGATATACTCATACACTGCTTAGAGATTTAGGTTAATCCTTTTTATTTGTTTCATTTGAATCATATACATTTTGTTCTTACCAAAAGTTATACTAATTACAATGTAGAATATCATACACCCTCTTGACAATAGGGGGAGATACTGTAATACAGGTAAACACCCCTAATTTTACCCTCAGGTGTGGAAGAAACAAATTGAATTTGATTTACTGAAATTGGGGTGTTTTTTTTTTATCTTCACCATACATGCCCTGACTGGGACTGAATTCACAACCTAGGCATGTGCCCTGACCAGGAATCAAACCCACGACCTTTTGGCTCATGGGATGACACTCCAACCAACTGAGCCACACTGGCCAGAGCTGAAATAAGGTTTTGTAAAAAATCAATTTTGTTTGATGATAATAATATATAAGAATTACTTTGTAGCCAAAAAATAAAGCAATTAGTGGTAAATCTTTCATCAACGACCTCCCAATAGTTCAACTTTTTATAAAGGTTTTATTATATGCAAATTAAATTTTCCCCAAATATTTTATGTTTGTCTTCCTGATTTCTGTACTCTCAGAAGTAATGTCTATTTAAATGTGCTGCATTTACTCATGGCTCATGTTTTAAATAAGTTGTCAAGTAAGAATTCTTTTAAAAAGATGTAAAATAGCCTTTTAAGTCAACATATTACTTGTTATTTTCCTGAGACCTATTATGTTAAGATAGCACCTTAAAATGAATGTTTTAAAGTTGTATTCTATTTAGGGGTACTTATTTGTGTTTGTGTGGGCTAGAACATTGTGGGGCTTGATCTACAGAGTACATGTTTAGTTTATTTGCAATTTCCCTTTGCAGGCTTGTTTTGATCCACCTCTTGAAGTGGTTTCCACCAGGAACCCAATTATGTACAACAAAAGAGTGGCTGACCCAGTTCATCCTGACCTTGATGGTTTGTTGGTGAAAAACAAGAATCTTTTAGCTGAGGTATATGGATTACTGGAAAACAAAACACTATGGGAAAGTTTATCCTCTATAAAAGTAGGGGGGAAAATTCTGATAAAGGGTTCCAAGTATCATCTCAATTCAGTTTTGCTTTTTTCTCAATATTGAATTCTCTTGTTATTGAGGAGCATTTAGACCTGAACCTGTCTTTTGCCAGAGAAATCCCTTTGAAGATCATACATAGTTAAGTGCTATTAAGTTGACTGCCAAATGCTAGGATTTTATTTGTGTTTTTTTTAAAGATTTTATGTATTTTATTTTTAGAGAGAGGGGAAGAGAGGGAGAAAGAGAGAGAGAGAGACATCAATATGGGTTTGCCTCTCACTTGGCCCCCACTGGGAACCTGGCCTGCAACCCAGGTATATGCCCTGAGTGGGAATCAAACCAGCGGCTTTTTGGTCCTTAGCCTGCGCTCAATCCACTGAGCTACACTAGCCACAGCACAATGCTAGGATTTTAGACCATTGCTTATTAACTGCCATACTCAAAATTTATGTAATAATAAGTTACATATATTAAGCATTTTTAATGGAAAGTATGAGTTCCCATTTTCAATGTAGCACCAAATGGCAAATACCCACTAATCTTATTGAATACTCAATGTGATATCTGAGTAACACCAACAGATGAAAAAGAAAAACCACATTTGTAGGAAATGCCTTGACTTTTATTCCCTGTGATAAACTAGAGAGTGCTTGTAAGAATTTTTTAGTCAAACCCAAGTGCCTCAGGATATTTGTTGCAAGAGACAGTTTTGTCGGGAAACGTGGTTGGAGGCCCAAAGACCACTGGCAGTATTGAAGGTGCTGTGGTATGGCTGCTTATGTCTGTGCTGCCTCTGTGGGTACCTTTAAGTAAATCTTCTGCACACTTACATGTGGATCACTGACCAATGCACCAAATAAGGAGCTATCTGTTATATCTGAATTAGTTTCCTAGGGCTGACATAACAGAGTACCACAGACTGGGTGGCTTAAACAACAGAAATTTATTTTCTCACAGTTCTGAAGGTTGAATGTCCAAGACGAGTCAACAGGATTGCTTTCTTCTTTTTTTTCTTTTAAGATTTTATTTATTTATTTTTAGAGAGGGAAGAGAGGGAGAAAGAGAGAGAAAGAGAAACATCAATGTGCGGTTGCTGGGGGTCATGACCTGCAACCTAGGCATGTACCCTGACTGGGAATCGAACCTGCGATGCTTTGGTTTGCAGCCCGCACTCAATCCACTGAGCTACACCAGCCAGGGCTGTTTTCTTCTTTTTAAAAAATGTTTTTTCTGACTTTATTGTCATCTAATTGACATATAACATTGTATAAACTTAAGGTATACAATGTGATGAGTTGATGTATGTATATATTATGATTGCCGCAGTAGGGTTAATTAATACTTCCATCACTTCACATAATTACCATGTACACGTATGTGTTGAAAAGGTTGGTTTCTTCTGAGCCCTCTTTTCTTGGCATGTTAGATGCCCATTTATTTTTTGTGTCTTCACATGGTCTTCCCTCTGAAACTGTCTGTTGCCAAACTTCCTGTTCTTATGAAAACATCATCATACTGAATTAGGGCCCATCCTAAAGATTTCTTAACTTAATTACCTCTTTAAAGACACTACCCTCAAACACGGTCACTTTCTGAGATTCAGGGGCTTAGGACTTAAACATACAAATTTTGAAGGGACACAACTCAACCTGTGACAGTGGCTTTATTCCTTGGGGCCTCTTTTCTGCCCACGACCTCATTAAAGTTCTTTTCTGCTGTCTCATCTACCAATAGATAGCCTGATCCCAGGTCTCATTTAAACAGATATAAATATTGATATAGATATATGGGTAAATATATGAGATCTGTTCAGAAAGTATCCAGCCATGTACTTGAAAAATAGAGACATTTATTGAATAAAATACAAGATACAAGAAACATTGTACGTAGGACAATGATACCTTAGTCCCTTTCAAAGTAGGCACCCTGGAACCTTACACAGTGCTCCCAGCATCTTTCCACTGTTTAAAACACTGCAAAATCCTATGTTGCATCACTATCAGCTGCCCCATTATATTTTCTTGAATCTCATTGATGGTCTGAAATCTCTTCCCTTTCAAAGATTATTTTACTTTCAGGAAAAGCCAGAAGTTGCAGGGTGCCAAATCTGGGCTGTGGGGGGTTGAACTCAATACTCTCAGGTGTTGTGCTTGTTGTAGGCCTTCTAGAACGTGGATCACGTTCAACAGATTCTCGACCATCTTTGAAGCATTTGTGCCACACTTTTATTTGTGCTGTACTCATTGTTTCATTTTCAAAAGGCTTCTGAATCATCTGAACGGTTTCCACAGAATGTTCAAGCTTACTGCAAAATTTGATGTAGAGTCTTTGCTCTCCTCGCTAAGTCATTTTGAACGTGAAGGCCACACAGTACACGTGCTCACTCAATGGTGTCTACCGCCCCCACTGACTAGTACAATGAAGTCGTCATTGTTCATACATGTGCATTCCAGTCCACTGTCCTTGGCTACCAGGTTACACTGATGTTGCTCAAACCATTCTTGTTATATTATCAATGGCTGAACTTTTTCCAGACAGACCTTGTATAATTTCAATTTTGTTTATGCTAATATTTTCCCTCTTTTAGCATAGAGAGGTAGGTAGAGGTTAAATTTAAATGTCTTTGTAGGACAATGTTCCTACTGACTGAGCCATACCATCCAAGGCTTAAAGTACCTTTAAAAGCAATTCTCTACATGTGCATAAATTATTTGGTAATTATAAATATTTTAAATCTATTTGTCAAAACAAGTATCTAAAAATTCCTACAAAGTTCTCATTTTGATTTGGTTTTAACTACTACATATATTAGAAAGTATTCTCTAGTTCATATTGATGTTCCCTGAATTTAAGAAAAATTATTGACAGTTATTGCATGGTTTCCTTGTGTTGAAGGTTTGTCAGGGGGTTTTTTGTTTGTTTGTTTTTTAAGATCAGTGGCCTGGCAGGTGTGGCTCAGTTGGTTGGAGCGTTGTCCCATAACCAGATGGTTGTGGGTTTGATTCCCCATCAAGACACATACTTAGGTGTAGGTTTGATCCCCAGTCTTTGTGCACACGGGAAGCAACCAATTGATGTTTCTCTGTAACATTGCTGTTTTCCTCTCTTCATTACTCTCTCTCCAAAAGAAATGGGAAGAAAAATGTTGGGATAAAAATAAAATAAAGACTAGTGACTTTAGCACAATACCTTCAGCATGAGCCATCTTTTTCTTTCCCAATAACCTATTATTTAATCCTGCAGAAACACAGTTTGTCTTGATAAGGCAGTTTTTCTCTTCACTGATGCATGGAACATTTTTTGTTGTAATTAACTTTATCTCTTTGTGGAATATACAAAAATAATTATCACATGTTTCTTCCCAGTGATGGAGAAACAGGTGCAGGAGAGCTATATCTAAGAAAAGCCAGCTATAGGAGGGATAAATATTAAAGTATTCAGTTGGTGATTGTGTTGTCTAGTTTAGGCAATATGATATTGAGCTAAAAATCTTGCACAGTGCTAGATGGGCTGCTGTAATAATAAATGAGTTAACTTGTAAAAAATATTACTGATAATATGTATAAAAAGGCCTGGTGTCTTACATTTAAGATCAATTTAATGTATTTTGCCAGCACTTCTAAATTTGATTTTCATGATAGCTTTTGTGAGGGCAATATGGCTGTGTTTGTGCAGGTGAGATGTTTTTCTTCTCTTGATATAGTAATAAGGCAAATATAGTAGAAACCTGGGAGGCACAGCCAGCTCTAGAGGGGATGGATGCATGCAATATAAATTTTGCAGCTAAAGGAAAATATTTACCAGAACCAGTTATTATTAATTTTAAATCAGATAATTGTACATTCATGTGTGGTTTTAAGAAATGAGAGATCCTTAGCCCTGGCTGGCATAGCTCAGTGGATTGAGCGTGGGCTGTGAACCAAAGTGGCGCAGGTTCAATACCCAGTCAGGGTACATGCCTGGGTTGCAGGCCATGACCCCCAGCAACTGCACATTGATGTTTCTCTCTCTCTCTCTATCTCCCTCCCTTCCCTCTCTAAAAATAAATAAATAAAATCTTAAAAAAGAAAAAGAAATGAGAGATCCATTGTATACTTTGCCCAGTTTCTTCCAATAGTCAAATTTTGCAAAACTATAGTATAATGTAACAGCCTGAATGTTAACATTGACAGAATATAATCCACCAATCTTATTCAGATTTTTCCCAGTTACTTGTATTCCTTTATGTGTTATGTTCTAAACAATTAGTCAAGACACTGAACAGTTAATTTCAACACCAGTAAGATCCTCTTGTTGCCATTGTATATCCACATCCACTTCCTTCCCACCCTTAACGCCTGGCAACCACTAATCTCTCCTCCTATCCTAAAATGTCATTTCAAAATGTTGCATACTCAAAAAAATAAACATAGTGTTACCATATGACCCAACAATCCCACTCCTAGGTAGTTAAAACAAGAAAATTGAAATGTATATTCACATAAAAACGTATAAATGAATATTCATAGTAGCATTATTCATACAGCCAAAAAGTGGAAATAATTCAAATGTCTATCAACTAATGAGTGACTAAGTAAATGTGTATATCTATATAGTGGCATTTTAGTCAGCCATAAAAAGGAATGAAGTAGTGATTCATGCTACAACATGAATGAACCTAGAAAACATTATGCTAAGTAAAAATAAACCAATTACAAAAACAACATATTGTATTTTGTTCATTGAAATGTCTAGAATAAGCAAATCCATGGAGACCGAGAGTAGCTGAGTGGTTGCCAGGGGCTGAGAGAGAGAGGGATGATGGGGAGTAACTACTAGTGGGTGTTGGGTTCTTTGGGGGATAATGAAGAAGTTCTGGAATTAGATCATAGTGATGGTTGCACAACCTGTGAATACACAAAAAACCACTGAATTGTATGCTTTAAAGGGTAAATTTTATGGTACGTGGATTATATCTCAATTTTTAAAAATGAAAAATAAAAAAGGTCAATGTAGCCACATAACTCTTTGACTATACTAAAAACCATACAACTGTGAGCCCTGGCTGGTGTAGCTCAGTGGATTGAGCGCGGGCTGGGAACCAAAGTGTCCCAGGTTTGATTCCCAGGCAGTGTACATGCCTGGGTTGCAGGCCATGACCCCCAGCAACCGCACATTGATGTTTTTCTCTCTCTCTCCCTCCCCTCTCTAAAAATAAATAAATAAAATCTTTAAAAAAAAAACCATACAACTGTGTAGTTTAAATGGGTAACTTTATGAATTATATCTCAGTAAAGCTGTTGTTAAAATGCTATATAAATAGAATCATATATATGTAATCTTTTGGGATTGGCTTTTTCACTCAGCATAATTTATTGGAGATTTATTCAATTTGTTGCATGTATTAATAGTTTGGTTCTTTTTATTGCTGAGTCAATGGTATGTAAGTACCACAGTTTGTTTAACTATTCATCTGTTGACAAATACCTGGGTTGCTTCCAGTTTTTTGGCTATTACAGATAAAGGTTCTATGGACATTCATGTATAGGTCTTTGCGTGAATAACTTTTCATTTCTCTGGAATAAGTCCCTGAAAGTGCCATAGCTGGGTCAGAAAGTCATTGCATGTTTAGTTTTTAAGAAACTGTTAAAGAATTTTCCAGAGTGGCTATACCATTTTACATTCCTATCAAGAATGTGTGAGTGACTCGGTTTCTCCTCATTCTTGTCAGCATTTGGTGGTGTCACTATTTTGTATTTTTTTTTTAATTTTAAAAAAATATTTTATTTATTTACTTTTAGGCAGAGGGGATGGAAGGAAGAAAGAGAGGAAGAGTAACATCAGTGTGTGGTTGCCTTTTGCATGCGCCCCATGCAAAGTTGCGGCCCGCAACTCAGGCATGTGCCCTTACTGGGAATTAAACCAGCAACCCTTTGGTTCACAGGCTTGCACTCACTCCACTGAGCCACACCAGCCAGGGCACTATTTTGTATTTTAGATAGCTAATACATTTGTAATAATATGTCATTGTGGCTTTAATTTGCATATCCGTAATGGCTGATGGAGGTAAACATATTTTTATGTGCTTATTTGCCATCCATATGTTCTTTCTGATAAAGTCTTTTGCCTATGTTCTAATTGCATGTTTTCTGAGAGTTTGGAATTGTTTATTCTAGATATGTCCTTTGTTGACAGTTTTCTTCAATAGGTTATATCTCATTTTGGGGGTTTGTAGATTTAGCTAAGTCCTGAACATACTTCTGGTTCATTACATCCAAATCCAACCAAACTATTCAAAATTTGGGTTTATTGGCATAAAAAAATACAGCGGTGTCTTAAAATCTGAGATTTCGCAAATCACTGTTCAAATGGAAGGAGTAACAAATAGAACCAGCAAGTGCTTTGGAAGACTAGTTGACAAGGTTTGGTCGTTAAAATTAAACTAGATCTAGAAATCAATATTGTGTGAGTCTGAGACTTATGCTGCTTTAGGTTTTTTTTATGAAGTATTATCTTAGCAATAACCTAACAACAGGATAACTAAAAACTAACTAAAACATTGAGCGTGGGCTGCGAACCAAAGTGTCGCAGGTTCGATTCCCAGTCAGGGTACATGCCTGGGTTGCAGGCCATGGCCCCCAGCAACCGCACATTGATGTTTCTCTCTCTCTCTCTTTTTCCCTCCCTTCCCTCTCTAAAAAATAAATAAATAAAACCTTTAAAAAATTAACTAAAACATAGCACTTATGTCATAGCACAGGGGATAGGACAACTACATTGCACAACTCCAGGGGGCATTTGTTATTTTTATGGTACCTTAGATGAATGGTAACCACTGCAGTTCAGAGAACCCCTCACTTAACTGGTTAAAATAATGAAGATAGTGCTTCAGGGTTTTCACAACTGTCGTGATTACCAGAAGTTGGGATCTATTTGATAGGAATAGAGTTACAACTCAATATTTGTTGAGATTCTGCCATGAGAGAAGTACTAAAAATACCTCAGTTTTTTAATCTAGTGAATTTCCTTCACTTATCAGATAGAAGAACAGAGTTTTTAAAAATGTTACCCAAATATAATAAAATCACCTCGCAGCAGCTGTGCCCTCTGCCCTTTCGATCCTTCTTAATTCCTTGCAGCAGTCGCCTTTGGTGGCTCGTCTGTTTTGCTTCCGCTTTCACAAGCCATCACTCTTGCTTCTCTTCCTAACTTTCTGAGCTCTTCTTTCCTTTATTTGTTTTAGTTTCTTTATTTCCTTTATGATCAATTTAAAATTCACTCTTTCTGCTGACTCTCCTCTACCTATATCTCAAATCAGCACAAATAAGTCCAGAAACCAAGTGATACAAACATAGTTTGCTCTTTAGAAGAGGGCCCTGTGCATGCACACTCTTTTGCCACACATCGTAAAACAAAACAGCTATGGCCAAAGCATCAAGTACTTCTTTTCTGCTAGGAATTCTAAAATTTGTTGTTGGTAAAATTGACTCTTGTAATGAGACCTAAACAACTTTAATGTTGATGAGAATAAAATCACTTATTCCAAGCCATATGTGTCAATCTGACATAATTTTTAATATATATTTAACATTGGAATATACTGTTACATTCGAGAGCTTTCATTTTATTGTATGGTAATGTGTAACTTAAATACCCATAATGATTTAAAATCAAGAATTTTCTAAAACCAAAATTGTAAATGATTTTAAGTAACACTTTCCCTTTTTCCTTAGCTAAGAAATCTTCAAAACAAACTTTTAATAAAAGAAACTTCAGTGCAAGAGATGAAGAGTGAACTAGAAAGTTACAAAGAAAATAATGTGAAACAGTCGTTCCAGATAATGTCCCTGAAAAATGATATCAAGGACCTAGAAGAGCTTATTGCTTCTCTAACCAGAATTAAATCTTTGAAAAGCATCAATGTTCACAGTCTCGAAAGAGTCAACTGGGATCTAAATGAAAGAATCATGGAACTAGAAAACCGTCTAAGGTGGGGAATTTTCTTTCTTTCCCCTACGTTACTTTGTTTTAATCATTGTTAGTCAGTCCTATGTTGAACATATTTTTAAAGAGAAAATAATTTTTAAAGTACAACCACAAGTATAAAGTAGAGGAGCTTAAGAAGACAAAGATAAAATCTGTTTCATAACACAACATTAATCTTTTCAAACAAGTTTGCTAAGAGCTTCCATGTTTAATGTTCAAAATAAAACAATCTCAGAAAAATTGAGACATCATTTGATTAATAAAGCCTATTCTTCCCCCAAGTTTACACTGGCTTATCTTTATTTAGAAATTATAAATTCATGAGAAAAGAACAAATTTTGTTGTGTAAAAATCTTAGGAAAAACAAATTATGAAAAATTAATTTTTTAATGAACAAAAATATTTTCCTTCCCAAAATGTAAGCGTCCAATGAATAAAACACATAATATTCCAGGTATAGATACATAATAATTTACTTATGAAGAAGATGCATTTTGATATATTTGGTGGTAAGATTTTTGTTTCTCCTAAGTGTAAAGCACTTCAAACAAACCAGGCCATTATTATTTAAAAGTCTATTCCTTCACCGAGTTTCCTTATTTGAATATAAACTCATCAATTCCTGTAGAATTTTAGAAAGGTTTAAAATATCTAAAAGTTATTTGGTTAGAGAAAAATAATTTCTTGAGACCTGGAGGCAGTCATTCATCACTTTGTGCCTGAAGGCGGTCCTCAGCAAACTTCTTTGCTACAGTCTTCAGAGCAAAGCACAGGATCTGGGCTCCCAGAAGCTCCGGCCAGACCACCGGCCAGCAGGACATCCTTGCAGGCGTTCTGCGTGCAGCACTGTCTCCACGCTGGCATCCAGCCAGAGCCTCGAGAGGAAGACAAGGTGGCAGCGCTGGGCTCTGAGGGCCAGGAGTTTTCTAGTTTGTTTTCAGACGTCGTTTGTTTTAACTTACAAGTCGTGTATGATGTCCATGTTCCTAGTTGATCAGAGAATTTAAATATAGAAGAATTTCACATAATGCCTGGCTCAAAATTATTATATTTTAAAAAGCATTCCTATTGAGGTATTTACATACCATTAAAACTCACCCCCTTAAAGTGTACAATTCATCAGTTTTCAGTATATTCACAGGTTGTGCAACCAACACCACTATCTAATTCCAGAACATTCTTATTACATCCTAAATAAACCCTATGCCCATTCCAGTTACTCCCTATTCCACCCCCTCCAGTCTGACGACCACCAATCTACATTTTTCTCTATGAACTTGCCTTTTCTGAGCATCTCATATGAATTCAATTATATAATATATGGTTCTGTATCTAACTTCTTTCACTTAGCACAGTGTTCTCAAGATCCATTCATGTTGCAGCCTGAATTGGTACTTCTTTTCATTGCTGAGTAATATTCCATTATATGGATATACCACATTTTGTTTATCCATACATCAATTGAGGACATTGGGTTGTTTCCTTTTGGAGGGTGTGCTTTATGGATAATGCTGCTATGAACATTCTTTGTATGAGTTTTTATATGACTATATGTTTCATTTCTCTTAGGTATATGCCTTAGAAATAGGATTGCTGAATCATAAAGTAATTTCTACATTTAACTTTTTTTTAAATACATATTTTTTAAAGATTTTATTTATTTATTTTTAGAGAGGGAAGGGAGGGAGATAGAGAGAGAGAAACATCAATGTGAGGTTGCTGGGGGTTATGGCCTGCAACCTAGGTATGTACCCTGACTGGGAATTGAACCTGTTACACTTTGGTTCGCAGCCCATGCTCAATCCACTGAACTATTCCAGCCAGGGACATTTAACTTTTTGAAGTTACTTACTTCCAGGCTGTTTTCTTGGACAGCTGCAGCATTTTTAATTACTACCAGCAATGTATGAAGATTTCAATTTCTCCATATTCTCACCAACCCATCTTATTATTAATCTTTTTCATTATAGCCATTCTAGTGAATATGAAGTCATATCTCATTGTGCTTTTTAATTTGCATGTGTATAATGACTAAAGATGTTGACCATCCTTTCATGTGTGTATTGGCCACTCGTGTATCTTCTTTGTAGAAATATCTATTCAGATCTTTTACCCATTTTTTTTTTAAGATTTTATTTATTTTAAGAGAGGTCAAGGGAGGGAGAAAGAGAGGGAGAGAAACATCAATGTGTGGTTGCTTCTTGAGCACCCCCTACTGGGGACCCAGCTCACAACCCAGGCATGTGCCCTGACTTGGAATCCAACCCAGCAACCCTTTGGTTCTCAGGCTGGCACTCAATCCACTGAGTCACACCAGGCAGGCCTTTGCCCACTTTTAAATTGTTTTTTTGTTGTTGTTGGTTTTTTATCATTGAGTTGTAAGTGTTCTTTGTATATTCTGGATACCATAACCTTATCAGATACGTGAATTGCACATATTTTTGTCCCGTCTGTGGATTTTTCAATTTTTTTTTTTAAAGAGAGGGAGAGACACAATAATGTGTGGTTGCCTCTCATGCCCCCTACTGGAGACCTGGCCTACAACCCAGGCATATGCCCTGACTGGGAATCGAACTGGCAACCCTTTGGTTCACAGGCCAGCACTCAATCCATTGAGCCACAGCAGCCAGGGCTCAGTTTTCTTAATGGCGTCCTTTGAAGCACAAAATTTTAAAAGTTTGATTAAGTTTATCTTTTTTTGTCACTCATGTCTTTGATGTCATACCTAAGAACAACTGCCTAATCTAGGGTTGTGAATATTTACACGTTTTCTTTTAAGAGGTACAGTTTTAGTGTTTAAATTTATGTCTTTGCCCATCTTGACTAATTTAGCTCTGCCAGCCCTACTTGTTAAAAAGACTATTTTTTCTTCCATTGAGTTGTCTTGACAATCTTGCAAAATAAATCAATTGACTACATGTGGGTTTATTTTTTAAAAGATTTTATTTATTTATTTATTTTTAGAGAGAGGGGAAAGGGAGAAAGAGAGGGAGAGAAACATCAATGTATGGTTGCCTCTCATGTGCTCTGTACTGGGGACCTGGCGCAAAGTGCAGGCATGTGCCATGACTGGGAATCAAACTGACAACCCTTTGGATCGCAGGCAGCACTCAATCCACTGAACACACCAGCCAGGACTGTGGGTTTAATTCTAGAATCTCAGTTCTATTCCATTGCTCTATATGTCTGTCCTATGCCAGTACCATACTCCCTTGATTACTGTAGCTTTGTAGTAAGTTGAAGTGAGTCCTCCAACTTTTTCCCCTTTTTCAAGTATGTTTCAGCTATTTGGGCCCCCTGCTTTTCCGTGTGAATTTTAAAATTGTCGAATTTCTGCAAAAATAGTCAACTGGGATTTTGATAGGAATTTGTTGAACTTACAGATCAATTTGAGGAGTATCACCATCTTAATATTAAGTCTTTCAGTCCATGAATATAGGTCATCTTTCTACTATTTAGGTTCTCTTTAATTTCAACAATATTTTATAGTTCTCAGTGTACATGTCTTACCCTTCTTTTGTTAAATTTATTGATAAGTATGTTATTCTTTTTTATGCATTGGAAATGGAACTACTTCCTTAATTTTATTTCAAATTATTCACTTTAGTGAATAGAAATATAATTGGTTTTTGTATATTGACTCTGTGTCCCGTAGCTGTGCTATACTTGTTAGCTCTAATAGTTGTGTGTGTGTTTGTGTGTATTCCTTAGGAACTTCTTTATACAAGGTCATCTCATTCGCAAAAAGATTTACTTCTTCCTTTCTAATCTTGATGCTTTATTTTTCTTGACTAATTGTCTTAGCTCAAACCTCCAGTACCATGTTGTACGGAAGTGGTAAGAAACAGACATCCTTCTTTTGTTCTTGATCTTAGGGGGAAAACTTTCAGTCTTTCTCCAGTAAGTACAATAAGTACAATATGATGGTAGCTTTGAGTCTTTTGTAAAGATCCTTTATCAGGTTGAGGAAATTTCCTTCTATTTCTAGCTTGTTGAGTGTTTTTATCTTAAAAGTGTGTTGGATTTTGTAAACTGTTTTTTCTGCATCTATTGGGATGATTGTGTGGTTTTGCCCTTTATACAATTTGTTATTCGTTGACACATGGTTATTAAGTTGGTGTATATAGAGAGGAGATATTTGATCGTGAGCCCTTGGTTGATAAGAGGAGAAACGAAGTCATTAATTTTCCCTCTTACAATGCTACTAGTAATTAAGAAGCCCATACAATATAAAAATCACTTGTATTCAAATAAGTAGGAATAGTGGTGTAGACTGTTTCTATTCTACATTGGTTAGATGTATATTGGCAGATTGAAATTTCTCTTGCATTTCCCAAATCACTTAAATACACACACACACACACACACATATATGAGCTTGAAACTAAGTAAGGAAACAAATCTCTACTTAGCCTGAGAAATTAGTTAAAATCAAAGACCAGCAAGGAGAGTAGGATTTCTTCCCCTCCCTGTCCTACCCCCTGCCCCGGTTGTGCAGTGTCTGATAGTATCCCATACTATTGTTATATTTTAACTTTTCATATTTATAAATCCCATAAGATATTATTATTGTTTTTATTGACTGTCAGTATACATTTCTACTTTTCCTTTCTGGTGCATTGCATTCTTTCCTGCAATTCTGTATAGTCACCAAGGATCATTTCCATCCATTCCTTCTCCATCCTTGTTCATCCTGAGAAATTGCCTGTAGTGTTTCTTATAATGCAGTTCTTCTGACAGTTCTTCATTTTTTTCCCTTTGGAAATGATGTTTATCTCATCCTCATTGTTTTGAAGGGTATTTTTTTATTGTGTATAGAATTCTGAGATATCAATACTTTTACTCTCAGCCCTCCAAGATGTCATTCAGTTATCTTCTAACTTGTATAGCTTCTTTTGAAAACTCAGTCATCAGTATCATTGTTGCATTTCTGAAGGTAATATGTGTTTTCTTCTCTGACTGCTTTTAATTGGTAATAATTTGACTATGATGTGTCTTGGTGTGGCTTTCTTTGTATCTGTCCTGCTTAGGATTTGAAGAACTTATTGAATCTATCAACTGATGTCTTTCATCAGGTTTGAAAAATTCTTGGAAATTTTTTTCCAAATATTATTTCTGTCCCATTCTATCTCTGCTCTCATTCTAGGCCTACAATTACAGGTATGTTAGATCTGTTGAGTGTGTCCTACATGTCTCTAATATAAATTTTTGAATTAAAATTTTTCTTTATATAATTCAGATAACTTCTGGTGACCTAACTCAAATTCATTAATTCTGTATGATGTAATTCTTAGATAGAAAATGACATTAAAAGTATGGAAGATGGGCTGAAACTGGAACTTAGCTACAGGGTAAAAAATATTACCAATACCTAGCAATTGATAATCAAAACAAGAACCAAATAATTTGCTGTTTGTATATTTGATAATAAATAAAGTTATCACACATGCTATTCTCCGTTGCTATATCATTCTTTCTAGTTCCTTTCCCCTCTTCAAATCCCAGTAGAAGAACCCATTAAGGTGTTACTAAAGTAGGAGTGCTTGTGGAACCTCCCGGTCATCACGCTGTTACCAATAGTGGCTGTCAGATACACTCAGATTCCCCCTTGAAAAGGATGGATTCAAATTGACCTCCCCCAGGGTAACTACTACAGGTCTTAAATTGGGTTGTTTTTCTCTCCATTTCTCTGCCATTTCTAGTCTCTTCTTAGAAATAGTTACATTTTTGCTTGATACACGTGTTTAATATTGGATTGGCTAAAAAGCCAGTTTCATTTTGTCCATAAAATAAAGGACACATTTTTTCATTTTCATCAATAACTTTATTATTTGGATATTTTGAGTATGTCGGCTATCTCCTTCATGGTATAATGTTGATCGTTCTCAATTAACATCTCAATTTGATCACTGTCAACTTCAGCTGGTCTGCCTACCCGTGGAGCATCATCCAGTGAGAAATCTTCAGCATGAAACTTTGCAAACCACTTTTGACACATTCAGTCAGTCACAGCACCTTCTCCATACACTGCACAAATCTTTTTTGCATTTCAGTTGCATTTTTACCTTCCTTGAAATAATAAAGCATAATATGCTGAAAATGTTGCATATTTTCTTCCATCTTCAATATTAAAATAGCTACACAAAAAATCACCAATTTTGATGTTTTTTTAATACATGCTGATGTGAAAGCTCTTCCAATCAATCTACCAAAATTGTTTCAAATGAAGTTCAAGACAGCAAAGTACTACTAGAACCATCTTACGGAAACCAACAAGTGAACTTTTTGGCCAACCCGGTATATATTAAATGGGGAATATTTATTTCAGTATTTTTAATTGAATTTTGAATATTGAATTGGTTTCATGATATTGTTACCTACTGTTATCTTACACAGAGTACATCTGGTTGAAAAGGAAAAGACAGAGCATAAAACAAAACTTTTGGAGAAAAAATTAGCAGGTGCTAATGAACTCACCCCTTATATGAATACAAAAGGACAAGAAGATACCGTGGGTAGTTTCATGATAAAGGTGAGAATAAATTCTGATTATTTTTGGAAGAAACAGGGTTTTCATTACTTTGTATTACTGCAGGAGATAATTGGCAACTTTGAGTGTTTTGCGGGGCCTCTTCCTGAGGAGGGTGAAAGGAGGTAGTGCAGCAGGGCTGACTACCTGGACGGCTTTCTGAGGGAGGCAGAGGGAGAAAGTGCGAGGAGGATCTGAAGGTCTCTGGGCTTCTGAGGGAAAGGTTAGAGTGACTGGAGCTGGGAGGAGCTGGGAGAAGTGGCGGTCAGAGAGTAAAATACTGAAGTTTTAAATCTGGCATATGGGTTCCTTCCTGTGCCTGACAAAATCTGGGTTTTTAGGTCTGGGTGTAAGGATTCAATGGAGGGGGGTATAGGTGAAATTATTGAAATAGAGGCAAGAAATTTTAAAGCTACATTGTTGGGTCATCTACACCAGGCACTGAAATAGAGAATTGTGACAGGGTCGGGTTAAGCAGAAGGAGATGAGCACGATCACTTGTAGACAACAGTTCACGGGGTCAGTTGAAGATCTTCTAGAAGAGTGCTGGAGGATGAGGGGAGACTGGCAATTGTCAAAGAACTGGTGAAAGCTTATTTTGAAATTCTTAGACTATAATAGTTTGTTATAAAATCTGAATATAAAGCAAAGTCCATTAATGTAAGGGGTTCCATTAAAAAATCAGAACTGCTTTCAGAGTACTTTAAAATAACTTCAATTTTTAATTGCCTACCTCAGTAATGTACAGTAACACTTTACATTTTCTTTCACTGCTCTCACTGATCTGCCGCATCTCTGAAAACTCTCCCAAACCAGAGTCCATGCAGCTCTGACCTTTTCTTCCATTGCTGTTTTATTTTGCCTCTTTTTCCAGTCTTTTAGTGAGCAAACTCATCATTATTTCAACAATTTTAGTTCTCCTTCTATTTCCCAATTTCACGTGGCAAAAGCCCAGGAATTAAACTTGTTTACTCGGCTTCCAGAGTTGACAGTGGCAAGAAGGCTAGAACTTCCGAAGGGAGAATCGTTCTGTCGGAGGTTGGCTGGGGTGGGGGCACAGCCTTATCTTCTGGTTTTTCCCTGACAACTTGCAATGGAAGCAGGATGACTACAGGAGCACAAGGGAAAGGTTGGGGGTATAACTCCCTTCATTCATACTTTTACGTACTTTTACCTTACATACTTTTACAGCTCAAAATTTTCTGTAAAGAGTGTATCCTCACAAAGTGGGGCTGTTTGGTTAGCTGCTCCTTTAAGCTAAATTTCCTGTGTTCTTGAAACAGTCTCTCCATGTCATCGTTTTAATTCCTCTTGTTCTAGTTTGCTCTTTTGAGTACAACCTTGTCTCTCTCAGGACTCTGTAACTCTTGCTTTCTTTTGAGGGCCTTTTCCTGAAGTTTTATATTGTGGCTATGTCTTTATTCCAAAAGAAAGGATATATGTATTTCCATTCTGAATTCCCAAATGGGAAGTTTAACATGTGTGTTCGCATATTTAGGATAAAGGTAAAGCTATCCTGGCCAAGAACTGTGAGAGAGACGACAACATTTTTCACTCCGAGGGACCAAAAGATGGGCAGAAAATTTGGGATAAATGTCAACAGGATTTGATCCATACGGAAAAACAAAAATATGATTTAGACAGACCTCCATATTCGTCCAGCTGGGAAGCTAAAACTGTGCAATCCCACTCTCAGAAATTCCTCGGTCAGTTGGCTACTCTCCTGAGCGACAGCGTTGCCCCCCTCCCAGCCACGGAGGAAGCCGTGAAAGAGAGGATTCAGGAAATCGGCGCCAATGAGCAGTCCTGGAAGTCTGTAAGTGTGTTGACAGACAAGTTACCCCTTTAAACTTGTTTCTTTTAAGATGTGGACTGTGATATTAGCCAATTCAGTGAACTCTGTGGCTGTACACTTTAATATTGATTGTATTACTGCCATAATAGAAGAGGATGTCTGTTATTACTGAAGAGCACTGAGCTCCTGTATGAATCCCAGCTCTGCCATTGCCAGCTGTGTGCTGCTGGCAGTTGACTCACCCACTCTCTGCCTCAGTCTCCTTTGTAAAATTTGGCAGGAGGGGGTTGGGGAGCATAGTTCCCATCTCAGAGTGGTTGTAAGAATGAAATGGGTTAATACATGATAAATGCTCAGCACAGTTATGTGTAAGCTCAATTGATGCTAGCTTAAGAATAGTGGTAGGGTGAAGATAATGTTTCCCTCATGAGCAAACAGTTTAGTCGGTGCAGTAAATAAGTTGTTTATTTGAATTTACTAGTCAAGTCTATCAAAAGATTGAACAAGCAGGTTTCAATAATTATATCTCTCTGTTGTGTTCATATCACTTTAGTAGAATTTCATGACTCTTTACCCTATAATTCAGAGGAAGATAGATATTGCTTAAATTCAATGTGTTAGTAAAACCTGCTAAACAGTGGTTTATTGTAGAGTTCCAAATTTTTTACACTGTTTTCTTAAATTCATTATATAACTTTATTACTCAGTATTAACTAAAATGTCCTGTATTTATATATTAAACCTTTCTATTTTTTGAAACCAGCATCTATTTAGTAATTTAATGTTGCCACGGTATCAGGAGAGTAGAACTTACACAGTATGGAGATGAAATAGAAATCATAGATCGTCAGGGAGTTCCATCTCATTTTTTCCTTTACAGAGAACCGAAGGCCTTCAGCAGGAAATTCAGATGCTTACTAAGCGACTGGAGCAGGTGCATCATCATCACCGTGAAGAATCGTCCCAACCTGAAGAGAAGTGTGGGGAACAAAAAAGACCCTTGAAACGCCTGGAAGGAAAAATTGCTATTAATGACTTTTTTCAAGAGAGATTAGACTTGGGCAGGAATAAAGTAAGAATTTCATGAAGTATAAGGCATGTCTTTGACAGTGAAAATGATCATATTTTGTTATATTATCTGATGTTTAAAGCTGTTAATGTTTAAAGCTTTTAATATTGGGAAAGAGAGGAAATTTTGCTCAAAACCCTTGTGATTTGATCAAAAACCCTTACCTCACTTCATATCTTCCATTTCTCATTTTATACATATTTGATAGTTATTAGGAGGGCATTTATTAATGTATTCCTTAATGTACTTTTGAAAGGTAGGTTAGAGGAAAATGAGCTCAAAGGAATGACTCTCTGAAGGTGGAATTTCAGTCACTGTGTCAGTTAGATGAGATGGATATTAGAAGGAGCCATTGGTGATGTCCTCAGTAATTATTTTATAGGCCATTACCTTCTGCTTCTTTAAACCTGTAAGGAAGAAATCAGTCCTAAAGCTGGTATGAAAATAGCTAGGATGCAATATAATTTATTTTCAGGAGATTTTTGTTCTATTTCACTATTTCTCCTCAGAATTGCTCATCATACTCATACCTATGTTATATTATTTCTATAATTGCTATGGCCCAAAATGTAATCTCATTCACTTACTACTTACTCATTTAGTCTCTCATTTCATTCATTCATTCATTCACTTACTCAGTATGCATTGAATGCTCAGTTGAAAAAACTTCCAGCACTTAATGAAGTGGTATCAACAATGTCCTCCACAGAGTCCAATAATGAATTCACCTTCTGCTGCTAGTTCCTTCCCCATGTCCCCCCCAAAGAAAATCAATCTTATGTATTTAATGTGCATCTTTTTGTTTATAGATGGATGTTCTTTTAAATGTGATTTTTGTGCATATATTTTAAATTTGTGTAAGTGGTATCGTATTAAAAATCTGATTGTATTCAGCATCATGTATATATTAAATATATATTTACATTAATTTGTTGGATAAAATTGGTTAATAGCATTATATAATTTTCAGGCATACAACATTATAATTCAATATCTGTATACTTTTGTAATTGTTCCATGTATGCTCATAAAAAAATGTGTTCTCTGTTTATTGGGCATTCATTTCCATAGTTAGCTAATGCTCAAGCGTGTTATTCATGTGGTTCAGATTGTCAGTATCTCTAATTGTTTTTGTTTCCTTAATTCTGGAAAAGGTATGCTTAATTCTCCAAGGATAATTTTTTTTTTAATTTATAGGGGGCCTATTTTTTTAAAGATTTTATTTATTTATTTTTAGAGAGAGAAGGGAGGGAGAAAGAGAGAGAGAGAGAAACATCAATGTGCGGTTGCTGGGGGCTGTGGCCTGCAACCCAGGCATGTGCCCTGACTGGGAATCGAACCTGCAACACTTTGGTTCGCAGCCCACGCTCAACCCACTGAGCTACGCCAGCCAGGTCCAGGGATAATTTTTGATTCATCCGTTAGTCCCTACAGTTCTGTCCATTTCTGCTTTATGGCCTACTGGAGCATATGCACTTATGGGGATCTTTGCTGTCTTATTTTTTTATAGCACTATAAAACATTTTTTGTCCTTTGTAAAATATTGCTTTAAATTCTCCATTTTCAGAAGTTGTGGTTACTAACACAATTTTATTTTGGTTTATGTTTGCCCAAATGTGATATATCTTTTTATCTTTGTATTTTTCTCTCTTTCTCTGATAAAACACAGTGTATGGTTGTATTTTTTAAAAATCCAGTTGGAGGGTATCCATTTGGTGAATTTAATGCAAGTATATTAATTGCAATTATGATTAGGACATTTTTGGTTAATTTAATAATTTTCATATACTTTACTTTCCTGTTTTTTGAGGGGCTCTATTTTCCAGGTTTCTTTTGTACAGATTAATTTTTTTCCTGCTGCTTTTAAAGTTATGTAATCTATTTTTATTCTGATGCTGGTGTTCTTTTTTTTTTTTAGTATATGTGCTGCCGAAGCAAGCACAGTGATGCTGACATTCTTTAGTTAAGAACAATACTCTTACTTACCTAATATTTACAAGAACATCATTCCTGTTTGCTCTCTGACCTCAGCCCCTAGTTATATTGTTATTCTCTAAATTCTTAATTTCTGGGTTGTTTGAATATACCTCTCTGTTTTCTTTTACTTGATTCTAATTATTTTTAGATAACCACTAAACTTGAACAAGGTGTTTGATTACCCTCAGTTGCATATATTTTGAAGCATCCTCCTGGACATTTCTCCTTATTTGAGCATTTCTACAAGAGTTTTTAACAGTTGGGTCTTTGTCAGATGCCATATGTGCCTGGTGACATTTTTATTATACCCTCATATTTTAATGACAGTTTGGCTGGACGTAAATAAACTTCTAGGCTCAAAGTTCCTTCATTAAATTCTTTAAAACTATCTCCTTGGATCCTATGTTATTGTTGTGATGTCTGATATCAATGTGATTCTTACTCCTTTGAAGACAATCTACTCTTTCTCTCAGGAAGCTTGTATGTATGTATGTATGTATGTATGTATGTATTCACAAGATGGTCTTTCAGGGAGCTATTTGAGTTCTCATTTGCTTTGATGTTCTTAAATTTGGTTATAATGTGCTTAGGTGTATGGGTTTTTTTCTTATCTCTATTGTTTGGCACAATGAAGTTTTTAATCTAAGTCTTTCATCTGTCAATTTCATCCTTTATTTCAGTGTTTTTCCCCATCCATTTATTTCCTTTTGATTTCTTTTTTCACCCATGCATCTTTTCTATACTTATTCCTTCTATGACTAATATCTGAAGGTTGGATTCTAATTCTATCCTTTATTTTTTTGTGTAATGGTTAATTTTATGTACCAGGTTGGCTAGGCTTGGTTCCCAGATATTTGTTCAAACACTAGTCTAGATGTTGCATTTTAGATCAGATTAACATTTACACCAGAGGACTTTGAGTAAAGCATATACCTTCCATAATGTGTGTGGGCCTCTTCCTATCAGCTGAAGGCTTTGAAAAGACTGAGGACCCCTGAGGAAGAGAGAGGTTCTACCTACAAACTACCTTTGGGTTTGAGCCACAATATCAACTGTTCCCTGGGCCTGCCCTGTGGATTTTGGACTTGCCAGACCTCACAATTGTCAGCCAAATCTCTCCCTGTCATGCACGCACGCACACACACCTCCCCGTTAGTATTGCCTCTCTGGAGAACCCGCATACACTTTGCTTTTTAGAAAAAATAGTTTATATATTTTTATCCTTTCCTGCTGCCTTCTCCGAGTTTCTTAATCTGATCTCCAACTCAATTTGTTGAGTTTTTATCCACTCTATTTATCTCATCTGTGTTGTTTATTTCAATTACTATTTTTGTCATATCCAATATTTCAACTTGGTTGTCTTTATAATATCTTAATCTGTTCATGTCATTCCTAATTTCCTGAGTAGCCATAACTTTGAATAAAAGTTAGGTTATAATTTTTACATTAAAACTAAAATTGATCAGGAAACACATGGCCTTGCCTGAAATTTCATTTAGTGGCAAACGAAGAATTATGCCCACAGAATACATTTAAAGGAACAACAGGACAAAAATAAAGTTAATAATTACATTGTATCTGTTGAACTATTCCATGTAAATTTTATACTTGTCAAAGTGATAGTTTGTACGTACTGTTTACATTTTACTCAACTTTGTAATGGTATGACTTTGGACAAATTAAAAATATATTTTTGATTCTCTATTTCAAAATGTCTGCTTAAATTGAGTTTATTAATATACTTGTATACCCCTTTTTTAGATATCTATAATTTAAATATTTATCATTTTAGTCTGATAATTTTTGATAATTTGGTACATGACCTATTATTTTATGTCCTCCAATAGGATTTTATATGTTCTTCATATGTGTCCTTTAAGTCCCTCATATGTCTTTAAAAGTTTGTTCCCAGTTCTCATAAATTTTCTGCTCATTGTGAACAATGTATTTTCCCATTTCTATTTGAAATAGTTTTTACTAACATAGATGAAAGCCTTTGATATGCTTGTATTTTTATTAAATATTTACTACCTTACTGAATTCACTTAAGTCCAAGTTTTCTTTACTAGAGTCCTTGGGTTTTCTGGACATGATCGTATGTTATTATATTGTTTCTTAAGAAAAATGTATTTCTTTTAGATTCTCAATTTATTGTCACTGAGTTAAAAAATATTCTTTTAGAATTTTTGATGTATTTTCTATATCTATGCATTCTGTATGTTTTTTCTTCCTAATATCATGTTTTCACTTTCATTCCTCTTTAATGAGGCTTTCTTGGAGCATTTATTTTATCTTTCTGTAAAAACAATGGTTTTTTAAAAATACATTTTACTAGTTTTTTATGTATATATAATGAAAATATATGGTATCTTTTTAAAATCCACACCCCTTTTTTTTCTATTTTTTTCTGGTAGTGACTTTATAAATTACAGAAAGGTAGAAAGAAGACAATTTAAATTACCAGTAATTCTACCACTTTGAGATAACGTTAACATATAGGTATATTTCCTTCTGATTATTTTCCATGTATATTTTAACATAATTCTTATAGACACAGTTTTTTTCCATCTTCTTCCATTTAACTATATCATTAATATTTTCTCTTAGTAGAAATTTTTGAAAACTTGATTTCTAGGGAATCTATAAGAAATTATGTCATTTACTTAATCTTTTTTGATGTTTGCATTATTTTTATTTTTTCATGGTATGAATAATGTTGTAAATATCTCGATGCTTGAATCTTTATCTAAATATTGGGTTATTTCTTTATATTTCATTCCTAGAAAAGTTAAGTTAGTCTGTGCTACCACCTGGTGTTAATTAAATTGTCTACTTAACGGTACCTTGTTAGCACTGAGCCCTCACTTTGATCATCTTATTTTATTTTCCAGGTAATTTTAATGCTGCATATTTATGTTGAAAAAGTATTTTACCTACATAAGCATTGTTAAGTCTGCAATTTATCAGATGAGAGTAGATTTGGTATGCTAATGTAGAATACCATCATAAAACACAACTTCTTCATTTCAATACTTTTGATTTCTTCAAAGGAAAACTCCAGGCCTAAGAATTCCATAACAGATGGGAACAGCAAGATGTTTAAACAGCTAGAGAAAGACAACAAGCAACAAACATTATTGAATATTAAGCAGAATTTGCAGATTGCAACCACTCAAAGATTAGAGGGAGAAATTCAGGAACTTCAGAAACAGCTCAGTGATTTGAAATTGTCAAATAAAAATATGAAAACCCAGCTAACAAGAGTAAATATCCTTAAAGTAAGTAAAGGAAGTTAGGCTTTCAAAAATTTGCTTAAGCTTTGGTTTCTTACTGTTTTAGCTACATGTTTCTCATTGAACTTTTAAAAATTAACATTAAAATTATTGTGCATACATACAAAAGAATATATATACCATTAAAACATATATAATAATAAATTTGATGCCTGCAAATCTACCATTAATCTTAAAAAAGAGACTATTATCAATCCCATGGGTGTCCCCGGGTATTCCCCTTGCCACTCCTCAAAGGTAACTTCTAGATCCCTCGCTTTTTGTTTTAGTCTTGTTTTTGTTTTTCTTACCGGGGTAAGAGTAGAATGTTTTAGTCATTTTGCCGGGCTCCTCTTTGACCTTCGCTATTTCAAGCTTCAGTTGTAGTATTTCAGACATACATTTTTTTTGTCTTAAACCACAGATGCACTAAATACTTTTTGATCAACTTTTTTATCAGCAATATTTCTCTTACTACAGAGCCATTTATTTTCTCTGTTTCTGAATTTAATCAGCACAGACTGTAAGCCTTTCAAGGGCATGGAACACTTGCAAAACCTCTGTAAAACCCAAGTGCCTAGTTTATAAAAGTGTCCAATGACTGTTGGTTATTGATGAGTATGGTGGTGGAGAAATGACCTCTTAATTCATAAACTGGAATTTTCTTCCTTTTCCATGTATCTACCTCCTTAAAAAAAAAAGAATAGAAGCATGAGTTGTCATTCATCATGCCTGCCTATTATTAGGAGATCTAATCAGTCATCTTTCTCTCTCCCAACCTTAACCTTCTACCCTCACAGGACAAAACAATTCAGAAGCTCAGGCAATCTTTAATAAAAGTTGAAGCAATGAGAGGGAAGGCAGTTGTGAAAACAGGTAACTTGAAAACTCCACTGGACTCGGCCAAGCAAGAGGCAAGCTGGGACAAAGATAGGGCCCGTCAGATGGTAGATGCTGTGACTCCTGAGCTCTGCACAGCAAAGAGCACACTTGAAGACATATCAGGACGACCACAGGAGGTTTTTAAACATTTATTACTATTATCATTATCATTACTATATCAAGATTCTTTAAGTTGAAGTGATAAACACTGCAATTTAGGCAAAAGGGAATTTATTGGCTTACGGAGTCAAAGGGAGTTAAACAACCAGAGCTCTGGGTGGGGAGGGATGCGCCTGAGCCCTAGGTCGAGCACATGGGTACTTATAAGGCCCTTCTCACCGGCTCTTCTTGGCACCTCTCCGTGTGACAGCTTGTGTCTCTGACTGTAAACCACAGTGTTTTACAGTTACTGTTTCTATGACAAGAGAGAGAATCCCAAGAAAGGGTCTGTAAAAGCTCAGCTTAGATCAAGTGCCTATCCTTGGTTCACAGCAATGAGGGATAGGATATATGGTTATTTGGCAAAGGTTTGTGTACACATCCTCTGATTAGCTTAGCTTAGGTTTGTGTACATGTCCTCTAACCAAAGACAGAGAAGGCAGGGATTTGACAGAATGGAAGTTCAGGAGAAACCATGTGTATGGGGCTGGGTCACTAGTGCTTCTAAACTTGCTTAGATTTTTCACTGTATTCATAAAGCAGGTATTTTAGGAGAATTCTTAAAGGCCTGATAATTTTGGGCTGTTGTGGGACTATATGTCATACCTCCATATATTAGTTGCTTAAGAAATATGTAACATTTAAAAAATATTTTATTTATTTATTTTTAGAGGGAGGGGAAGGGAGAAAGAGAGATACATCAATGTGTGGTTGCCTCTCACACGCCTCCTGCTGGAGACCTGGCCCGCAACCCAAGCACGTGCCCTGACTGGGGATGGAACTAGCAACCCTTTGGTTTGCAGGCCGACACTCAATCCACTGAGCCACACGAGCGAGTGAGAAATATGTAACTTTAACCAATTATCTTGAGTCTTAAAAAATCAAGTCATGATATCATTTTTTCTCTTTTTTAACTTCTGCATATTCACATTCCTGATTGTTTTTATTCTTCTCAGTGTCCTTTATGTTTTTAGTTAGATCTCTTCTCCTTTGGACACTCTGTGGTTTACTCTTCATTTCTGAGAAGATTTTGTCTTATTCTTTCCTGAGTTGAATCATCACATCTTCCTTATCCATGAGGCATCCTAGACATCTTTTTTTTGTCTGTTTCCATTCTGAAATACTATATTTAGAAAGGTGTGTTTTTTTACCCCATGTTTGGAAATCCTTGTCCAATTGATATTTAATTCACATCAGGAGTTATGTCAAACATGTTTCCCCTGCTCTGCATGGCTGTGTTTTGGGGAGCATATTTTCATCACCAGAACAGCTTATGAGATACTGCATTTCTGTTTTCTTCTACGTCCCTTTCTTTTCCTTCCCCATTTGCCAGTGTTCTGATCCACCAGGTCTCAGGCTTTTTCTTAGCGTGGTATCTCCCCCTTTAGGCATCGTCCCATTCATTTCTGGGACACCAGTGGAAACCAGCTGCGTACTCCAGCATGCGCTCTGGGGCTACCTCTGCTGGCTTAGGGTATTCATTTCTCCACTTACATGCATACTGAAGTCTGGTATTTTGTAGTTATGTTTGAGGCATGATTTATGGATGTTTTTATCTGTTTTCCTTGCCAATCACTATGGTTTTAGAATGATGGGTGGAGAGAGATGTATTTAGGAGACTACTATTATCACACAGCAAATCAGAAGTTCAAAAAGAAATTACCTTATAGATGAAAAACAAGCAGCAATAAAATTAGATGTAGTTTATAAAAGCGTAAAAATAAGAAAAAATCTTAAAAGAAAAAAGTAAAAGAAGACTTCTTGTAATAGAAGAGACCATTTTTCTAGCTTAAAATATTTAAATACAGAATGTTACATTTCACAAATAAATGTTTAATAAGACCAAATTTCTCATCCCACTTTCATTATACACAGTAAGTAGGTGACCAAAACTAATGACATGTCTTGTTTATTGTGGTGGCCCTTTATAGCATGTCGACTTTCGAGAAACTATAATGAAGATGTTGGGACTTAACGTGAAAACAGCTGACAAAAAAATAATCACTCACCTAAGGCTTATTATCCAAGCTTATGAAGCATCTGACAAATCAAAGATTGCTTCCAACTGTGAGACTGGACAGAATAGTGCGTAGAAAAGTTCTGCCTCCTCATTGCTGCCAACAAGAACTTAGCAGACACGGACGTTTCCTCTAGCATCTTGGGCATGACTGCATGGTGAATAAAATGCTTTGGAAAACTTTTACTTGACTCTGTTCTCTCCTTTGATTTTGGCATTTAACTTTTCCTTGTCATAATCAAAAATATTCTATACATTTATTGATGGCCTAGTCTAGATTGTTACTTGTGATATATAATATTCAGTTATACTTATTATTAACTGCATTTTAAGCAGGATATTAATCAGAACTTATGTTCTTAGTTAGAATATTTACATCTATAGTTAACAGCCTATTTCTACAATAAACAATATTTGAGTATACTCACAAATCCAGGTAAAGTTGTGTTGTATAATTTCAATCTATCTTATCTCTTTGACAACTGAGTGTGAAAATCAGGTATGAAATACAGAGGGGTAGGAAAGTCATCAAGAATTCTTATAAATGGGCAATAGATTGTATTGTGGCTTTTATTTTCTTAGTATTTAATAGTGTCTGCCGGTGTTTGCCTAATAGCAGGACAATTTCTAAGTTAATGGGCTACTTTTTAAATAGTATAATTTCTAATTTATTTCATTTGAAATAGTTAACTGCTCTTCTTCCAAGGGAGTTTTAGATTTATCCAAGATGTCCTCTGTAGGAATAGGTCAGAATCTGGACAGGCCTGTGGAGACTCAACGCAGTGCTGTGGTCATTTAAAAGAATCTCCTGTGGGGCTTAGTTTTAGGGGTATCTTCAGGATGGTAGGGGTCAGGTTACATTGGACCTTACAGTAGTAGCACTTTGGAAGAAATTATCTTGAGTACTCATTCAGGGAAAAAATGAGAATCACTCACTTTTAAATCATCATAGCCATGGTTTTTTGTTTTTATAATCTTCGCCTGAGAATGTGTTTGTTGATTTTAGAAAAAGAGGGAGGGAGAGAGAAACACTGATTTTGTTGTTTCACTTATTTATGCATTTGTTGGTTGCTCCTTGTATGTGCCTTGACTAGGAATGGAACCTGCAACCTTGCATATCAGGATGATGCTCTAACCAACTGAAAGTTACTCAGGCAGCACACTATGGTTCTCAAACTGAGTGCCAGGGTACCCTGGTATTCTGTAGGGATCCCAGCATACCATGCAGTATTTCAAATTTTAAAGTCAAACAGCAATACGTGACATTTACTTGACAAAATACTTCCTCTGTTAGCTCCAGTAGTTTATAGTTTCGACATTGGGTCATTTTAATGTCATTATCCTATTTTAACGACATTTTTGGACCAAAACTGCCCAGGGTTTCTCAGGACTTGTAGATTTGTTGCCAGATGGAAGTCCAGCAGTTGGTGGTGTCACTACAGGGGAAACCCCGGATCTCTGGCTGCAATGAAAGAAGGTCACTTACTGCTCCTTTCAAGAATACCCTTGGACTGGCAAAACAGGAGACCCTGCCCAGAGCCTCCACCTGTAGCCGAGCCTGCTCAACCACCTTCTTGTTCAGGATTCGCCAGGGCCAGCTGCCTGCTGCAGCCTCAGCACAAGGAGCTGCGAAGACTGCGAAGACTGCGCTATCCCACGAGCCAGGCAGGCTGTTCCCCCACCCCGCCTTTTCCAGAGCTGCTCTTCTCTGAGGAACTGCAGGTACAGCTAGCTGCTAGAAGCAAGTTCTTCGTAAAGGTCAAGGTGCCAAGGTGCGGTAGTTTCTGAAAGAGCCACTTTATTAGCACATCAAAGGAAAACATTCTGTAAGCACCAAGAAGCTTAGTCTTAATGTCCCTTTATGAACTGTGTTAGTAGAAACTGGTCAACCATAGTATAAAAGCTATATTATATAGTATATAAAAGCTATAAAGTTATAAAGCTATGTTAACTCTGAGCAAGGATGAGAGGGGCACCCTTCCAATACCTGAAACAGCTTTTACTAGAACTGCTTTCATTTCTGTGGCCAAATCACTGCCACACTGTTCTCAAAGATGATAATTGGATTTAGATTTTAAAAAGCGGTTCTCAACCTTTAAGATGTGTCAGAATCACCTAACAAACTTATTTTTTTTTCCTGGGCCTATCCAGAGATCACAGTTCAGTTAGAGTGCTGTAGGGCTAAAGTATGCACGTTTTTTCAAAGCTCCGTATGTGTATAAATTGATAAAAATTACTTTGGAAACTAGTTTGGCGGTAAGTTTCCTGTTCTGTAACTAAGTATCACACATCTTGTGGCTGAAAAAATAAATATTACTCCATTTCTGGAGGTTTCCACTTCAGCAAGAGCGGGACCATTATGGTATGACAAATGCAGTTGCTTATATGGAGAACCTCACGTGCGGGACTCCCACTCACGATTTCACTGTGGACCGCCAAATCGTAGATGCGACTCTGCACTGCTGAGACAGGCAGGCCGGCTCGCATGCGCTACTGCGCCTGCGAGCTCCTCTAATAGCTGCGTCTGCGCAACCCTGAGCAGAAGGCGATCAGAGAGTGTCTCAAACAGGCCTGTTGCTGTGCGACACTGCAGGAGGAAGAGGGCGGAGATGACGCAAACTAACTCGGTGGTGACTGGCTGGTAGTAATGATTGGCTGGTGAAAGGAGTCATTTCAGATCAAGCTTTCGGGTGGGGCGGAGAACCCGGTGAAGAAGCGGTTGGACCTGGATTCCAGCCTATGGCGGGCGCAGGCCGGGGGGAGGCGGGGCGGGTTTGGGGGGGGGGAGGCGGGGCGGGTTTGAGGAGGGGGGTGTGCAGTTTCTCAAGAGCGAGGTAGTGTCCCGGAGGGCCCGCGCTTGGGACGGGTTCCTCCCATGGGCCTAGGGCGCGGGCTTCCTCTGTAGAGATCAGGTCCGGCTCCCTTGCAGGAGACCTTGGTGCGGCACCGGCTTGCACCCCGAAGTGAAGCCTGTGGAGTGGGGTCGGCTTCCGGCGTTCTGGCCCACCTGGCTGCCAGACTGGTGTCGGGGGATCCCCACCCTGCTTTTGAGACGGAGGGTCTGGGTGGCGCCCGTAACTTTTAAAATGTAGAGTGACTGATGGTTGGCCACGGCTGAAGCCCAGCCCGCTGTTTTAGGCCGGGCTGCAGCTCTTCGGCGTCCGGAGTGATCCCGCGATTGGCCAGTGCAGGGGGAGGGTCGTCAGCTTTGCAAAACTCGATTTTGTCAGATCCCCAGTCACATCTGTTGAACTTGATCCATTAAAAGTATTATTGATGTGTAATTTATATACCATAAAATTGACCGGTTTACATGTTCAATTCAGGACATTTAGACTATTTACAGGAATTGGAGACTCTGGAGAAATTTTTGTCTGGTAGTTGCCTTTACCATTCTCAAAGTTTGTACAAGTGGACATTTTCAAGACAAAACATAAGAGCCTCTGAAAATGTACACTCAAACTGTATACCTGCGATGGTGAAGTTAAAAGAATTGAAGCAATTTTCCTTAGAAGTTGCAGGCAGTGAAACTTGTCTTCTAATACCAAATAGACATTGACAATTTCAACTGTCTTGTTTGGTGGGGAATATGACATGACCTCATTTTATAGATTCCTGAAATTATACCCTTAAAACTTTATCTTATCTCAATCTTTCTCTATTTTGGTGTGTTGGTACTTGCTGAGGCTAGATTGGTTTGATTTGGTGAAGGAAGCAGAGAAGACCTGGGTCTTCAATGCAACAGGGAAGAAAGCCACAAAACAGGAGTGGAGTAGAGATGAGGGGAATTGGGAAGGGGATTAGGGAAGATGACTTGGAGATGAGGAGAGGAGGGAGGGAGACGAGGGGGGAGGGAGACGAGGGGAGCAGGATAGGGTTGGTAGAGGAGATAAGGAGAAAGTCCACCTGTTCTTTTGCTATTTTGACTAAGGTGGTTGGAAGGAAGGGGAATACTTTAGAAGGCAGGTTTTGGCAGTGAGAAGGGGCTAGGCTTTCTGTTGGACAGCTTAGAAGAAACCCTGTCTATGCCAAATGTGAGAAATGGGCTCCATCCCTGGCTGGTGTGGTTCAGTGGGTTGTGCCCCAGCCTGTGAACCAAAGGGTTGCTGGTTCGATTCTCAGTCTAGGGCACATGCCTGGGTTGCAGGCCAGGCTCCCAGTAAGGGGTGCATGAGGGGTACCCACACACTGATGTTTCTCTCCCTCTCTTTCTCCCTCCCTTTCCCTCTGTAAAAATAAATAAGTAAAATCTTTTTAAAAAGTAGGCTTCAGAATCAGACAGATGGGCACAAATCCATCTGACAGTTTTCAGCTACCTGACCCTGGGCAAATTGATTAACTTGCTTGAGTCTCAGTCTTCTCATCTGTAAATATTAGCAGAATAAGATGACCTATTTTATAGGATTACTGTGAGGACGAATGAGGTGTCATTCGCTAAGTCTTGGAGTGAGCCTAACACATTATAAGTAAATTCCAATTTTGGATAATTTACACTCCTCCCCCGAACAAGAACAAGTCATCTGTGAATAAGGAGATAAAATTGTCTTCAACCTCAACTCAGCCAAGCCTATTCCTGTTCTTTTCTTTTTCCAATTGTGTTTCCATTTTTAAATTCCGCTATTTTCTCTTAAAATTTACGTCTTAACAAAGACAACAGACCTAATGTTTGCCAAAACCCAGCTAGGAAATCAGAGCATAGAAAAGTCAAAGCTACAGAAAAAAATTATAATGTGCACAACTAACTTTAGAAAATAGTACATTTTGGTTATAAAACTCATTTACTGATTATTCCTATGTTCTTAATAAAATTTGCTCCTGATAATACATGAAAACATAATAAACTGTGCACAGTAAACCCAAGGCAAACTGCCTACGAAGAAGCAAAGAAGGTAAAATATAGTCATGTTGAAAGAACTAATATTGAAAGGGAGGGTATTTTCTCATAATGCCCTGGAAAGGCCAAGTCAAACAGCCTTAGCCCGAGGCATTCTGACCCTAGAAAACAGGTCATCAAAATAGGAAAATTGCTGAAAAGGGCCCTGACTCTACCTTACTCTAGTCTGGACCTCCTCGAGTCCTCCCCCAACGTTGTTGCCAGAGTGATACCCCACTAGAGGAGAATCTACTTGTTATTCTCCTGCTGGAGTCTTT